GCTCTCTACTGCGAGGATCGTGCATCATACGTACGGCTAACATTCTTACTATTACCTTGACAGTGTTTGTTAGTTGGGACAGCTCTCGACATGCCTTGAAATAAGACTTCAGATCTTCAGAACAAAACATACAATCAATATCGTTTATATTCTGTAGTTTTTTTTCCAGTTCCTCCATTTGGCGTCTTCTTTCCTGAGCGTCTTTCTGTATATGGAACTCAGCGAAGCTTCTCTTCATCATGTCCTCTACGCGCAACTCCTCGACTCGCAGCAGATTCAGTATCATGGAATAAGTCAGACGAAACCTTGAAGTCAGCTGAGTTGGTTTTCCCTGTCAAACAAAAGAGAAAAAAACAACTATATTGTCAGTGGATGTTTTAGCCGTCTCTATTCAGTCTTCAGTCACTCTCGTAGATTTAACAGACTAATAGTAAAAAGCTACTGAAGGGCTACAAAACAGGCCCAATGCTCTCGGAGACTCAAAGTGCACCATTGACAGCGCTCAAGAGCACCCATGGTTGCTTAACATCACCCTACTTACCGCCAACGAAGACTAGAAGTAAATTAGTCGAAACTTCCCCATCTCCAATTGCTAACGACTGCTCATCATGAGACACAGCATTATAAAATGCTTATCTATTTACGCAGGCGAATATTGCGAAGCTAACCACTAGATTCAAATGACAAAGTTTGCTGAGATCTGAAACGTAGTTCTCCCTACCAGCATCATCTTGTGTAAGTCTGACATAAGCGGTACGTTTCCTTTACACAATATGATAACAGTGCCAGTAGGGTCCAGACCTCTCCGCCCAGCTCGGCCAGCCATTTGAATATATTCACCAGGCAGCAAATCCCTAAAGCTTGTTCCATCGTGCTTTCTGGTTGTATCAAACACCACTGTACGAGCTGGCATGTTGACACCCATGGCAAACGTTTCAGTGGCAAAGAGGATCTGAAAACAAACCCACTGTTCATTGAACAACACGCTGTCAAAATCGTAACAAGAACAAACACGCCACTAAATGAACATCATAGCTGTATAGACCCCCCTTCCACCCCCCAACAACACGGTCAATACAGCAACAGGTTACTGTGAGAGTTCTTCATCTAAGAATATATGAGGCGCCGAAACACTTCTTCAATGAAAAAAACTCACCTTTACCAAGCCTCGTCCAAACAGCATTTCCACCATCTGCGTAATAAAGGAAGTTTTTTTGACAAACCACAACCTAATCAGAATGTTCGCGGATTGAGAGGGTCGCGTGACAAGTTAACGGAGACAAGACAAATGAATTTTGGCTGTAATAACACCTGAAGATCACGTTAACTTACTGGAAAATAAATGTTACGTTACTCGACTTACTCAGATTAGAAACATTACCGCAAGAATAAATCTACGCGTGGATAATAGTACAACACAGACCTCTTTAATAATAGGCAGTACTCCACTGTGATGGACACCAAGGCCGCGCTTAAGGAGCTCTTGTATCCTGGAAACCTACATAACAGGGAAAGGGCGGAACTTTTTACGGTAGAGTGACGATGTCCGCAAGAGAGAATCTTGCGCTTGAAGTAAGTTCAGCGATAATTCCAATCTACGGCAAGCAAAATTTTCTTGCAACTCTCGTAATTCTTCTTGAGCACAAGCTCAAATAGGGGAAACACAAATTTTCAAGTATGTCAACCCTTCAGAAAGATCTTCGTTGGATGAAGCAAGCGGCACACAAATAAGCATTTCTGGTTCCAACTGTACCGTCCTTTTTAGACCTTGTCTCATAACGACTTGAACGAATAATCAGATGAATATACGACAGCTCCTGCCATAGCTTACACTGCTACAAGTTGCAAGGCCAAAGGATGGAAATAACCTGACCACTCGAGGATCCGACAGCAAAACGCAACTTTAAATGCAAAATCAATGCGCAAAAATCTTACTTGTGGCAATTGTCTGTCGGATCCTTTGAGTCTTGCAATAGCTTTCTGAATAAAAACGTGGATCACACTCTTCTCGGTTGAAGTGGTAAGATCGAGGTTACCAAGCTGGTCTGCGTTGTCATCGCATCTCTTCCTAGAGAAGGTAAAAGCGACCACGGGAAGCTTCTCCTTCTTACGGAGCATTTCGATCACAGACAACCAGATGTTACGTTCCTACGAACACACAGACTCTTGGTTAGTTTAGATGGTATAATACACCAACCCACCCCACCCTCATCTATCAGCTGATAGAAGTCTTTCCACTTCCGATTTCACCTCAGCTAAACGTAAGCATGACATGAAAACTGGACTCATGGAAACAACCTTTCGGCCTGATCTGATCGGTTAAAGAAGTGACATAGATCCTTTTAACACAAAATTACCGCAGTTCATTTTACATTCTGAAATTAGAAAAGAATAGTAATCCCACTAGCAAGGATAGGAAGCTCCTGTATCGAAGATGGTTTTTTTTCTCACAACCACTGGCATCCATAATTCAATACTCCCAGGTGGAGATAGGCGCTGTGATAGTAAACTTATCAGGCCAAGAATGTAACAGACTGATAGACTGATTTCGAGCAAGACTTCCATGAAGTTAGAAGGATGGCAGAGTTAGTACTTGTTTAAGTATGCGTCCTAACTTCCTAAAGGTCACCGTTTTAGTCCCCTTTTGATCTTCTCAACATTCGCCAGTCTCATAAACTCTCGTTTTATTTTTGGTTTATTATCACCTCTTTGATGTGATCCTAAAGCATGTGAGAATCTGTCATCTTCAAGAGTTTCGTTTTAGGTAATATAGAATTTTGTAAAGGAACAATCAAAATATTTGTAAGTATTTGGCCACACACCTCCCGGATGTTTGTTGTCTGGTGAGTTTTGGAGCCATACGCATCTTTTCCTTTCCCCTCTCTCTCTTTCTTGGCTGCCACGGCTGCTTCGTAACCGCGCGTCAAAAACTTACTGTCGGCATCCACAATCATAAACAGTTCATTACTTGTCTTATTACTATTGCCTGTGTATAGGAAATGCTGTAAGGGGACTGGGCGCTTCAGAGTGCTTATCACGTAGATTTTCTTCTTCTTGGTACGTCTGTGAAAGAAGAAAACAAGAGAAAATTTGTAATTCATCTCAGGGAGCGTGATGGGCGCCGGGAACGCAGCTGACTTGAAGATCTACTGATCATTTCCAGAACAGTTTGACCGGATGCCCTTTTCGAGGGTCATACTAGCGAAACTGATTATTAAAGAAGATTCTCGAATAAACCCTGAAAGATCATTAGAAGATGCGAATATTGGCTAACTACTTAATTAACCATCTAAATATGGCAAAGTTCATGATTGAGACAGAGTAATGGAGCGATTATACTCTCACCCAATCCAGTCGGCAAATTCCAATGTATTAGGCACAGTTGCAGATAGCAGAATGATCTTGACTTGCGCTGGTAACATAATGAGAACCTCTTCCCATACAACACCTCGCTGTGAAAAAGAACATAACATCACGCTCAATATTACAGCCACTCAGTAAAATCTTAGATGACGCACGTAACAAGCGCAGCATGCAGCTAAACTGATAAAGGCAGAGTAGCCTCTTCAACGTGTTTTGTATTGTTACATCACGAGAACTTTCCAAGTCGCCTGATGTATGGCTTTAACTGAACTAACAAGGCAATTACTTACCTCTGCATCATTTACGTAATGAACTTCATCAAAAATCACCCACTCTACGTCTCTGATGACATCTGAACCATTGTACAACATGGAACTGTCAAAAGTCAGATGTGATTGAGTTGAAATTTCCTCATGAGGCTCTTTCCTCATGAGGATCTTTCCTTTCCAAGGATAGCGCAACACCATTATGTTGCCAAATTGGAACTTAAGCGGTGTTTTAAGGACCAATATGGGAGAACGCTACATTAAAAATCGTGCCGTCAGTTACGCGCCCATTCTTCCGCCTTTTTTATGTGACTCTGTTGTTTCATGTAACTCAATTGCATGTTTAACCTTTATAGGCGGGTTTTTAGCTACATCATCAAAAATAGGTGCAGTCCAGAGCGTTTTCCCGATCAGTTTAAGCGAAAATCAGAGATAAGAAATTTCAACTATCACAGAGGCGCAAGAGATGACAGCAAACTAAAAGTTATCGTATGGCACCATGCACAATAAACGGCGTTAGTGAAAGGTGGGAGTTTTAAGAGCCACCGACCGTGAATATCGAGAATCCGCCGACAGGACCCTTTTAAAGAACCTTTTTCGAAAATTATATTAAAAAGTTCTATCGCCCTTTTCTTTTCTCCGAAAAATCGAAAAATTCAAAATATGCCTAAATGGCCGTTGTCTCCCCCGAAACAATGAAAAATTATGCAACTTCGGCAACTTCGTACGCTACAACGCGATGCAATCCCGATTTTAAATTTTGTGTGCTAGCAGATGGTCCTTTTATCTCTTGGAAAATATTAATTTCTCGTTGTTGTTACGTTTAGGTCTGAACAGTGACCCGTTGAAATAAAGTACTGCGCGTCTCTTTTGCGGAGGTAAAATAAAAGGTCAACTTCAGTGTACGTCATCTTAAAGCTTTATCCTTGTATTTTAATTCCTCCAGTTCTCTATCTTGGCCCGCTATAAGCGGCACGTCCAGGTTTAAAGGAGTTTGGGCTATTTTGTCAAAAAATGCGATGCGAAGCCCTGAACAGCTGTCACGACCCATTTAAAGGCCTTTAGATAGGTCTTGTATGATATATTTACAAATCAAAATAATATCTTCTTTAAACTTTATCCTTGTAGTTTAATTCCTCTACGTTTCTTTCTTGGCCTCGTTGAACGGTTGTCACTCAAGAGGTCATGTATTTGGTACATTCCTGGCCAAGATGGAAGATTGGCCTTGACCTCTGGCGTGACTGCCGTTCAACGGATCGCATTACATTTTTTGCCATTTTTTAGCCCGAACACTTTGAAAGCTGGACGCGCCGCCTACGGCGGGCCAAGGAAGAAACTTTGAGGAATTAAATTACAAGGATAAAACTTTAAGATGACATATATTTTAGTTTGTAAATATATCATACAAGACCTTTCTAAAGGCCTTTAAATGGGTCGTGACAGCTGTTCAGCGGTTCGCATTGCATTTTTGACAAAATAGCCCAAACTCTTTTAAACCTGGACGGGCCGCTTATTGCGGGCCAAGATAGAGAATCGGAGGAATTAAAATATAAGGATAAAGCTTAAAGATGATGTATATAATAATTTTTAAGTATATATGGCAGACTTGTTCGTAGACCACTGAAGTTGACCTTTATTTTACCTCTGTGAAAGAGACGCGAAGTACTTTATTTCAACGGGTCACTATTCAGACTTAAACGTAACAACATAGCAAGAAATTAATATTTACCAAGAGATGAAAGATTCATCTGCTAGCACACAAAATTTAAAAGCGGGATTTTATCGCGTTGTAGCGTACGAAGTTGCCGAAGATGTATAATTTTTCATTGCTTTTTTTTGGGGAGGGGGGGAAAGACAACGTCCATTTAGGCGTATTTGAACTCTTCGATTTTTCGGAGAAAAGAAAGCGCGATAGAACTTTTTTATATAATTTTCGAAAAAGGTTCATTAAAAGGGTCCTTCAAAAAAAATAAAACGAATTACGAAATTTTCTAACTGTCGGCAGATTCTCGATATTTATGTTCAGTGGCTCTTAAAACTTATCACAGACCAAACTGAGAAATGAGTACTACCCCGTAAAACTTAAGATACTCTAACGGTACAATAAAGTAATGCGTTCTACTCACCGCAATATTTCCGTAGTCATGATCAAACAGGACGCCTCAGGTTTGATCTGCAAATCACCGGTCAGCAGACCTACATCCTCAAAAGTGTCCTTGAACTCGCGGAACTTCTGATTGGACAAAGCTTTGATCGGTGACGTGTACACCGTCCTACGCAAGAAGACAAGAGTAAACCGACGGTGAGGGGAAACTTCGGGTTTGAATATTTTCGTAAGTTACCCATGGCCTCTGTTTAAAAAGTTGTCTCGCATTGACGAGAACATGGCGACTTGGAAATAAAATAACCAACAAAAAAATCCCTCTCATAAGTCTCTTGATCGCTTAGTTACATATCCTTTAGGTACTGATATTTCACGAAATAAAAAAGCCTTAACATTTTTATTTCCCTGCTTGTTGGAATAAATTTTACTCAGCACCTTCATTGCCTTTATTCCGACAAAAAAAATCCTCAGTGCGAAAACTAAGAGTACCTTGTTGCTCAGTTAAGCTTTTCAAGAAGTGAGAGGAGGCAATCAGGGGTTGTAAGTGTAAATAATATCCTTATTAGTAATACCACTAGGATCATCAGACGAGTACCTTGTCATGTGTTTACTGGCCAAAGCAATGGCATATTCAGCCACAACAGTCTTTCCAGCTGAGGTATGAGCGGCAACAAAAACACTTTCGTTGTTTTCTAAACAAAGGACGGCCTGCTTTTGAAATGTGTCCAGCTCAAATTTCCACTGTAAACATCAAAGAAAGCAAATGGTTTCCTATATGGCTTATATATATGAAAACCCATTGGACACGATCACCACTGTGCCATAAAAAATGCGTTTAGATTACTAAACACCTGGTTGAGGCTCTATAATCGGTAGATGCTTTCGAGACGCAGACGGCAACCGGAAGAAGAATTAAACTTACTTTGGCGCGCTTTGACGACAACAATGTAAATGTATTGATCGTGAGGTCGTCGTTTAAGCACTTAAAACGAAACTGTGCGATCAAAAAGGTGAAGTGAGCAAAAGAAATGAGAAATTTTAACTTCAGGCCGCCGCGCCGCCCGCGTCTCAAAAACATTTTTGCCTAAGGTCCCTGATAATGAAAACCCCGCAAACCAATAATGAACTTCAGTTCTCTGTGATATCGAATGAACGGAAGTAAATCCTACAAACAGAAATACTTAGAAGAAATCAGTTCTTACAAGTTACATGAAGGCGTTTGACACGTTCCAAAAACGAAAAGAAGCACGCGATCTTTCCGTTTCCATCTTTCGTTTCCATTTTCATGTCATTTCAAATCCAGTAATACGACTTTTAGCCAAGAACCTGATTTATTTCCTTAATAGCCATATATTTTCTCAATTCGTAAGGGAACCGAATGGTCTTCTTTTCGTCTCCATTACATCAAAAACACTAAGTAGATTAAGAATAATTAATCTTAGCTAAAAGATAATCCTAGATAAGCGTTAATCGTGTTTTGAAGAAGCCGATAGTGCACCTTGTGCGCCATATCAGGAACTCGCTTATGGAAATCTTTGACAGGTTCTTTGACGTTCACCATTACAGCCCACTCCTCTTTGGTGGGTTTGTCTGCAATTGACGCTGAAGAAGTACGAGTTTTTTCTGAATCGCTTCCCTAAAGAAATTAAGAAAGCATTCATAAACTATAAAATATAGCATGTCTTGGCGTTAAAGGTAAACTACAATCCACAAGTTACTATGTCAGAGGGCTACATGCCAGCAAATGGGAACGATCACATTCGTGCACAGTTCAAACAAGAAAGAATTTGATTGTCTTAATATGAATTTTCTCACTTTTCCCAGATCTAGACATAGGTTCTAACTTTTCATCTGTTTTACATGTAACGCTAAATAGACTTTAGTCATTCCTTTTTAAAAAATAACTGTTCCAGCACGCGTTATTCAACTTTGTAAAAGTACAACTGAGGGCTTCAATCACAGATCGACTTCTTAAACATAAATTGGACTTGACTCAAAAGATCACTTGTATATAGTAAACGTCTCTTTAACCAGCTCAGCTTTTTTGAAATTAAATATTTTATCATCAACCAAAGAAAACCAAATCATTTTATTATCACGCTCTCCGTTGGGTTTTTCATTGTGCAACACTGTAATATCAAGTGGCAGATCTAGTCCTTTGCGTACATGTGAGGGAGTAAGTTAAAGGGGCTTGGGATGGGGTGGGGTGGGAGGAGAAAATAAAGCAGCAGACTCCTCTCCTTGACCCACCACTAATATCAAAGCTCTTCTCAACACAAGCATACACTGTATTTTATATATACCTCTACCAAGACATTCTCAAGACTATCCTGTCTTTGGAGACTACCTGTGAAAAGGAAAAAGGTACAAAAATCATTTTTATTTCAGGTCTTTTAACTGTTTCTTTATTTAAACTTGTTTGTTCATGCTTCAAAATCACTTCAGTGCCCCTTTAAGAATATTACCAATCTCAAACCTCCTTAACTTTCTCTTGCCAATATTTGGATCTTACTTGCTGATAATCAATCCCTTGATTTCTGTTTTACAGTTAATAGAGAATTTGAATGTACATTTACTGTTCTCACCCTTACTGCTGTCCTCTGGATCACTCACAGATCCACTCTTTTCAGAAAGCTAAACACGGGAACACCAAAAAAAAATACAAGTAAGTCATTAATCTGGAGAGTTAATCAAAGAAAAAAGGTATTCTACAGAAGGAGTGACCCCTGATTGAGAAAACTTGTTAACAACAAGAACTCACTGCATTGAAACTTGAGTAACAGCTTCCACTATTAAAAGATGTCTTTGAGACAAACAATAAAAGGTAAAAAATGTGTGAAAGAAATAATAAACAAAGTTTTTGACCAAACAGACAGACTGTGATCATTTCAATACTCAGAAACCATGGCCAGCAGAATCTTTCTGGAATGTTATAGTGCCCAAAGGAAAAAGGCCATCCAATGTGAGGAAACTGTATTGCCTACAGATCAAATTGTTCACAGTTTTTTTATTTCAGCAGTGACATCTGAATTTGATTGAATGCCTTCACTGACTAAGTCATATTGCACCTTATCTATGCCCTCCTCATCTGTCTCCAGGTCATCACCATCATCACTGTACTCCAGGTCTTCTAGTGTTGTGCCAGCAATGATGTCAGACATGGCTACAACTTGAGGTATGGGTGCAAAGGATTCTCCATCTAAAGTCAGTTACACATACAAACAGCATAAATCAAATAATTGCCAACATAACCATGGACAGGGAAAAATAAAAAAAGGTGAGAAGAGCACTCAAGCCAAGTGGCCCACATCGCTGGAGCTCATCTGATTTCCATAGCTGAATGAATAAGATAAGGAGTGTTGCTGCTCCCCCCTGGATGGGATGTTGTTCCATTATAAGTCACTCTATCCCCTTTCCACACCCACCCACCCACATTTGATCAGGCTTTTCTGATGGTTAACCGGTACCCTTTAATACTCCTGGGTGGAGAGGGGCACTGAGAGTCAGCCGTCTCACCCAAGAGCATAACTCAATGACACTATCAGGTTTAAACCAGAGCTTCCCAACCTGGAATCTGGCATGCTGACTGATAGAACTTCAGTTCTCCCACAAATGAAGATTACTGCTAGAGATAAAACACTGCTGGAAAGCCCCTGAGGCAATACAATGCTATGGTTATTTTTTGAATGATCCAACCTTGGTCTTCTTTATCTTCAGTGAATCTAGCTCCATGTTTAAAGCCTGGTGGTAAAGACAGAAGATCTACGGGTGTAAAAAGAACGAATACAACAGTAACTATGTTTTCAAGCCTTAGCTACAAATGCAAATTACAAACATCATCAAGCACATCATTAAGGATATAAAACGAAAGACAGGGTTGACTGTATGATATACCTTTCTCAAAGTTCAGCTCACCATCAAATACCAGATCTGGTTTTGTAGTTTCCAAGGTCTCCATACCACCTTCAAAATTAAAAGGTCAAGATTAACAAACAAGTTTTAATCACTTAAACTTGATGGAATTACATTCTTATACACAGTAACTCATGTACTTTGTTCTCTAAAATGTTTATAGTGATTTTCTGTAATTCTTTAAACAGACATTCTGCACCAGAAGGAAAAGAGGAACTTGAAATGAATGGAATGGAATGAGTTGTATAAGCTTGGCATTTGCTAGTATTGTGAAAGTTGCAGCCATAGGACACCCGCAAAACTGTAACTTAATTTATCTTTGGTTACGATGAATATATGAAGGTCATATAAAAGGTCAAGATTAACAAAAAAAAAAATATGAACTTCATATATTCATCGTATCTGATTTATCATCACAGGTTTATTATGAATCAACTTAATGGCCTGCTCCCAGTTGGCTTGTTAGCTCAATTGGTAGAGCGCTGCACTAGTATCACAGAGGTCAGTGGTTCGAATCCCGTACAGGCCTGATTTTTTTCAGGTCTGATTTTCGCTAAATATTGCATGAATAGCACTCTCTACTGAGAGGATCGTGCATCATACGTAATTTATCTTTTTTTGTGTATATTCAACTGTTTGCTACATGTAAGCATATTGCTGAAAGCGAACTTCATGTTACCTGGTAAAAATGGGTAATTGATAGACTCTCCTCTTACAGATGCTGATAGGGGCCCAGGTTGTCTTAAAAGTGACATGGAATTTTTTGAAGTACATCCAGTATCTGTCAACATTACCTGGAAATATCGGTAAGAACAATAACAAGTTTCAAATATCTATTCACTAATAACTAGTGTGACTAGTTCAAGTTCCATTATAAAGGCTTTGCTTTTCCTAAAAAAGTTCATTCAATACAGATTTATTTAACAACAACTGACAAAGATGGTCTGCATTTAAAGTGCCAACTGCTGGATATGGGGCCTACTTCACAGATATTCCAAACTGGCATAACTGTTAAAATTCATACAAATCATGATGATATCAGAGCGACTGTGATCATGCTGAGGTCCATCATGGCTAGCTTACATGGCGATCTCCGGTCATTGCAGTGAAGCAAGCCTCAGATTATTACGTTGGACACCCTTCAAGTGAACCAAACTGAGGGCTTGCTCTGATATCCTTTCCAATGTGTTGAGTGGGCCACATCAGTCACAGCAGCCAAGTTTTATGGCACTGTCATCACAAGCAAATCTTCTTGTTCCTGTAAATTTGGCTGTTGTTCATTTCATAAAACACATGCCTTGAGCAGTTTGTTTTCTAATTGTTATGTGAAAAAAACTTGCGTGTTTTATAAGGCACAATTTGGCCTGATTTCAATGATCATCTCGTGTTCAGATTTCATATTAAGACTAAAAAAAACTTCAGGCAAAAGTGTTACATGTAAATTCAGCCCACTGAACTTTTTCAGTTTGTGAACTATTGCAGATTGTGAACTTTGATGGTTTGACATTTTTGACAGTTTCAGGCTTGTTCAACCAGTCAGATTACTTGAACCAATCTTACAAGGATTCTGATGGGCCTGTTATGACTGCTCTACAAGAGTTTATAGTTCACCACTAAATTTTCTCCGGTTCTTATTGGTTTAAATCGATCACGTGATGCGATAGTGTCCATCTGTGGAGAGACACTATCAGCCCATGGTGCCCGTCCGCAGAAAATACCTGGATGGATAGTGCCCGTCTGCGGAAAATACCTGGATTGATAGTACTCATCCGTGAAAAGTTTTGAATAGTTTGACGGCCACAAAGTTAGGTAGATTGGAAAAACAGTGACTTTTCAATTCTGACAGGTAGAACGTATTATTTAGCCAATGTACGGTTGCAAATTATTGACATTTGTGACAAGCTGTAGGCGCAGAAGAAAATTTAGTGGTGAACAATAAAAACAATAGAGTGTTTATGTCTTGGAACTATCAGTCTGATAGTTGCCCCTTGGAAATTTGATGTTTTTAAAACTAGCATATTTGTTTTAAGAACATCAAATTTCTGAGGGGCAACTATCAGCCGATAGTTCCTTGACAGAAACACTCTATTGTTTAAATAGAGCATACTGATGACATTCAAGAAGTGGGGAAAAACACTTGACTACATCCCATGTTTCTTTTTACACTCCCTTCATGCTACAGCCTCTTCCTGTGTGCTTTACAACAGAAGAAAGCACAGTCAAGGCTTCTCTAGCTGTTAACTAAAAGTTATCAATTAACATAGCAGAACACAAAAAGACTGTCCAACTGGAGCATGCCACAAAGTGGAAAATGGGTACCATTCATTACCTCATTATAACCTAGAAGCTCTCCTGTTGTTGGATTTCTCTCTACTTTTAACGTTAATGGAACAGGACACACATCTGAAAACAACAGACTTTCTGGGTCTTGTTCACGGGGCCAAAATCTAAAATTTAACAAGAAAATATATCTCAACCCTTTGATGCTTTCACTCCCAAGATCTCCTTGGTTATGCCCCTTACCCTCAGCCATACAATTCTTATGATGTTAGTTCAGTGAATTTAGTATTGGATCAGCTAATAAACCTCCAGGTATATTTTTCTTTCCTCTTGTCACTTTTCTCGTTGATATTATATTAATACTGTAAGGAGAAAGTCTGTCCTAGTCACTCACAGGAGATTAAAGGATTAATGGCAGAGATAATAAATAATATCATGGTTTCTGAGCTGAACTTCTACTTTACATAGACTTGTTTTTATCACCTCTGTGTGCGATAAAAGTCATGGATGGGCAGCACAGTAGGATCCAGAAGATATTTCTCTAAATCAGTCTTTAGATCTGGTGCAAACAAAGGTGGTAAACCACAAGGAAGCTGAACAAAAGAAAAATATCAACATTTCAAAAACAGTTTTACAAAGATAGACTTACAGTAGCTGACAAAGTGTTGCTTGATATTTTGAGAAAACATACATTTGACATATTTTTTTCATACCCAATATTTAAACACCTTCTACATTCAAATACTGCTTACCAGATAATAAACCAAAAAAGGCAGAACAAAATAATTGATCAACTTACTGTTGTCAGTGGTTTTAATTCCTTTTTGGAAGATTTATTGAATGATTCTGGTATAACTTCAATTGTGCCTGTACACCCAACTTCCAGAAGATCAAATGTATATTCTAATGTTTCAGATCCATGCTCTGCATCTGGGTAAGAAACAAGTATAAAGTAAATCAAAAGAGGGTTCACAGATAAAAAATTACCACTCTTTATTATATAGATACTGATGAAATACTGGGATTTTTCCTTTAACTAAAAATTTATATCTACATTGCGCACAGCGAAGATACTATTTTTATCTTTCATGTGTGAGGATATTGTCATTGCCATGGTTACTATATGGCTATTATAGAATTTTTCTCTTCTTCATTAAGATTTTGACTTTTTGGAACAGAATAGAGGTTTTGCACAGCAGCCATGTTGCATGGCAGGAACAATAGATTATTTTTCCCATGGGAAAAATTTTTCTTTCTTATGCCATATATTTTCATTGTTCCTGCCATTCGACATGGCTGCCATGCAAAACCTCTATATATAAGTATTATTGTCTTAATTTCTCCTTTATAACTTTATATCTGAGTTTCATAACATTTTTGCAACAGGCATTTTGTGATAGGTGACCACTTTAATTGCACTACTTTGCTACTTCGAAAATGGATAAAAAAAAATGGTCCTGCTTTGCGTGGAAATTTCACCAGTATCAATAAAATAAACAGAACATTACATGGCCATTTGGGGATACGAATTTTATCTTCTTGTGCTAAAAGTATCTCTCACTCATTCACTTCACTCACTTGTGAGAGATACTTACAGCACGAGAAGATAAAATTCATATCCCTGCATGGCCACATAATGGCCACATAATATCCTCTATTTACATTTAACAATTATTCCATGAGCGCGTGTTGGATATGAGATGATAGATAGCCAACAAGGCACGTAGCGCCGAGTTGGCGATAATCATCTCATATCCAACAAGTGCAAGTGGAATAACTGTTTTATTAAAAATGTTAAATTAAATTTTATTAAATTTTTAGCTGCCTTTTAATTTTAAGTCCATTTTATTATAAAGACAGATTTATTTAATACACTGAAAATTTGTACTTATCATTTGTCAGAATGTTCTTAGGGTGTAACAATATAAACTGGTATATTGACTTGGCCTCCTTAAAACAGTAAATAACTTTAATTTGTAAATGTAATATTTAAGACTACATGCGGCCCAATTTGTCCTCTTACTTCTTAATTGTACTGCTGGTCAGTTGTAATTGGGTATTGCTCAATCAAGTTACTATCCTTTAATTTTTGAAAACTGTCCAACAAAGGATTAATTTGGATGATTTGAAACTATCCAAAAGAAATTAAAATAGCTAAGCTAACAATTTCGAATTAACTACCAGCTGTACAGTTGAACCCTACTATTCATCATACCTCGGAGTTAGAGATAAATTGTCTAAAATTTGTTTTGGCAAGAAAAATTTTTTGATCAAAATTAACCACCTCATCAACCAGCGGAACAACAAAAGCTGTCCATAGACAAAATGATTCATTTGTTGCAAATTGCTTTCGGTTTTTCTTTGACGGCCCAAAAAGATGATTATACGTGACCTGAACAACAAAATTGACTAATTGAGAGGTTAACACCTTTTACCTCTCTCTTCCATGTTCTGGATTTCACAAAGACAGCTTCTATGCACAAATTGCTGCCATTTATTACTGCCGGTCAATCCTCCCTATCCGACTTGCCGCCATGTTACCGAACCTCAAGCCAAAGTACTGGGTACACTCTCCTCAATCTCTCTCGAACAAATCTTGGCTCCAGACTTCTTCGCGTTATTTGTTTAGAAAACATTGCCCGAGGGGGAGCGTTTTGATAGAGGCTCACAGTTTTGAAAGCACGCTATCTGGTTCACCTTTCTTTTTACGGTCTCTTCGTAATCGATTGTAACGTTTATATAACATTTGTGTAATCTATGGCTGATATAAAAGACGAAGAATTTAATCTCGCCTTTTTGGACGAAGATGATATCGATGAAGATGTACCTGACGCCGCTTCAACGCGACTTATCCACCTCGACAAAGATACGGAAATCCCGAAACGATATTTGATTCGCAAGATTTTTTCACCGCATTTGGAGCCGCCAGCTCATTACCACCCTGCTGCAGAAGAATCCCAAAGAAGGAAAAAGGTACCAGTTGTTTTGCATTGCCTTCTTTATTTTTATGACAAAGCGCGCGACATTGCGCAAAGACCAATAGGTTGTCTGTTGATTATAAAAGCATGCCCCAAGAGATTTGATTTCACAGATGTCAACGCCATAGGATAAGCTTAGCTTACGTTTAACAGATTTCAGACAAAAGGAATGAGATAGTTGAATGCGAATTCCCTGAATTCGGTAATCTAATCAACGTTTTTTTGAAAGTCTTCTCAAAATTGTCCGCCAAGCATGTAGCAAATTATGAATGATGAAGTTGTGCGAAATGGAGACATGATTGACCTTAAGTTATGCGCTAGATGCAGTTTTTTGCGTTAGTTATCTAGTTATATCGCCTTTTATGCTTAAAATGTTTTAACTGAGGATATTAACCCCTCGGTGTGTATTTAGTAGCGTATTTCCGGCTTTTTCTCCAACAGGAACAAAGTGAAAGTTCGACATCGTTTATAAGCGCGGACTCAGTTGTGTGTAGACAGTATAACTTCTGCCATTTCCCAAAGGAAATAAACATCTCTTAATCTTTTATCTTTATAGAAAGTTGACATGTCTGCCTGTTAAGCCTAAAGTGATCCCATTTGCTGTCAATTTTGTAGTATTTTTTTTTATACTGCGATTGGCGTAGGCCACCTTGAAATAAACATATTCAGAGGTTGCTGTTATTAGTATTGTTTTATCGCATTAATTTGACATGACATTTGTAAGAAATGGAATTTTCGTGATTGACAGCTTGTCAAGTTTCGATAAACGAATAATAGCAGAAACGTGTAGGATGTCGTGTTCTATGGATAATGGAGGATTCTGTAGAATTTAAACAGTATTTTGTTGATAGGTTTGAATATTAAGGAAATTATTATGCAGACAATGTCACCTTGAAATCTAGTGAATTGAAACACTGTGAAATTAACAAGTCTGTTCAATCTGTATGTTTGACAGTTTCCATTTTTATTTAAATTCTCGCATGTACTGTTTATTTAATTATAAAAGGCATTTTTCCCGCTATACCTTGTGAGCAGTCAATGTTCCTTTCAATCTTACAAAAGAATTGTCCTATTCTAAGCAGATATGAATGTAGTAGGTTAATTTGAAAAATTAAGAGCAAAACTAAAAGAAGTAATCTGAGAAATTATCCAGAACAATTGAGTATGATATCCTAATCTTATCTTTATAATCAGGAGTATGTTTCATTCTCTAGTTTCGTCATTGAAAATATTTTCAAAGTACTGTAACTTTCACCATAAGTTCCCTAATTCAGTGGTCATTGCTATCAGATTGCCTTCAAACAAAATTATTTTAAAAAATCAGGTAAAGAAAAAAAAAGAAAAAGAAAAGCAGCACTAAACAAATGCTTGGAATGCTGTGCATATAACTGCCAACATGTTTCCCTTCTCTCTTTACCTTTTAATTTGGTTTTATTTTAAAAACTGTTATTTTTAAAAACTGTTATTTTTAAAAACTGGATCATTGGATAATGCAATTCAAGACTTTTTATTGGCTTTGCCATTATGGTATATGGCCAATATACCACAATCTACAAATATGGTAAGCGTACGCGTCGGGTTAAAATAAAAAAGGGAGCTAAAAAATGTAAGATTTGTCTAATATCTTGGGGACGTTTTTAATAAAACAATTATTCCACTCGCGCTTGTTGGATATGAGATGATTATAGCCAACGAGGCGCTACACACCTCGTTGAGTATCTATCATCTCATATCCAATGCACGCTTGTGGAATAATTGTTAAATATCATAGGTCCTAAAAATTGATGAATTTAGATTTTGTGGTAAAAGATTATTTTATAGATCCTTTGTTTGGATTTTCTAGTAAATAATTACAATGATTTTCAATTGAGAGAAGACAAACATATAAACTGGTATCCTTTAACTTGTATGTTGGTTAGAATCATAGCTACATGTATGTTAAAAACCTAAGACTCACATGTTAGTTTCAAAAATGGCTTTGTGTCACATAACTTACTTTCCAAGGTGCTGGGCACTAGTTGTATTGCCTGTGTTTTCAACTTAACATATAATTTTTTAGTGCCTGCACAGCATTTAACATTAAGACATTCAAATTACATGGGTGATAAGGCTTTTCTCATAAACTTTGCTCATGGCAACAAATTTCTCAGAGGATTGAACCCTCTAGGTTCAGGTCCTGAAATTTTCTTCTTCTCAAAGTCAATGATGAAATGTTAGGATAGTTTTTATTAAAGAGATTTGACACTGTGTTTACGTGAAACAGCAAATGTCAGCTTTCCCTTCCTCGTTTCACATAAAATGATGTGAACCTTACTGCTTTAGCTTTGTGTGAGCTCACATCATGGTGGATTTGAAGGTTCCCTTGTATTGACTTACAAGAAATAGTTTTGGTGCCCTTTTTCTGGCAATTAACTTTTTCTCTGTGACATTAAAAGTGCGAATAAAATCTTACTTACATGGCAAATGCAAAACAGGTTACTTTAACACAGAAACGGTGAAGTGTAAACAGCAAACATGAAAAAGTGGCGGGAAAAAGAAGGCGACATGGTCACTCTTGCTGTCCAGGTTTCATGTAAACACAGTGCTAAATCTCTCTATTATTATCTTTCTCCCTCTTTCCACACTTAAATTGTTGTTTCAGAGACATGTCCAGGGTTGACCATCAATACGTGACACTATCTGTGTAATATGCACCACAAATTGTCCTTAGCTTTGAAACTCCAACAAAACACATAAAAGTTTGTCAGATAGGTAAAGTATGAAATCCCAGTTGAATATGAATATATATGAATGAATGAATGAATGAATGAATACCTTTATTTAAGTGTCAGACTAAAATAGCAGTACATAACCACTAAATGGGGACACTACAAAATAAATTAAAAATGACTAAATCCATATATTAATATGTATAATGCACCATTCAATCTTGGAGACTAGTGTGACAAAAATATAGAAAGGGGGATTTGGGGACTAAAGTGAAACCACGAGGTTCAGGAAAGTAGTTTCACTGTTATGATTTTAACACTTTTGACTATTTTTCTATGATTAGCAAGAGTTTGGACATGGGATAATTATAGAAGACTTTGTTGTTGTTCTTTTTTTTATAATAAAAAACTTAAAAAATATATTTGTATCAAAATTATTGTGTTACCAGAATGAGGATTCAGAGATGATTAAGGAATTGTGAGAAGGGTAAATATGAACAGTATGAAATGAAAAAAAAACAGCAAATAGCTTAGCATATTTATGATTAATTATTAATCATTTAAAATGATTTTATAGGTATCGTTTAATTGAACTATTCCACTAATAGCTAATATCGATTCTTTCTCAATGCTAAATTATGCTATCTGTGAAGGGAATATCATTAATAAAGTACCTTTTATTTTTCTTGGAAGGTTCACAGCAAGTGGGGCTCTGAAGTAATCAAAGGTCGGCATAGTTTTTCTAGTCAAGATGACCTTGTAGCCTTATTAAGCTTTGAAAGTACACCTAGTTCTCGCAATTCCAGCCTTGATGAAGCAATCATCAGGAAAGTAAGACAAGTTTTATCACAGAAGAGTGGAGATGACCATCTAGAACCTCTACGCCATAGTGCTCTTCAGCTGTTAATGAAGTTTTCCAGTACTGCCACTTATGACAAATTGGGGCAATGTTTTTTAGAGGGAAAAATTGAGGAAATATCTCATTTAAAGCTCACTGAGATTCAAGGTTTGTTTCAATATAATAAGTGAATAAAGATAAACAAATATTGTGAGTATACTTATACATCTAATGATTACTATTATATAGAGTTTATTTGCACACAAAAGTCTTAGTGCCAAACTATTGGCTCCAAGTTGTCCTTCTAATCTGAAAACACAACCCTTAAGGGTGTTTTTCTTTATAGCCACTTCCCCTGCCATGATCCATATAGGTCATTACAAGCAAGATCAAGTAACGAACAAAAAAATGGCAAACTGGAAAGTTTTGATTAACCTTGTGAAGTAGGATTGAGCAAGTCTCATCTTTTTTTTTTTGATGTTTTGGTCAGTGACATCATAAGCTTGGTCTTAAAATGTGTTTTTGACTTGGTCTATGAGCTTCCCATCTCAGACATGGGTCACCCTTTACTCCTAGCTGGCTTGAAAAAGGATTTTACATTTTTAGCCATTTGAATTGGCAATGCTACATGTTTTTACCATGTCAGGGGCCATACACTTCCCACAAGTGAATGAAGAAAAGAACTGACTCAATGTGTTTGTATCATTTTCAGCTGTGTCACTAATAACACCCCCACCATGCTTCATAGAGATAGCCACACCTACTGATGAAGGCTCAAATCTCAAGGAAACCCTTTCCTCGCTGTTGGTGTCACATCAATCTACTTTCCCATTCTTAAGTGTCAGAGAACCCGAACACAAATTTAACAATGGATCCAGCCCCTCAAATTCTCCAGCATCTAAGACCAGACGGGTGGATAATGGTGGTTTAACAAAACCGGCTGTAGGTATGATGCTAATGTTTACGCAGAGAGCAGAAAAAAATTCTGAAAGCTGTTTGAGTGTAGTAAGAGGCAACTCTAAAGAGTGGGAGCAAGTCAGTGTGCCACAAGGAATCACAGAAGGACCTGGTGATGAGATTTATTTCAAAGCTGCAAATAGGGAAGGACCTGTGTTTGCAGTCAAGAAACTATCACCTGGTTCTGGAGTTCGCATTATTCTTTTTGTGAACACGGACATGGATGAAGTAGAGCACTTTTACCACCTGATCACTGGTAAGAAACCACTACACCTGAACAAGATTGAAGAGGGCCTTAGTACCCGCACGTTCCCTCTATCACCCAAACTGGAACTGCAACTTGTTTGTCATCCAGCCCTAAAATCACATCCAGTGAAAAACACTGCTCTTTGCTTCATGTTGAAAGGGAATGATGTGAACAAAATGTGTTCAGAAATTCCTGGTGGACTTCGGAACATTGGTGAGGGACATTGGCAAGGAAAAGATCCTGAGGGAAATGCTGTTATACTTTATAGTTTGCTAAAATAGACTGCTACTGTTGTTTCCAGCTTTGCTTGCTAGGTGTATATCTTGTGACATCTTTTTCTCTAGGTAGCAGTTGTCAACTTGTAAATATCTTTTGTGCCCTATATTTTTACTTTTTCCAAGGTGTGGCTCAATCAGTTTTCTATAGATAGAGACAAACCTGATTGGCCCACGAATTTTGGTGTCATCTCATTTTTGAAAAAGATCAAAATTGATCAGCAATGTTACTTCATTTGCATATTAAATATCCTTACATACAGCTTTCAGAAAGCAGCCAGGTGTTCTTTCACTAGTCAAAGAATCTGCTTTTATTTAATTTAAGTGCTACTTTTAATAAGTTTTATTTAGTTAGTTTAGTGACTTGATCAAGTCCTTGTGTTGAATTAAAATCCAAAAACTGAGAAACAGATAAATACAGCTGACACCAATGGAAAGTGATAACTGCAACACCATGGCATGAAAATAGTTGGATGAATAACAGAGTTTGTCCAGACATTCAGTGGACTGTATCCACATCTTGTAAACTTATAGTAGGATAAGGATGTGAAGAAATTTTTCTCTAAATTAAACGGAAAATATTCTAATTTTCCTATAAGTATCCATTAAAAATCTGCTCCAGAGTATGAACTCCACTACGCTTTAATCTGTCTTTTTTCTATTGCTTAAGACAGATAGCAATAGATAGAGGAAACTACAAATTTGCTTTCCCTGGCAGTCACTTGTGTTGATATTACATATGGATTAATTTAGTTTTCACTAAGCATTTAATATTACTCTACACGATATGTTAGTTTGTAGGTAGGTTTTCATGGTAGATTATTAAAGGCACAGGTGTTGAGACACAATCGAACATGAAGCAGCAACGATAAAAGACTGCCTGTCTCTTTGTCTTTGTTTTCCTCTTTTCTTTGCTCGTACACCCAGTAATTGTTTTTGTTGTGGTTTGACTGCACTTGCAAATGTTTCTGATAAGTATAATTCCCCCACCTCACTAACCAGCCTTTTAGGACCCTGTCCCTTCCTCCCTTGAGAAAGGAGCCTGGGAACAAGGTTACAACCTCAAGTCAGTATTTTTCCAATCTTATCTCCAGAGTGCACGATATCTGATCAACTGTTCTTGGCAGCGTACATTTTAAATTGTCTGTTGGTTTCCTTGCAAATGTCTATTTTTATTTTGAATTTATGTTATTAGTACCATTATTATTAATGGGTGCTATTTTATCTTTGAAAAAAATAATTTATTGCTAAACTGTATGATCGGCGGAAGCAGTTGGGAACCACAAAGTTTTGCCAAAGTAAACAGTGTCGTAAGAGCAACGATGAAGCCCAGCGTACTTCTCTCTTGCAAGTTTTACTTCAGTTTTTTTTGGATCAGACCGAGCTTTATTTTTCAATCATGCTGGCTGAACTGATCAATAGAAAGATCGTAAGGAAAACAAAGACAAAATATTGAGCACATTCAGTGACCTTCAAGCGCCACAGTTCTCATCTTTTCTTTCTTGACGGTAGAGAATTCCCTACTCCGCAGTATTTGATCAATGAGTTCATGAGAAGGGAATGTAAAGAATCCTAATTTTGAGCAGCTCAGGAAAGGGCCACATTCAGCTTGAAACTTTCCAATGTCAAGACAATACTGACTATATGGAAATCTCAATTTTAGTTAAACTACAAAACATACAGGTGAACAAATAGAGCAAGCAAGTAAAAAAGTGTCTTTTCTTTTACGATCAAAAGAAATGATTGAACAATTATATTAGCTTGCTTAGCTAGCAGGATTGTCCGCACGACCAAGAACATGAGTTTCTTTCCCCGAAAAACAACAGAATCGCTTTGCGCCGGAAAGACCTAGAATCTCTTACTAAGCCGCGAATCAAGCGCTCCATAAATACCTTGTGGCTCAATTGTAGCGCTATTAGGGATAACACGGTATTGCAGAAAAAGTCAAGAGATTGCCAGGCTGATGGATGTCATTCCCTTCTGTTTTCTTTTGAAAATCTCATAATGAAAAAGCAGAATAAAGAAGCGGACTGTTGAAAAACATCACACCTCCCTCCTTCTATGATCTCTATCAAAAATTAAATTTTATGAAGTGTAAACGTGTTAACAGGCTGAAAGTGCATCTCACTCGAACTGAGACTCAGGAAATTGGTGAGTTTGATTCTTTTCTTTAATTCATTGTTAATTCCTTCTTACAGAAGACTATTTCTTTCGTAATACACTTGTACTCACGGCGAATTAAGAAACATTTGGAAGCTACAGTTCTAAATTAGACTTAGCAAGAATTCCAGTTAACAAATAATAATAAAAAAAAATCATCCAATAAAAGATCACAATATACAAGGCATGATGAAAGTTACTAAAAATTGATTTATAATAATATAGTTCGAAAAGCTTTACAGAGCCCTTAAGGGCTCAAAATATTCTACACAGCGTTTACAGGGCTGTGGCCTAGAAGCGCCCGGTGGCCCCTGGCACCTTAATTTTGCTCTTACGCGACTCAGGAATCTTAGTTTTTTCATAAAAAGCGTATGCTGGGCACCCTGGGTTTCACAGTTTCAGAGCACTGGGCTCTCTTCAATTTTCCTTAGAGCACAGCCTTGACTTATAAAATAACTCATAATTAAACAAATAATTCACGTCTAAATACATAAGGGTTCGTAATGGCTTGACTACACGTTTGACTAAAATCGGAAAAGAAATTTTCCCACAACACTAACTATGCTGAAGCGAAGAACTCACAATTAACTCATCTTATGTAAGAGAGACCCTGGGCGCCTTCAGTAGTATATATTTCTCAAGATCCTTGAACCGCTTGACGTAAAAGCTGGTGACACCCTGCAAATCTTTCATGACGTAGGTCTGTAACTCACGTGTTGTTTGATTGATGTAGGTTAGAGTAGACTTACCCTCCTCCCCTTCAGTTTCTTTAATGAGTAACCCTGAGCACAAGTGTTCTTTCCTATTGTACTCTGGGTATGGGGGTAGTGTTGTCAGTACTACTGACCGGTAGGCGATGGTGAAGTGGTCTCTGCCATCACAAGGAGCCCTGCGTGACACTAGGAGCACTACGTCATCTGGTTTTGTTGCGTTATGCATCTTGTTCTGTAGTACCATGTGGAGTATCTCATCATCGTCATCAACGACTTTTATCACTTGAACTTTAATCAAAAGAGGATCCCATTCTTTGCGGGCTTTCTCATTCCTCAGCAAAGTGAAAATAACTTCAGCCGGGAGGTGTATAGAGTACGAGGCCTTTACACACAGATGGTTGCCGCTTTCACACTTGGAGAGCGTGACTCCTTTAGATGATTGCACCTCTTGCCATTTTGTTAGCTGGTACAGTTTCACCAGAGCCTCTATGTTGTTAAAGTTAAGCAATTGACTAATGCACTGGTTCCAAGGTATGGCAATCACAGGACCAACAGATTTGCGGATTTGCTCACGCTCAAAGCGCAGGCGTTTTCTAGCCATAGCTTCAAATGCTCGCCGTTTTTGTTCGTCCGTCTCCATCATTAACCTGGGTAACATTTTCAAGTCTCCCCTGCCGTCAGTGCGCCGTGGGGCTGCAAAAATCAGGAACGCACTGTTTACGTGTCGCACCTCACCACCAATGGAGTAAGCTTCTACTCTACATCCCACCTCCATATGAACGTCATACGTGTTGTTCACCATCGTTTTGATGACCACCCTATCTCCCACCTTAATGGGTCCGCGGAACTTGACCTCGTCGACTGCTTCCAACTGTGGGTGAGATCGACACAAGCGAGTAGCTGTGATGGTGCAGGCAGCTACCATCCACGCCATGATTTGACCCCCGAAAGCTGTTTGATGATGGTTTGCATGAGGAGGAAGAACTAGCTCTACACTTTCTAACGAGGTATTGACAGGTGCAATCTCTCCGTTAGAGCGGGTCTCACTCTCCGGTGTGTACATTTCATTGTCATGCTGGTCATTCTGCTTTTTAGCAAGCTCTCTCAGGTTGACTGGGTACTGAATACGCATTCTCCTCCTCTCGTTGGCGAGAGCGTATTGAGATTTCTCTTCCTCTGTGAAAGGCACCACGGGGGTCAATTGCTGTTTTTGGTGATTCTTATCCAAGGCTACGAAAGTAAAGAAAGCCTTACAAACATTTCGTATCTCGCCGCTAAGCAGGTCTTCAACTCGTATCCTTACTCCAACTTCCATACTTGTATGGAAAGCACGATTTACTCGCGCAGTGATGTTAACTACTTGACCAACATAAATTTGTTGGTCAAAATAGAGTTCGTCCATGGAGGCGGTCACACAAGAAGTTCGAGCGTGTTTCTCAGCCGACAGACAAGCTGCTGCGTCCATCCACTTCAGCAGCTGTCCACCACTGAGGCAGTGTTCTTGTCGCTCGTTTGTATGCGAAGGAAGCACGAGCTGATTCATTTCGACTTCGGTAATATTCTTGTAGGAGTCCATTGCTGCAAATTCTAATCAAATTTGTTCTACTAAATCGTTTCCTGTTTTGTTGTGACCTCGTATCTATTCATTCAATTTAACTCTATAGGAGCCAATAACTGAGACAAGCGAGAATACCAAAGGCGAATTCCAACTCCAGTGAGTTGGTTTTCAGTGGTTAAATGGATTTGATAAGAATGGACGTGTTTGTAAATTGAGAAATACATGTAGTAATTTGCATATTGCGTGAGCTCATGTTGTTTTGGCTCTCAGAAAAAACGATGGCGTGACAAATCTTGGAGAATTCAAGAAAAGAGGAACAAAACAACCAAAACATTCTCAAGCAACATACGAAACTTCACCCCGGAGACAAAAGAAAGTAACAAAATGGTCAAGGAGAACTCGCTAGGCGCTAAGATCGATTACTTCAAATTTTAGAAAACGCAAACTAATAATTTCGTGTGATAGGTACTTTAATCATATTCAGAAAGCTTCGACAATCTCAAGCTCAAGCTCTTTCAAAACACCTTTCTAATCTTCATCTATTTTGTTTTGTTTCTTTTTTTAAATTATTTTTCTAAATATTTGCTATTTTTTAATTTTTTGTTGTTATTTATTTTATTGTTAGTCGCAAAGGTTTGAATGAGAGTTTTGTTTGGAAAGAAGTGCGTTTGGTCACCTGTAATAATGCTCCATGCATTGCTTAGTTATTGACGTAGGGGGTCGACAAGTCGATGTGAAACGGCTTCGTGAGAAACCCAGCATTGTTCAAAGAATCAGCTCCCTCGAAATATGCGCAATTATATTAGCTATTAACTATAATAATCCCTACCCTTTCAGTAGAAAGATTCGAGCAACCAAACGGACCAAAATGTCACCAAAGATAAGAACAAATGTTTTAAATCCTTTTTTCTAGCTAATAATATCTCTGGCAATGTACAAGCTGTACTTCCAAATCCACATCGTACCACCAAAAAATTATCCAATAACTCAAAAATCCATAGACATAATAATTAGTATCGATGCCCTTGAGCGCTGGCCTTACTGAGGTGCTATAAGTATGGTATGTTAAAGCAAAATAAGTAACAACCACTCGACAATATTACCCAAGCCTGAAGTAAATTACTATCTCAGTATGATAACTGACACTCAGCGGAAAAAGGAAACATGAAATACGTGGCTCTTGGTTACTATATGAGGAATAAACCCTGTATAGACCATACCTATATAGACCATACCTATATAGACCATACCTATATAGACCATACCTATATAGACCATACCTCATTCCCCAGAGCCCACTAAATATCGACAATGCCGGGCTATCGCACCTCTGATTATCAGAGAATCCGCGTTTCCCTTCAATTTGTATATTTCTTTTCTAAAAAACTTCAAAGAAATTATGCGGCGATCATTTTGAAAATGACAGAGCGTTTCAGTAAGATGTGATGTAATTTGCAACCAATCAGAATATTTGCATCTTTATAATCGCCTAATAATATTCTAGGAAAATGTAATGCGTAAGACGCCTGTAGATTACTATGGATACAACTGGGATAATCAAGTATGTAATATTTTATTTTTAATTCGTTCTTTTGTGTTAGAAGAATCTTTACTTCTTACATTTGCATGAAACCTATGAAGATCGTTTCTCCGGGCAATCCTGATTCAGCCCCTAATTTTTTTTTTTTATGTGATTCATTACATACAGCCAAAACAGGAGCTGTAGAAGAAACTGTAGGGGACTTTTTATGGGCCACAAAACTTTGACAGAGTGGAAATATTGTCACTTTATAATGGTCATTGGTAGTTTAACCTTGCTCCTTCTGGTTGGGAGATTTTTAGAGTTTCCCTTAATGAAGACCAGTATAACAGGTAAGCTTGGCAAAGCTGCTAACTCATTAAGAAAAGGAAGTCTTTCAAAAAAGTTCACAAGTAAAGGTATAGAGTGTTAATTACATCGCTGAAAGAAAAACAAAACGCATATTCGTGCTCTTTAAAGAGTACCAACAAAGTTCCCATAGTTTGGTGGTGCTACGAATTTGAAGTTGCCATCTTTTTGAAAATTTATCAGGTTTATATTCGAAAACCTGATCGGAGGTATTGAACAAAGAAGTTAAAATCTAATTAAAGTGGTTTTTATGTGGCCCCCCAGCGAGTTTTCGTTGCAAACTTTATCATGGATTTTTCAAGATCTAAAGATTTGCATAATTTGTAGATACAGTGGTTACTAATTCATCTTTGGATAATTTGTCCTTTTGGGCAAGAAACAATTGCCTGCAACTGCCACATCCTTGGAGACAATGACCCTGGATAAAACCTTTGAAGAGAGCCGAATAACATAAAAAAATTGTGCTAACTATCAAGGCAAGCAAACTATAATCGCAGAATTTTTAATAATTAAGTCCCCTCTATCGTTTGATCTCTCCGCCTCGTGAGGGAAGTTGATTATTTTTCGGTGAATTAGAACAGCAAATTGAAAATCAGTGGTGATGGTAACACACGCTAACAACTCAGTTAAGGGTCTTTTCATCGATAAAAAGTTTTTTTAAATTTTAATCAGTTGAGTTGAAGAATATTCCCTTGAATTAAAAAGCTTCTCTTTCAGAGTATTCCTGTATTACCTTGGAATATTCAGCGTAGCTGATCACAAATGGTCTTTATTTTAACTCTATCACTCTCCGGAGTGTTCAAGGAGTAATTTCACTTTATAATATCGATACACTGTTAAGCGGACGGGCCATGAGAATATAAAAAAAAACTGAGGTATATCACTTGATTAAAAAAAAACAAATTCTTAAGACTAATATTATAAGAAATGTAAAGTAGAAAGTAAGAAAGAGTGCTAGTTAGATTTAAGAAATGAAAGGTTCAAAGGCCCGCTAATCTTTCTTTCGAAACACGTGACGGAAGTGGAATCCAAGAGCCAACAGAAGTTGTTCAAAGCTCTTAGAAGTGCGCCACTTTTTATTCCAAGTTGTGTTGTGTACCGTTATCATACAGACTCTCTGCGTTTATTTTTTTAAAGGAATACAACACTATCAGTTTGGGGGTTCCTGAAATATACTCAGGTTCTCCATTTAAATAGTAAACATACATTCATAAAATCTTGCTTTGTACAGGACATTTTGTCATTCACCAGCATGGGACCACAAGGAATAAAACGGTATCTATTTGTCTCTTGGTTAGGATCTCTTCTAACAATGTTTTATTTCGTGTAAATTGACAACCTTTAGAATCATCATGAATAAGAGAAATGGGTTAAGAGCGAAACCAAACGTAGTTTTTTACTGTAGCTCTAGTCGCCATGGTGGAGGCGCTGTGGCCTCATGGTTAGTCCGCTCGACTCCGGATCGAGTGGTCAGGGTTCGAGCCCCGGCCGGGACATTGTGTTGTTCTGAGGCAAGACACTTTACTCTCACAGTGCCTCTCTTCACCCAGGTGTATAATTGGGTACCGGCAATTTAATGCTGGGGGTAACTCTGCGATGGACTGGTATCCCATCCAGGGGGGAGTAGAAATACTCCTAGTCGCTTCATGCTACAGAAACCGGAGTTAAGCACCGGCCTAATGGGCCACTAGGCTCGTCAACAGACTTAACGTTTTTACCTAGTCGCCATGACTTCGTGGCGGAAAGTAAAATTTCTCTGTCTAAAACACTAGAATACCCTCCCTAGTCTACGCTTTTCCCTTGTAACTTTCGTGGAAATTCAGCTTTAAAAGGTGATGTGTGAAAATACTGGGCTGAAGATAATTTTCCATGCAGCTGGAGTTCTGACAGATTGTTTTGTTACTTGAAGTTGGATAATCGGACACTCAAGGTACCCTTTTTCGCGTTACCGGCTTACTTATACTATATCTATATATATATACACTTACACAAATAAGTAGTCCACATAGCACTCCTAACATTTGAACTGTTTCAGTTTCATTTTTTTTGTGTGCTCTCTGTCACACGTGAGTACTGTTTTTACTTTTGTAACAGTCAAACACAACCGTAGTGGTTAATGATATCTTCACAAGATCCGCCAAAACACAAGCAATGAGAAAGGGACTCCTGACGGATTACTGCAGGACATATTCTGGAAATCAAGAACTACCCGATAAACAACGACTTGGACAACTTCTTGTCGACGATAACAACAATTACATCTACTGCGCTGTTCCTAAGGTTGCCAGCACGACAATTAAGGGAATCTTGTTCAGTTTGCGTAATGACAGCCATAAAGTTAGGAAGTTTTCCGTGCATACGCCGAGTTTGTGGCAACACATGAGTCAGTTCAATATAACGGAAAACTCAAAACGTCTAGCGACGCATTTCAAGTTCCTCTTTGTACGTGAGCCATTTGACCGTTTACTGTCTGCCTACAAAGACAAATTCTGCGGGAATAATCGAATTTACACGAATGGTTATCGCCGAATGATAGTCCAGGCATTCAGACCTCAAGATACTGAAACAATCGGCACGACTGCTAACAACGTGACTTTCAATGAATTTCTCAGGTACATTTTAACCTATCCTGATTACCTCATCTCTCGCGATGACCACTGGAAACAATACAGACATCTTTGTTTCCCTTGTATCATCCAATACGATTTCATCGGCCATTATGAGACGTTAGAGGATGACGCCATTTACTTACTAAAAATGGCGGGAATTGACAACGTGGTTTTCCCGCCAATTCACTCGTCAGGAGCTGACGAAGATTTTCTCAAGTTTTACTCCCAAGTTCCACTCCAGCTTATTTTTAGAATAGGAGAAATTTTTAGGAAAGATTTTGAAATGTTTGGTTATTCGTTCCCTGGACCCTTGAAAGAATTACTCTCAAATTATACTCTGAATATTAACTCTGATTCTTTAAAACACAAGTAAGGCTATGATCCACTGATGAGTTCTACGTAGGTTACGGCGACGCGGAAAAAGAGAGCTTATTCGTAAGATTGATTAACATATTATCTTTGCTGGTATCATTTCCTGCTCCATGCATTAGGAAGTCAAACCAAACAATTGTCAAGGTTACTAAAAATTCAAATTACATTTTTTTGTGGAGACACAGATGGCAAAGTTTCAACCGTGGAATCTTAAGGGAATTTTTTCAGGCTAACTAAAACTGGCATTTGCGATCTGTCTCGTGGATGTGGAAAATAAAGTCACTTCTTGAAGAAATCAGATATTATTCTCTGGTTGTTTGGTGTTGTACATTTCTTTTGATTTTTCGAGATTGGTGATGCGGGATACTTTTTCTTGGGAGAAATTAAACCTGCTCGACTTGAAGTTCGTTTGGTGGCCATACCAGACGAGCACAATTTCGACTCCTCGAGGGGTGATATGGGACGTTTGCTTTCAGACTCTCTGGACTCCATTGTAGCAAATGAGATGGTTTCAGACACCCTAACCTCGTCGCCTTTTCCAATGGCCACCGTATCAAGTAAATCTTTCTGATTTAGAGCCGAATTTCTTGAAACGGAACTTTCCTTCTTCTGTTCGTCTGATGTTGTAGGGACTCTTGAACAGAATCGTAACATGCCAGTGTTGGAGATCTTGCTTTTCCAATCGTAAGCCATACTTCCTATTTCCTTTGTCAAATTCTTTGAGTTAATAATCGGCTAAAAATGAACATAAACAGATGTGTCACCTGAAAAGCTCTGCGAATTTTTCCCGCATCCATTCTTATTTAAATCATTTAGCCTAGATGAGTGTTTAAATTAAGAAACCATATACTAATTTTATCAAAAAATGGGAATTTTTCCTCAGGTAAGCTACAACTCATATACACTAGAGATAACCGAATGTAAAATAATCAGGGGAATAGGAAAAATGACTTGAAACACAAATCTCAGATCAAAAGCTCCTGACCCAACCTGATCTTCGTGATCTGTTCCCCACATAAAATAAATTGGTCCTTGTAATGAATTCTGCAATTCAGGCAAGCGTATGCGCTCTCCCCAACTGTGGATACAAAACAATTCCTTGTTTAGAGGAAGTTATGAGTGAGGTTACCACCTCTCTCGTTAAGGCAAATGCGAAACATTTTGTCTCCCCAAATTTTAAGACCCGGGATCAGATTTCTCTTTTAAGGTGAAACGCAGAAAAAAACAGAGCTCCAAAAAACTTTGGATGGAATGAGGAGAGGAAGAGGATTTGGACCACTGCTGGGCGCGTTATAACACTCATGTAAACAATTTTGATACCAAACATAGGACTACCGTAAGGAGCAAGATTCATAAATATATTGACAAAGATAGCAACGGCTCTTACAAACCTCTTTATCTCCTCTTCACTCAATACCCGATGTTTCCCAACTCTGCGATGCACGCGGACATAAGCAAAGTCACATGAACCAAGTGCCATGATAATCGGTACCACTCCTCCACGACCAGACCCCTGCCAAAAGAAGTAATTCTTTTTCTCAGAAGACTCACGAAGATGTCCAATTTTTTTTTTTTTTTTTTTTTTTTTTTACTTTTGCTCACCCCAACAAGACTTGTTATGCTTAGGATGAACACAAAAGAGTAATGAAACCTGCAAAAATTTAACAACGAAGGTAGCTGTGGGGAAACGTTTCTTTTTCAGAGTTGGTGTTTCAATGGATCAGTAGAACAATACCTCAAAGTAAGAATCTATTAAATACTTAAAAAGAAACCATAATATGTTTCCTAGTAAAATAAACGTTCTTTAAGACAAATAACTCTGCAACCTGACATGCACATGCTACTTGTAAAATATACATGTTGCAGGTAATTTTTTTTTCTAAGGTAAATTTAATTTTTCACTTGGTACAATTTTTTAACCTAGGTAATTTTGCACCACAATATTTTTTTCACTTGCTATGGAGTAACTAACTCTTTATTTATTGATAACAATGATAGAGATATTGGATTTTGTCAAGATAAGAATATAATAATCTGAGAGAGCAAGATCTTCACTGCAATTAGCCTGATTCTGTCAAATATACCAACAAACAATGGGATATTAAACTCCTAATAAGCATTTTTGTCTTTTCTGCTGCTCTGAGGTGAAAAGTACTCTTCAATCACTTCTAAACTAACTGATCAATGCACAACATTATATATTATATAATAAATCACAATATATCATCTTAATCTGAGATATGTGTACCCTGAATAACCCCACTGTAACTATCATCAACTGCATTTGAACGTCAGGATAAATAACAGTACCTTGCCTTGTCCCTCAGCTGATTTGTTCTTTTCAACATAGAGCTGTAGACAGGTTGGACAATGAATTTCAGAATACAAAAATGAAAGCATGTTATGATACATTCCCACAACGATCTTTCAAAGTTGAAACAACAAACCAAGATCTCTAATATGTCAAAGGTTGTTGTCTAACACCTGCTTAAACAACTTGTCTGAATATTTATGGTTTGCCAGATGGGAGGAGCTCTTAATACAAACTGACAGGATTGAAGATAAACTTGAGTAAGAGGGCGCAGCTGTGGCTAGACGCAAATCACAGCGACCAAAACTATTCAGAATAAAGAGTACATGGAGAAATTTATAAATATGACCAACTTATTTTTTGAAACATCATCCAAATAGAAAGCAAACAGTTAACTAGCAGAAATTGTAGCATAAGAAAGGCAGGTTAAGGATAAGAGAACCCTTAAGAATGATTACAAATGTTTCTCTAACCTCATTTTGCAATTCATCGGCAACTACCAAACCTTAAGTGAAAAATGATAACAGTGAATAATTGATCTTTACCAAAAATGCCCTCTTACAATATATGCATCAGTGTGGATGGTAATTCAACAAAATTCAGGCTGCAATGGAAAAGCAACCAGGATTTAAATTTATGAGTAGAATAATAAAGTCAAAAAGTTCTAGCACCCAAACCGCTAGAACATGTCTTGGTTTCCATAGCATAGAGGGGAATTATAGAAGTACTTCTGTTGCCTATGATGGGGCACTGATCAATCCCAAATTACCATGTATATATCTCCATCTGAACTGGCAACTCTCTGGCACTTATTTCTGGATGTATTTCAAGAAATATAGAAGCAGGATAGCAGCGTAACATAAAAGGATAGTATCATCTACATCTGAGTGAAAAACATCTCAGGTCATCAAACTCTAACCAAAGAATTCTTTGATTTCTGATCTGTCATTTATATTCATGGTCGGGGAGGGGAATTTGTGAAAGTTCAGTGTCATACATTTGTACACAACACTAGTATAGCCCAACCTAGAAACTTAGGACCTTTTGATCTAGAGTCCAACATGCTAAACATTTGGTCACCAAGATTCCCGCTTAGGAGAGGTGCTAATGTATTAAGGGCATAATAACATCTCAAAAGTACTCCCATTCTCCTCAGTTCTGGAGCAAACATTTGGTGCCATTCATTCTTCTAATTTTCTTTATTTCAAACTTCAGGTTACTGTACTCACCAATATTGTGCTTTTTCAACCAGTCCAAGGTTGTATGTAAATTCTCAGTTGTAAACCAAATTCTTGAGCGAAACTCTACAGCCATAGGATAATTTGTTTCAAGAAATTTTCTACACTCAATGACGTGCTCCTTATTTTCATTGGTAGGATGGAAACCTAAGTGAAACTAGAGGATGCAAAGTGATTTTATAAACAAACAAAGAGATAACTACAAAAATTGAGCTGCACATTCATTTCCCCTGTTCTTGGACGCTGCATTGTTTAGTTACATCACACTTTACACCACTGATTCAAATGGTTTTCTTTTTTGCCCTTAAATTTTTTCCCAGTTTTGATTAATTGATAAAATTGATAAGAAGACTTGGCATACATAGTTCTGTCTGTAATCATGCTTACTTTGTGTTCCTTTAATCACTTTTTTTTTTGCAGAGCAAACTTTGGCCCCCCTTGACCCCAAAATAACAAACAATATAACATTATAAATTTCTTTGAACTCTTAGTATCATTTTCCATTCTAGCAAGATCACAAGAGAATTTAAAGAAAGTGAAAGTCAAATAAAATGTACTTTGATTTAATACAAAAATCTTAACATGCATATTTAAGGAAATATCAGGTTACTGAATGGCTTACCAACTGACTTATGTACATCTCCATTTCAATGGCATTAATTCAACACCTAATCAAAACCTGGTAAATTGTGAAAATTTCTTGGTGGATTCTTCATTTATAAATTTACAACTACTATCAACAGCCTAAATTTACAACTACTATCAACAGCCTTTATTCATTACTATCAACAGGCTCTACCTGGAAAATGACAACTCCCAATTTGTTTTTCTGATGAGCAGGTTGAAGTGCAGAGTTGAATCTGTCCCAGAGTTTCTGTTTTTGCAGAACACTTAATTCCTCCCAGGTGATTGACACTTGTCCTTTAACGACATTCTCTGGGAGCTCATCTCTGACAACATGGGGTAGTGCCAACATAGAGATTGACTGAAAAACCAAAACAGTTTCAGCCTATCTAATCTGTCTGAGGGTTATAACCCTAACCCTAACCCTAGCTCTAGCCATTCAAGATCTGATTGTTAATTCTCTCCTCTAGATGTTTAACAATTCTTGTAAATTAGTTACTAGAACTTCATGTGAGATAAGATAACCTCCACCTGATAAGTTCAAGTATTCTCAGTACCTGTTTCCCGGATAATATATGGATAACAAAGGGAGAAGTTACATGTTAATCACTTCTGAGAGTTAAAAGGTTAAATAATAAAGCTCTCACTTGTTAGTTAATTTAGCAACATAAATTTATGAGCTCAAAATCTTTTACTGTGCAAGTCAAGTCTTGTTAATTCTTGGAAAACCAGAAGCTCAAAGATGTTAGAGTTAAAACCCTGACTCAGAAGTGTAAAGGGACTAAAATGTTTTAATCCCTGTGAATTAAGAACCGACCCATTACAAGATCCAATTTATCAGTCAGTGAATCCATCTATTCCCCTTGATGAAGTAATATACTGTATCTTGCTCGAGAACCCAATTGAATAGCCACTACCAAGTTTGAAATAAAAAATTTTTCATGCCGAGTCAGAATATTGGATATTAGGCCACCATGTGATGTGTGTCATTTCATTTCAAGTATTCTTACAATACATGGAAGATGTTTGGTCTGGTGGTCAGCACAATGAATTCATCAGCATAAGCCCAGTAGCCCAGTTATTACATCATGTTATCAAATAACCTGCATGACCCTGCATGTGCTCTCATTCCAAATGATTATATAAAAATCCTGTTTAAGGGGCAATTAATGTAGCTCAAGGCAGGGGGTTAGTAAGCCCCATGGTCCAGTGCACAACTCCACAAGATACAAAATAGGATCCCATCAGGAGAAGTAAAAATACTTACATCATCACAAATCTTCTGCCCAAGGTAATAAATTTGTTGGAAAAGAATCATGACATTAAAGGCTTCCATTGCCTCCCCCCCCCCTACCCTGCCCATCTCCAAACTCCATCCAGTTGTAGTGATACCTCACTGTAAAATTAGTTCTAAAAAAGATTTTCTCAAAAATTCAACCTCTAATGTAACTCTTACCTTTCTTGTAAATAACCCAAATGCTTTGAAGTGGAACCTAAAACCCGTCGGTACACACTTCAGCCATTTCTCCACTGTTATTGGACTAGGAATCGCATAGTTACTCGTGTCGCATTCCACACAAGGGAAGAATCTGGAATAATGCAGTAAACGGTCCGCTGTTGTCTTAACTGAAGCTGGATAAAACCTTCCGCATTTTACAATAGACGAATCCGACCAACCACAAGTTCCTTGGAGAACTTTCCCCGCGAGATCAGCATCATTCCCCGCCATTTTCTTTCTAGTACCCAGTCTCTGTATCAGTCTCTCTTTGACGAATGTAACTGGAGCATTGGGGAGAAACTTGATTCCAATATGGTAGACGCACAGTGTTGTTCAGGTCTAGTTATCATGTCGCCAGTTATTGTGAAAAGTTAGTCCCAAAGATCCAGTGATAAAATTCAGAAGCCTGGATTTTTGGTTTTGAATTATTCCCCGATGTCATCTTGGGCCGGATTCACAGACGAAGAGCTCCTCCGTTTGAGACAAACTGGAAGAGAAGATGGGACAGCTCCAGAAAGCCTTAAAAAGTCAGCGATTAACACTGCAAAACGACAACGACCTCGAGAGAAAGTAAGATCAAGAGTTACGTCCTCAGAAAAAATAGAGTTCGGGAAACAAGAAGGAAATGACGACCAGGGCTCGAGAAATCGCGCTCAGTCAGCGCAGCAAAACCCAGGCTCCAGAACCCACGGTGGTCATTCAACTTCGCGGCTTGATTCCAGGGAGGAAGAAAAGGAAAATTCCTCTCCAGAGTGTGAAAGGCGGGGAAAAAGTATAAGCCAGGTAAAAGAAGGGAATGCCTTTCCCGAAGAACCGACATCAGAAACCAAGTCTTTGGAGAAGGCCAATGATCAACAAGGAAAAGCTCTCGAGGTGGATGATGGCCTTCAAAAGCAGAATGGTTCACGAGCGGATAAAGAGGTGGAAATCGTTCTCCCTAATATAATCGACGAGAGTGATAGGTAGGATAAGGGAAAGGTGTTATTAAAGTTTTATTTGATCAGGTCACTCCAACAGTTTCTGGTGAAGGTACTTACCGGTTCGCGAGCATTTTTAACCCACATTCCACAAGGGTAAGATCTTGTCTCTTAGTGACATTTAATTAAAAGCAAATTTTCTTCTTTTGCCATTGAACCAGTGTATGTAGGGATGTTTTATTGTTTGCTTTCAATCAGCACTTAATATTTTACATAAATTATACAGGTAAAATAGCTTGAATAATCAGGGATTGTTTTATTTTTAAACAAGAAGTGCGGTATATTGGCAGGGGTGCATGAAACTTTCATGAATATACAATAATCAACAAAAGCAGTTGGAACACGTTAAAAAAAACCGATTTGTTCTCCTTTCTGGCACATTGTACCCTTGTACCCTCCCTCCTTTCCTCAGGTTTTTCGTATTTTGTGCCAACTAAGCAACTCTTGGTGATGAAAAACACAACATTGTTCTGGGGAATGGGTTGAATGTCAATAAGGCAAGGGGTGCAATTTGTAATAAGTGTTACAATCCTTTAATGCTCATTGAAGTTGTCAGACATGAAAGAAGATCCTTGAGCAAACTGAGTTCTCTTTTTGTGCAGTCATTCTCTGTATCCAAGTGAGGACCCATCCAAGAAGACAAATTATTACACATGTTTCAAATACCATATTTTAATAACTTGTTATAATTATTTTTTTTTAATTTTTTGCATAGAATACAAGCTATTGAGTTGTCAGCATTGGAAAAGATGCAAGAAAAACAGAAACAGATTGAGCTGGAAAATAAAAGAAAGAAAGCAGCTCTTCAGGAAACAATAAAGAAAAGGTATTCTTTTACTAGTTCACAAGATCAAAAAATGAAAAGCCAATCATACTGATGTTGGCAGAAGACAATACCTACGAAAATGGCAGAAAGCAGAGTGGATGCCCTGAACCATAAAATGATTACATTTTGTGGTGTGAAAAAGTGAGCATGAATAGAGCACGTATTTAGGAGGTAATTTATCAAGATGCTTGTATTTAGTATCAATAACCTCTCCAGTTGTTATTTCCACCTCTCTTTTGGTCTTATTTTGCTTATTTTTTGGGTTAGATATCAGAAAACCCAAGCAGAAGCCCAAGTTCTTTCTTTAGTTCAGAAAGAGTTGAGCCATCTTGACAGTCTCCTGTCTGCTGATGTGGCAATTCTGCGAGACAAGATAGAGGAGAGCAGTAGAGATTATCTTAGTGCACAGTAAGTGAATGAGTACACTATTCAATTTAGGTTTGCTAAGATGTTTTACTTTGCAGAGCAATTTCTTCTAAATTTTCAAGAACGAGTTGATCCCTCTAGTCTAAATTGATTGCACTACTGGCAACAGATTTTGTATTTCCACAGTTTCATTCTTGGCTTCTTTCTGCTGCTAATGCCACATCAACAAAGCTTTACCAACGAATATGTGCACGATCCTTCGCAGTAAAGCACTATTTAAGCAATAGTGAAAATCAGACCTGAAAAAAATTTTTTTCAGGTCTGATTTTCACTATTGCTTAAATAGTGCTTTACTGCGAAGGATCGTGCACATATACGTTTCATAACCGCAGTTCATATATATGTATTTCATATGTTTGTTGTTTGATTTATCATCTACGGGTTTATGTCGAATTAATTTGATGGCCTGCTCCCAGTTGGCTTGTTAGCTCAATTGGTAGAGCGCTGCACTAGTATCGCAGAGGTCAGTGGTTCGAATCCCGTACAGGCCTGAATTTTTTTCAGGTCTGATTTTCACTATTGCTTAAATAGTGCTTTACTGCGAAGGATCGTGCACATATACGTTTCATAACCGCAGTTCATATATATGTATTTCATATGTTTGTTGTTTGATTTATCATCTACGGGTTTATGTCGAATTAATTTGATGGCCTGCTCCCAGTTGGCTTGTTAGCTCAATTGGTAGAGCGCTGCACTAGTATCGCAGAGGTCAGTGGTTCGAATCCCGTACAGGCCTGAATTTTTTTCAGGTCTGATTTTCACTATTGCTTAAATAGTGCTTTACTGCGAAGGATCGTGCACATATACGTTTCATAACCGCAGTTCATATATATGTATTTCATATGTTTGTTGTTTGATTTATCATCTACGGGTTTATGTCGAATTAATTTGATGGCCTGCTCCCAGTTGGCTTGTTAGCTCAATTGGTAGAGCGCTGCACTAGTATCGCAGAGGTCAGTGGTTCGAATCNTTTTTTTTTAATTTTTTGCATAGAATACAAGCTATTGAGTTGTCAGCATTGGAAAAGATGCAAGAAAAACAGAAACAGATTGAGCTGGAAAATAAAAGAAAGAAAGCAGCTCTTCAGGAAACAATAAAGAAAAGGTATTCTTTTACTAGTTCACAAGATCAAAAAATGAAAAGCCAATCATACTGATGTTGGCAGAAGACAATACCTACGAAAATGGCAGAAAGCAGAGTGGATGCCCTGAACCATAAAATGATTACATTTTGTGGTGTGAAAAAGTGAGCATGAATAGAGCACGTATTTAGGAGGTAATTTATCAAGATGCTTGTATTTAGTATCAATAACCTCTCCAGTTGTTATTTCCACCTCTCTTTTGGTCTTATTTTGCTTATTTTTTTGGTTAGATATCAGAAAACCCAAGCAGAAGCCCAAGTTCTTTCTTTAGTTCAGAAAGAGTTGAGCCATCTTGACAGTCTCCTGTCTGCTGATGTGGCAATTCTGCGAGACAAGATAGAGGAGAGCAGTAGAGATTATCTTAGTGCACAGTAAGTGAATGAGTACACTATTCAATTTAGGTTTGCTAAGATGTTTTACTTTGCAGAGCAATTTCTTCTAAATTTTCAAGAACGAGTTGATCCCTCTAGTCTAAATTGATTGCACTACTGGCAACAGATTTTGTATTTCCACAGTTTCATTCTTGGCTTCTTTCTGCTGCTAATGCCACATCAACAAAGCTTTACCAACGAATATGTGCACGATCCTTCGCAGTAAAGCACTATTTAAGCAATAGTGAAAATCAGACCTGAAAAAAATTCAGGCCTGTACGGGATTCGAACCACTGACCTCTGCGATACTAGTGCAGCGCTCTACCAATTGAGCTAACAAGCCAACTGGGAGCAGGCCATCAAATTAATTCGACATAAACCCGTAGACGTACAGGCCTGAATTTTTTTCAGGTCTGATTTTCACTATTGCTTAAATAGTGCTTTACTGCGAAGGATCGTGCACATATTCGTTTCATAACCGCAGTTCATATATATGTATTTCAAAGCTTTACCAAATAAAACAAAGTAACCAATTGAACTTAGCTCTTCCTATGGTTAACTTCTCACAAGTTCAAGGTAACATGCAAAGTTGACATGCACTAAAAATTTCCTACCATACTGTTTCATGTTCTACTCCAATATATTTGTGACTCTTGTCTCTAAGTTCCTAAATTTTTTTCCTCCACAAGCTTAAGTTCCAACTGTTTTAATTGTCTTTACTGATGCACTTAATAATCAAAAGCATATCCATATCATTGATTTCAACTGCACTCAAACTTTGGTTATCAAGTTTCAAATGTTTGTTTGCTAAACATCTCAGGTGTCCATGCTTAGATGAAAACAGCAGTAATGTTCACAACAGGACATACTACTTATTAACTTTATTTTCAGAAGGAGGTATGAGAAAGCAGAAAAAGAGTTTGTGGAGGCGAAGATGGATTTACACAGAAAAACGGAAAGGAAAGATTTACTTACAGAGCACCTGTACACCATTATTAGAGAAAATGAATTGAGAAAGGCAAAAAAACTTGAAGAACTCATGGCAAAGCTTAATGAGGGTGATCAACCCTCTCTGGAACAGAGCAATTCTGACGTTTCGGTGCCATTAGAGAAGGCAAGTAGAGATGTTCCAGAATCGAAATCAAGTTCATTTTCATCACCATGTGATGACGTAGACGACAAGACTCCTATTAAAGAGACTAAAATTGACCTGGCAAAACAGGCCACGATGTCTGAAGCGGTTTCAAAAGAAGAAGTTACAGTTACGAATTGATTAAGCTTCTTTTCACTTTGAATAAACGTCTCATAAAATGACTGAAACTGATAATCACGACTCCGGGTGAAATGTTTGGTTATTGTGTAGGTAGGTGTCGATACAGAATGAACCCCAAGATTTACCGGAAAATCAGCAGAATTCTCAGGGAGACTTCATTTTATAGCTGAACTTCTCAATGAAAAGTAGTTTTATATACTCCGCCTTTACTGGAGTCATTCATTTTAAATCTAAATTATCCTGGGATAATAAACCTTATAAATTTCTGAAGTAGGCTTGGTTCTTTACATGAACGTAACATACACCTGTCCAATTAGACCTATGCAATTAGCCCCGCCCAGTTTTCAACCCTCCCGCCTTTTCGAAACTCGCGCCACTTTTCTCGACCAATAAGATTCAAAACATAAACCAATCGTCACTTTGTAACTCGCGTTAACTTGTCTTTATTTTGAGTTTTACTGGGCTCTGAGGTATTTTCCTTTATTCTGATTGCGGGTTGTTTGGTTTTGGTTTTACAATCGAAATTTGCTGCACATCTTGTAGTAATTATAGTTATGAGACAATTACGGTGGGAGATAAGTCTAAGGTTTATCCTTCAAAGCACATAAACCTGCCGCACATAAACCTACGCACCAGGAAAATGACAACCACACGTATATATATACATATATATCAAAATCATCTTTATAGTTTGCCTGAAAAAGCAAAGCCGCATCAAGGGGGAGGCAAGACCGAGGCCGTTTCCCCCTGATGCGGCTCGCGGATAGGTAGAAAACAAAGGCGAGTTGCCAGGTCTAAGGCGAGCTAACAGTGATGCAGTCGATAACGAAACCAGCGCATATGAGAGCGACACAGTTGATGGATAACTAATGGATGCTACGTATTATGTTGCCATTGGACGGTATACAATTTCTCACATTTATTTTTGTCCTCTACTTAAAATTACGAACAAAGTAAAAGTAATTTTGTCCTAGTCCAGGTGTAACAGTCATGAAATTTGCCACCTCTTGATTAATAACCAACAAATCATAGGCAAATTCATTTCCTACCCACTTCCTCATCGTCAAACGCCCCGAGTGTTGATATCGACATCAACTGAATCCATTGATCGTCCTTCGAAGAAACCACAAGGGTGCCATCGGAGAACAGGGCTATATCCGTGGGGCGTCCATCGATCGGGAATGCCTCTAGAAAAGTTCCGTCGGGTTTGTACGTTTGAATGGAACTAGATCCCCAGTCACACACTAAAAATATTTCCTCTCTTGGATCAAAGATCATTCCCGTCGGTAAAACCAGACGACCATGACCATGAATTTCGTTGTCTTTACCCCCAAAATGCCGAAGAAAATCGCCACATTCGTTATACACCATAATGCACCCTTTTTCCATGTCTGTCACATAGTAATGCTTTTCATGGTAAAGGACTTTAAAAGGGAATAACAAAGTACCCTCGCCAGAAAACCCGAACCTCAAATCGGGTTTTCCGAAAGGCGTATCCGAGTGCACGATGATGCATGCTCGGCATTGTTTCGCTAAGGGTTCGCATGTGAGCAAAAACCGTCCACTCTGATCAGTGGAAACAAAACAGTATTTGACACCCCACTGCGAGCTGCTTCTGTAACTCACTTTAAAGGTTCCATCAATTGGATTGATGAGATGTACGTCACGAGCACCGTTGACGGCGATCAAGTCGTTTTTGTCCTTGGAAAAAGCAACGCCCGAAAACATCATGGCAGGTTGGGGAGAGCTGGCTGGAGATGTAAATCTATTCACGAAATCACCATTGCGATTCAAAATCAGAATGTTGTTGTTCTCTGGATCAGCTACAGCCACCTGCTTGTCACCATCTGTTGCGATGCTTAAGGGTGAAAAAGACTCGAAGCCAAAATTCGAAGCAGTGATCTTACGTAGTGTTGTGAGCGATACCCTCATGAACTGCAGAGGCGTAGAAATTCCAATTTTCACCCCGCTCGGATCACTCATCGATAAGTCTCCAATGCCCAGACTTTCGACATTTCGCAGAAGATCTTTGTTTGCGTCGAATGAAGCAGCAAACGAATTTAATTCGTGCATCTCTCTGTAAAGTTTATCCTCTGTGCTATTGTGCGCCAGGGAAGCTAAGGTGTTTTTCATCTTTGAAATTTCCCCATCGTTCTTCTCATCGTAAGCGTTCAAAGAAACATTAACGTGAGCTTGTAACTTCTGTTTGAAAGCTTCCATCTTTTCTTCAAGGCGGCTGAAAACGCTGTCTTCTTGAGAAATAAAATCTTCCATTCTACTGATCAACTCTGATTCGCTCAGCCTTGTCTTTCTGACAATCGCATCAGCCATTCTGTGAATTTCTTCTTTAAGACACTCTCCATGTTCGAATTTTCGTTGTCGACTCAATTTTAGCTCCTTTATCAATTCATCTAAAACTTCCACCTTTGTTACGCATGCTTGAATCCCCTTGGAAAGCTTCTCGCGTTCTTTTTGCGGCTCGGTTTGTTGTAGAAGTTTCACTAGGAACACGTTTGTCTGTAAATCATCAAGGTCATCTTCACGAATAAAAGATTCTTGTCGACACGTAGGGCACTGTATGTAAGCCGGTTTTGCTCGCATTATAATATTTTTGAGACACTGTCGACAAACGTTGTGATTGCAAGTAGGAAGAACTTTCGGATCTTGAAACTCTTCTAAACAGACCGGACAACAATAATCATAAAAATCCGTATCCTTATACCCGCTGGAAGCCATTTTCAGTCGGTATCTTTGAAACTAGTGGAGAAGTAACCGCCGAACACTTCCTGACAATACACAGCTGGGAGTTTCAAAATTGTTCATTTACATTGGGTAAAACCGACGTTATGATAATGCGGACGTGTGGCTTTTCAGATTTGCATACATAAAACAGTTTGATTGTGATCAGCGAATGAGAAGTGAATCTCTAAACGCCACTATCACAAAATTAACCTCAATGGACAAACACCCATGATTCACCTTAAAAAAAAAATTATACACCAACGAAAATAGGACAATTGGGCGCAATTACTTGAATATAAAGACTCTTTCATATAACTAAATCATTTATTTATTCAGTTGGAACATCAAACTGTAATATTACACAGAAACAAAATAATAAGGAATCTCGAATACTCATTTCAACCCATGTCTTACTCATATACCGTTTAAACAATGAAAGTACTTTCTGCGGATCAAACCTGTATCTGAATGTTAATTTAAAAAATTCAGAAGCTTTGTTTTGAGACCAAAAAAAAAAAAAGAACTTAGGGAGTTCATTAAATTAACATACCGTAAACTGCCGCTTATAGCAACTTCGTGGGGGATTTTAGGAGGGCTTATAAACGGAGGGGCTTATATCCGAGGGTACTCATATCCGAGAGGGCTTATATCCGAGGGGGTTTATAAGAAAGCGGAATAGAAGAGTGCTTTGAAACGAGTTATAGCAGTGCTGATCAAAATTCGTTTTGCATTTACCGGTTCTTAATAATTCTCCACATCGACATAGTAAATCGAATTCATTTCAATACATTTAAATTACCGTGTGTATATTACTCTTGGGGAACAACAAACACAATGCTTAGGTCATGAAACAAAAACGTGACACACAGTGCATTATATATGGACTATAATCAAAATCATGCAGAGGAAAATGCGTACTGTACAGAAACAAAGCCCTACGTTAGGTTGATTGTATACGTTAAGCTGAAGCCTGTTAACTCATGATCAGTGTTGCACAATAACACCACGACGAAGCATTGAAAGTTACTTCAGTGGTGTTTCACATTGACGTTTTGTTGTTTGTTCTTTTAATTGTTTATAAACTTGATATTTCGCCAAGCCTGGGGCGGATTGGCGTCACCAACCCCATACTTCGATAGACAATTCTTCCATTTAGGTTCTTCATTTGTCTTTCTTTTGTTGGGAAAGTGAGTTGTCTCTAAGTGTAAAGTTTGAATGTTATATGATTAAATAGTTTGTAGAGAAACAAGGTTTTGCTCTCTTATTTACGGCTGAACAATCAGTTTCGGTCAGCTAATGTTGAAAAAAACAAAAATGAAAAAAGAGTACGATTTCATTAGACAGGAAGGCCTGCTTCAACTACAACACCACAGGTTACTACCTCGATTTAGTGCATCCGATATCAAATATCATTCATTTTTAGGCTTAAATTTTTATTCATTCCGCCAAGTTTAGATTCAAAACTGCCTGTTGTGGGCTGTTTCACACGTTCAATAGGTGAAACAAAGCGCGTCACAAAACGGCGCGAAAGTGACAGAGGACTGAAAAAACGAGGGAGGCTTGGGTCGAGTCGACGCGACCTGAACCTTCCCTCGTTTTTCGCTCAACCACTTCAAGCGCATCGTTGACTATTCGCACGGATTTCACACCTTTTTACTTTGTGAACGCCTGGGTCAGGCTACTCTGCGCTCAAAATTAGTCATTTCAATTGTGTATTGTCGAATTCCTCAGTTGCTGAAATTGCCGAATGGGCAGCTTCCAACAAACTACCGATCAACGAAAGCAAGATTAAAGCCATACTCATTACTGGTAACCGTCTCGCCTCGAAGATCATTTACGAGATGGCTTTAACTATTAATGGAACTGAACTTGAACTTGAACTTGTCCCCAGTGTTAAACTGCTGGGTCTTGAAATTGACTCTGAACTAGCATTTAATTCCCATGTTGAGAAACTATGTAAAAAGCTGTCCCAGCGAATCGCAATATTGAAAAAGATACGATCTTGCCTGCCCATGACACAAAGATTATTGTACTATAACTCTATGATTAGATCGGTCCGGCTTTACGTCAGCTCAATCTGGACTAGCTGTAACAAGGAGAGTCTAGGTCGTATTTTAAAGTTGCAGAAACGAGCAGCCAGGGTAATTTCTGATGCTGACAACCAAGCGTCTAGTGCCAAGCTGTTCAATAGACTTCAGTGGCTCCCTTTTTAGGAGGAATCCAAAATAGCTAAATGCTGCGTTGCGTACAAACGTATCAAGCGTTAAGTACCTTTATATACTGAAGGCTCTTTAATACTTAATAGTCAGCAACATAATCGTGCTACAAGATATAGCAACCGACACTAATTTAATTTGCCCAAGATTTAATCGTATGACCGAAGGCGGTAGATCAGTCGCAGTCACTAACTGTAAATTTTAAGAATAGCCCAAGTCTAGAATTCAGGAATTCTGTATCATTAGAATCTTTTAAAAACAATTATAGAAACAACCTTCTTAATGTACAACAGAAACTACATCATTTTATAGTCTAACATACGATTCATCATTTGCTCTCAAGTTACATTTTATTTTTATTCGTAATTCGTCTTCTAATTAGATATATATTCCTAGTTTTTATTAATAGTTATGTTAGAATTCAACATACATTGTTTGTTAGAATTCTTTAAATAGAGGGCCACAAGTTTATTCGTTACTTCAACTACTCCGTGCCACCCTCTCTAAATAAAGTGTATCATTATTATTATGTCGCAGAGAAATCAACTGAATGCTACATTCTAATCAGGCAGCACAGGGCGAAAACCGTAACCTGTGAGCCATGGAGTAAAAAAATAAATGTACATTAACTATAATTATTATTATTATTATTATTATTATTATTATTATTATTATATGCAGTGTACACGTATAGATGCTATAATAAATAAAAGAACATAGGGCGCAAAGCGTAGCCTATGTCTTCTTAAGAAACATACGTCTATACAGATAACTATGTTTATGTCTAAAAACTACAACGAAATATTCCCTAAAAGTCTCTACAATATTCCCTAAAAGTATCTAAAACATTAAATACGCACTGTTACTTGTTGGTGGCCTTGAAGGTGCGGGCTATGTTAACCGAGCTTGAGAGCGTCGCTTTCTACATTTTTCTCAGGACTTCCTTGCTCCTATCGCCCACAAGCTTCTTCATTGTTTTCTCGAGCTCCTTCGACCACCCCCCTAGCACATCGATAACAATGTTGAACTGCTCCACGCAATATCCAGGATATTGCTTTTTTAGCTCCCATTGCAGTGGGGCATATTTTCCCGTCTTTTCCTTCTTTTTTCCGCGGTTATCTAACCAGGGACAACTCATTTCCACCGCCCAGACTTGCTTCCTGTTGTGATCCACGAACCTAGCATTCACTCTGTTGGCCTTGACGTGACTATGGTCGGCGTACACTGGTACATCCCAGTACGCTGGAGCATCCGAAGATTCGTACACTGGTTTGGGTGCTACTAACGAGTACCATGGTGGTACTGAGACCACTAGCTTCAGGTCTTTACACACCTCAAAGAAAAGCACCTTTAGCACAGCGTTGTGTCGGTCCAAGTATTTCGACTGTGCTAAAGCAGAACACCCGGCTAAAACATGCGCAAGAGTTTCTGTTGCGCCTCCGCACAGCCTACACGTGGTCTCTCCTTGAGAAGTTCCTGTTTTGAGCTTTGTGTATACTCTAGTGGGTGTAAGCTGTTCGTAAAGCTCCAGTAGCCCGTTAATCGTATGGGTGGGCGCTGAGTTCCAGTCCCGCAGCCAAGCAAAGCACTCATCGTCGCTCAGGTCTTCATCCTGCCACCTTGCGCACAAAAACCGTCCATGCCACAGCTCGCCCTTAACTTCTTCCTGCAACTTTTCGGTCACGGACTTCCTTAGATAACCCTTAACTTTCTTCCTGGATATAGAAATATTGGGTGCTTGGTGCGAGCTACACGACGGAATCGGATAGTCCAAAGTCAAGCTTGTTCCCAGTTCCTCCGTGTACTTGCATGCCTCCTTAATCAACGACGTAAATCCCTTCTCGATCGCTCTCTCTTCAAACTTCTGCATTAGCCTCATGGTTGGATCGGAGTTCTGATGTAGCTTGATTGCAGACTTGATCTTAGTAAGATATTCTTGCTTAACAGAAAGCAGTCCACGACCACCCTTGTCCCTAGGAAGATACTGCATCACCGTGGAGCTAGGCGGATGTTTTCCTCCGTTCTCGCATATGATCTTCCTCGCCTCTCTATCAATGGATCGAAGTTCTGTAACGGGCCAGTGCTGGGTCCACATCAAATATGGGAGAACTGGGAATGCAAACTGGTTACTTGCAGTAACACGGTTAGCATCAGGAAGAGGGCTGCTCCAAATCACTGACAGTCTTTGAAGGTAAGATTTCGCTGCGCATTCTAGTGCCAACTTCTCATCCTGTATCACCGTCTCTTTCACCCCCAAAAACTTATAGCTTGAACCCTCCTTCAGATTTCCCACGAATCCCTCTTGACCCATCCTCACACCCGCCGCATCTTTCACCTGCACTCCTCTTCTCACATGAAAGACATTGCACTTCTTGGGATTCCATGTAAGTCCAATGTCCTCCATGGCAGCACTGGTAGATTTCAAAACTCTGTTAAGCTTGGCCTCTGACGAAGCAAAAACTTTCAAATCGTCGATGTACAATAGCTAGGAAACACTGGCACTGATAGGCTTCGACAGCCAATATCCCTCTGTAGCTTCAAGTGACCAAGCAACTGGATTCAAACACAGCGTTAAGAGGCGCGGGCAGAGCGAATCTCCCTGCGGCAAACCCCTGTTGAATCGAATGCAGCGAGAGGATTCGGGCTCACGTTTGGTAGTAGTAATAATTCTCGTATTCCAACTTGCAACCAAGCACCTCATGACTCTACACAGCCAAGTAGGAAAGCGGTGAACTTCCATGATCTCAAGCAACTGTGATCCACCGAGTCATACGCCTTTTTTACATCAATCCAAGCCATGCTTTGGTTTCGTTTTCCTCTGTAACGATCTAAAGTCACCACTCTATCAATCAGCAGATTATCAGATGTCCCACTGCAGCCCGATTTGGCTCCCCTTTGTCCATTTTCTATCAGATCGAATTCATTCAGGTGGTTATCCGAAGGCATGACGTAAATGTTATTTAAGCAAGTTATTGGCCGCTGATTCTCGCTGCTGAATTCACCTGGTTTAGGGGTGAGTCGCGTTTTTCCCTCTGAAAACCAAATGGGGTATTCCTCAGTGCTTTTCGAGATACCCATAAAAGCTTTAGTGACTCCCTCATGCAGCACATGCGCACGCTTCCACCAATAGTTGACAAGACGGTCTGGGCCTGGCGCACTCCAGTTTCTTTTCTTGAGTAGACACCTAACAGCTTCAGAGCACTGTAGGTTCCAGGTCCCCTCAGACGGCATTGGTACTTTCCTAGCAATTGCTTCCTTGATCTTACTCAACCACTCTGCTTCCTTGTTTCCAGTCCCTATCGTCTCCCACAACTGTATCCAAAAATTGCTTGCGTCCTCAATGTTCTCAAACCTGTCTCCGCTACTACCAGAGCCAGAGTCATTTTTAGAAATGTTCAGGTATTTAGGTCGATCCTCCTCTTTGCTGCACAGAGCACCAAAATGTGAGTAAACCTTCCTTGTGTCTTGATTAAACTGGCGGTTAATAGATCTTGCTTCACCCAGATTTTTTCCTCTGACATATCAAGCCTTCAGTTTGCGTAACTGTGACTTTTTCTATTCCATATTATTAATCAGGTCAGATGACAAGATCTTTTTGCAGTCTTCTATCAAAATAGCCCGGTTTCTTCTTCCTTCCTTCCTCCAGCACGGGTCTCGTTCTGCATTTCCAGAGTCATGTTGACATTAAGTACAAGCGCAGCAAAGTTAACACCATGGTGGATCGCGCTTATTGATTATCTTCTAACTGGTTATTCTTCTCGGAGGAATGTGACCGCCTTAGAAGGGTTTTTCATAACTTGAAATACCCAAAGCTACTGGTTGAAACTATAATCAAGCGGTTCGTTGAGAGAAGGATTTCATCTCAAGAGCCCTGTCCATCACCTGATTTACCATCGGCGACTGAGAGTAGTGTTACCCTTCAAGGACCAGTCTTCAGCTAATTATGTTAAACAACAACTGAACAATCTAAGTTCCAAGTTGAACGTCACTGTCCAACCAGTGTTTGTGAGCCCTAAGCTCGAGCAACAACTTAAGCGACATGAGACTAATCCCCCCATTGTCAACCTACAACGTCTCGTCTATGAATTTCAATGTAACCTGTGTGATGCAGGGTATGTGGGTTATACACGTGGTCACTTACACGAGCGCGTAAAAGGGCACACTAGAAAGTCATCTTCGATTTACAAACATTATAACCTCCAACACAATAGTGAAATGCCTGAACGCTTCATTGAGCAATTTCACATCATCACGAAATGTAGGGGCAAATTTGATTGCCTCGTTAAAGAAATGTAATACATTCCCATGCGTAAACCAACACTGAACGTGCAAACAGATTCCATCCGCGCCAAGGTGTTTGTTTAGGCCGTTTATTGTAATTAATGCTTATCTTGTACCTTTCCTTAGTTGCATGCTAGTTAACTAGACTCATGATAAAGGAGTCATGATGATTCCGAAACGTCGAGCAGCAGTAAATTTTTCCTGGTTTTTTATATACCTATGATTTATGAACGGTAATTCAACATTTGCCTTTCCAGTTCTTTAGGCGTGTGGATTAACCATAATCTTACATCCTTTCCCAGATTTGAGCAAGTCAAAAGCCTGCAATGTAACAGTTAACAGATCAGAATCACCCTGACTCGCTCACAAGGAATGGTTCTGTGTCGTGTATACTGAAATTGTGTGGATTAAAGTATGCCAGTGCTAGTTGGAAACAACAAGCATTTCAACAGGTCCACTAAGTCCTTTAATCTGTTAGACTGCAAGGCGATCAGTCAAACGATCGGCCATCAGTTAACCAGTCAATCAGTCCTTTTCTCATTTGAAATAGATTTAACACATCATTAAGAGCAGAAGGGATGGGGAATCACACAAAGGGTAAGACACCAAGTTATATAAGCAGTTTTCAATTGTGTCGAAAGTAATCTGTGATTGCTTTCGTTTTCTTGAACTTCGCTCTGTGATTGGTCCAGAAAACTCTGCCACCCAGCCAGATTGAAAACCTAAACCAATCGTGTTTTGGTCACTTGCGTTTTCCCGCGTTCCATCCAGTTTGCCTGTTTTACTGCGAGTTCTCAATGACTTACAATGATGTCGACTTTGTTGTGATCAATTTGGTTTTGTTCCTCGAAACTCAACTGAAAACTGCTCTAAACAGCCAGTTATTCAATCAATCCGTAACTCACCCGCATAGTCTAAAAAATCATTTCTGTGCCACCCTTGACAAGAAGATAAAACCTTGAAACAACCAATAAAACTTATTACCAGTGGGAGCTAACAAGTATTTAGATAACGTCACGTATAATGAAGAAATTCAAAGAGAGTGGCAATTCGTCTTACTTTTTCAAATTGGCTCATTGGTACCTCATGAGTAATGACCGGAGTTACATCAACCCTGCAAAGAAACAAGCTCAGATCAATTCGGATGTTTACAAAATTACGGAACATATTGTGATGAACTTTACAAGTCCGGTTTCTGCCTTTCCAAAACTTCCTTGCGCTCCTTATATTAAAGTTTAGTTTACCCTTACTTAACTTATTGTGTTTCAGTGTGGGGATCGACATATCAGTCTAATTCAAATCGTATTATTATTTTGCAAAAGAAGATAATCAGAATCATATCTAAAGTTTCCTTTGATTCACATACCGATGTTCTTTTTAAAGAACATGGGATCTTAAAATTCTCGGACATCTATTTCTACCAAATAGGTAAATTTATGTATCTGTTTAAAAGAGGCTTACTACCTAATTATTTTCAAGATATATTTACTCTTGCTAGCCAGATACATTCTTATAATACAAGAAATTCCAGCTTTTTCTGCATACCGAATTGCGCTATATAAGAACTTATTATTAAATTACCTCATTGTCGAACTAATTTTCGAAAATTTTCAATTCGGTTTCAAGGTCCTAAGTTTTTCAACACACTAAGTCGGGAAATTATATACTCTGAAAGCATCAGCTTGTTTAGCAAAAAGCTTAAAAAAATTCCTCTTTCTTAGTTAAATATATTCTTTGTTAAGCTAAACACCTTTTCTTTTTTTTTTTTTTTTATTTTTTTTTTTAACTTAATCTAAATTTTCATTCAGCACCTTTGATTTGTATGGTTTATCCTATAGTTTAAGGGAGCCCAAACTTTATAAGCCCCCGGCTTCTAATAGGCTTCCTTGCTGTTACCTCGTCAGTTCCTTTGATTTTGAAATTAATTTAGTTAGAATAGTTCTTTTTATCTTTGATGTATCATAAATTTTGTATTCGGTTAATTTTTTTCTAGTAATGGCAAATAAAATGAAAGAATGAATGAACTTCAACCGTAGGAGTCCTCGTCGGTTCGGATCAACGTTAGAAGTACCTGAGCAACGGCGCACCTACCCCTCCCATAGCTCTACATTAACCCTAAGTTGTTATTAATTGACTGTTGCTGGGTTGGGGGGAGGGGAGGGTAGGCACATACTGTGCTCTAATATTGACATCTGTGATCCATTTAATGAGAGAATAGAAACGTGGTTAGCATGGTTGGCGTCACCCAACGTCAATGGCATTGAACTGACACAAGATTAGCACTGCCGCTGAAAACCGCCAGCTCCTGTTTGTCACGTTACGTTGCCCGTCGAGGCTACGTTTATGTTTTTTACCCTTACGGCCCTCGACAGCATTGAATATGCGTTCTAGCGAAGGGCTAACGGCCGAAAAGCTTCAGAAACTCCTTACGGTGGCCAATTTACATAATTGACTCAGTCGATAAAAACAAATTATCTGGAATATAACTACGGTGACTAAGTTGTTATTGGGGTTAGGAGCTCAAAGGTACGTTATAGATAGAAAGAATTCTACTAATTCATACTTGTTGTTAAACAGCAACTCTTCTGATTTTTCCCAAGTGCTGAAAATCTTCCTTCCATGAATTGTTTTTAATGTCAGAGACTTGAATAAAATATCTTGCAGAAAGTTTTCTACATGAAGAGGTTGCTGAAAAGCATTTAAAAGAAGAACCTTGAATAAACTCTGGAAAGTTTAACAGAGGGCTAACGAACTAGTCTAAGGCTAAGAAAACTGTTTCAAATAAAAACATCAGGCTCCGGTTGTTCAAAGGCCGGATAACGCTATCCAACGGATAAATCGCTATCCAGCGGATAAGTGTTACCAAAACGTACAGCGCTATCCACTGGATAGAGATTTATCCAGTGTATAGCGTTATCCAGCCTTTCAGCGGAAAAGTGTTACCAAAACGTACAGCGGTATCCACCGGATAGAGATTTATCTAGTGTATAGTGTTATCCATCCTTCCAGCGGATAAGTGTTACCAAAACGTACAGCGGTATCCACCGGATAGAGATTTATCCAGTGTATAGCGTTATCCATCCTTCCAACAACCGGGGCCAGAGCAGAACTGCACTAAACAAGAACTACCAAGGCTTGGAAAAAACTTTTCGAGATTCCACGGAAAAGATACAAAAAAGCAAAAATTTTTACCTTAAGAAGTCCCACAAGAACAACCCTTCCTCCTTTTCTGCAACGAAACACTTCATGTTGTTAACATAAATCCATTTGCGTTCTGTCACAAATGCTGCAATCTGATTGGCTGCGCTACTCATTTTCTATTTATCAAATGGATTCCATTTTGCCGTACGTTTGTTTAGCAATAGATCAGAGATGACGTCAAAATGTGGTGAGAACCAAAAGTGGCACACGGACGCGCAGCCAAGCGTGTCACTGATGTTCTTAGCCGGATAGATAGTGAGGAGCTTATGAGCCAGTGGAATTTGTGCCTGCGGGAAGTTTTCGGTAACTGAGGGAATTTGGTTAGTGCAGACTCGAAAGTATTGTCGGCAGCATACCACCACTTATTATTTGCCAGTGAAGAAAGCAATCTTGCGAGATCACAGAAGTAAGTATGCAGTTAAAAGAAATCTTTACCTCAACAGGGAGAAACAGCTGTTTACTAATGGCGCTGCTCCCGAACACTCAACAAGGCAACCAATTCCATCACCTGAAGTTTCTCTCATAACTAGAGGGAAAGGGAACAACAACATTGATTAAAACTACATTACCAGCAAAAACTCTTTTTGATTGAGTGTCGTAAAACCAAACCAAAGTAATTAGAACGGAAAATCAAAAGAAAGGAAAATGCCCCGGAGAGCCAAAGAGAACTCAAAGTAAAAACAAGCAAACCACCTAAAATACTGGACCAATCAGCAGTGGAAAGCAAAACCAATGCAAGCCCGGGTTACTTTAGACACTTGTTCTAGTAGTAACAAATAAAACCAATAAGGAAACCACAATTTTATGAAAAAATTACATTAAATTAAACAATATTTTTGGGTGGGAGTACTTTACCAGGGTGCTAGAATGGAGTACAGATACCTTAACTAAGTTGGAAACGAATGCAGGGTTCGTGCTCTTTCGAATCACGATGGTCATCTTGTTCAAAGATCTTGTTCATGTTTTCCGCGCCCTACACGAGCACCCTACATAAGCGCCCTACATGAAAAGTTGGTCGGTCATGACAATGCGAAAACGATCATTCTATTTCAAAAAATATATATTTAGTCATTTTACATGACTTTGGATGACCCTAATTTTCCAAGTTTTCCATGACCAATACGAACCCTGGAATCCAAATGAAACTGTCAAACCTATTTCATATTACGAAAAGTCCTAAGTGATCCACGACCTTACATTGAGTGACAGTGCTGCTCCTTAAAAGCTTCTTTCTTTTCCGACTCGAAACTTTTGATCTTTTGACCTATAAGCTGGATGGCATTGACCGACAACCCTCGTTAATGTTGCGTTTTTTCTTGAGCCGCTCCTATTTCCTGTTATGTACCAACATTGACGAGGGGTGACCAGGCAGAAAGAGGACTTTAGCCTCATTTGTAGCTCCTCTCTCGGGCTGAGCGTTACGTGACATCCCAACAACAGCTGAGAAGGAGAGCTCATAGACCACTTTCATAAATGGCCACGAGGCCAGAAGGGCTAATTTAAATTTAAACAAAAGAATATTAATCCGGCAGCCATTTATGAAAGTGGTCTATGACTCCACTGCGTTGCTCAAAGCAACAAGAACAGAAAACCCCATGACAGCGAGTGCACTTTGTTTTCGTGATTTTATATGAGAACTTTGCGAGTCGCTATAGTTGCAGTTTTTCCGATTTTTGCTCATTACGTTCTCAACAAAATCAATTTCTAGGTCTGCTTTTATGACGTCAGTGCATTTTAATTGGAAGAGGTCTTTTCAACGGTTTGTACTCTGGGCATTTAACAAAGGGTCCCTATCTTGGATTATACCACTCCCTCTCCCTCCTGCAACTCTATTTTGACATTAAAAAAAAAAAAAGACAAACCGATATCTTTGAGATTTTCTGTCTTCCCATTTACTAGCACATCTGCACCCATTTGCTTTGCTTTTTGAAGTCTTTCTTCTACAATATCTGTGGCAATGCTGAAAAATAAAGAGATCGTTAACCTGTTAACCCAAAGAGTGACCAGCATCTAAATTCTCTCAGCATAACAACTGAATCATTCATTAACCCTTTCACTCCCATAAGTGACCAAGACAGAATTTCTCCTTACAATATCGATACAATATCAAGCACACAAGTGATGAGAATTGGGAAAAAAGAAATTCAGGGGATTATCAGTTGATCCTATACCAAATTCTCCAAACTAACAACATAAGAATTGCATGGCAGACACTAAAGAGAATTACTAATAATATCTCGTGAGTGAAAGGATTAAGATTATGAGAATAAAGGCAAGGATTGCCAACTTGAGAAGCTTGGATTGCAACACAACTTCTCCTTGTCAGTACAAAAGAAAATGTACAGCGAAGAATATGGAAAACATCGGTACTAATATTAAAGTGTGAAGGGTTAAAAAGTTAGTAAATCACACTTCATGGGTATCTTATAATATAGTCCCATATTTGAACTGCAAGCCCCAGCTACAAAAAATTTGTTAAATTAGCCCAGGGTTCATTGTTAAGAGATAGGGTTTGTCAAAGGACTCTGGACAGAGGGCTGACAGAATGGCTCATCTCTTGCACATTAGCTGTGGAGGTATTTCTGAGCCATGAATGGAGGCAAAATCTTGAAAGGGCCTCTATAGCTACTCATTCAAATTGACCGGTACATGATGGGATTAAGTCAGATGAATTTTGAATCTTCAGGTTGTGTTAAGACCACTGCTACTGTAAATAGATAACTTGTGTAGGATTCTGAATATAGAGCAATCTTTGCAGTTATGAACGTTATTCACAATTTTTATTTTCACTTCTGCTCAAGTAGTGTTCATAACTGTGAAGATTGCTTTATATTCATTTCTTAAACAGGGCTCGAAATTAACGGTAACCCGTTAACCAATGGTTAGTAATTTTCAACGTTTGGTTACTAAAAATGTGTCTAACTAACCCGACATGGTTGGTAAAATTTTCTAACATATTTAAACATTGGTGGATTTCAGGACAAAGAGCATGTAGACCCAACTCTCAGAGAAATACTTAGAATACTCAAGTTGTTAAATCAACTTAAACTCTTTTTAGAGAATGTGCTGTAGATGTACTGTTCTTGACTAATCATGGTAAACGAGAGGGAAATAGAATAAGTGCATAATTGTCAACGTTTTTGAGGTCAACATGCAATTTCAGCTACTCTTTAATTTGTCCTAGTTGTTATTGTCTAAATGTTGAATATTTGAGATATCATAACTTGTGAGCTTGTATACCAAACTTTATAATTTGGTTAGTAGAGAAGATGTCTACTAACCCTAAGGGTTAGTGCTCCAAAAATTAAATTCGAGCCCTGTTAAACTTACATAGGATTGTTTCATTAGATATAAACATGTCAAAAAATAATACATACATTTTGACAGCACCCATGCACTTGGCAATCCCAGCTGATATTAAGCCAATAGGACCACACCCTGAAGCAGAAATTATGTCAATACAAACAACAGTTTACAATGACTAATGGCACTGCATGGATAACAACCCACATGTACAGATACACTGGTTCACACATAAACAAGACTTAGCTTCTCTAATGCAATTATTGTATACTTTGTAAAAGGCAAAGCAGCCTTGTACAAAACACAACAAAGGACCTTCAAAGGAATGAAACCCAGAAATTTTACAGTTTAATCCCATGAACCTAACCTTGGATAGATTGGAGTCCATTGCTTTATGATGAGGTTCAACATATTAAAATCAGGCAAGAGCACATTTTAAAATATGCATGTTATTCACTCTCCAAAACCAGTGGCAAGTCAACATATTATATCTCAGAGTTTTTCCATAACAGTGTCATTAGATAATGCTATCAGTTTACATCAGATTGTTATCTGACCACAAGATTCCATAATCATTTTAAGCACCAAGAGGGGACAACCTTCAGATTCAATATAGAAACCAACTTAACAGAAAAAAAATCTGCTTCAAACACATAACTAACATACACCACTATCAACTGTTAACCTTGAATCAGTACAGTGTCTCCTCCAGGACAAACTTCTTCCATTGCTTGATGTGCCACACCAAATGCTATCAGTAATCCATAAAAAATAAATGATTTCAAGGCAAACTATTGAACAAATTATTAGTGAATTTCATCTTGCTTATAAACAAAGGCTTACTCACGTTCCAAAAGGCAGGCCCTGTCCACATCCAGGTTTGTTTTCAACTGGTAGCAGTATTGCGCTGGAATAATGGTATACTGGGCACATCCTATAGAAGGACAATTCTGTAATCTCACTGTGTTTATCAAAAGGTGACTAAATGATTAGGAAGACAATTGCTTTGGCAGTTGAGATAACTTTGCCTTATAGTAGGTCTGATAAAAAAACATCAATTTGACCACTAATGAAAAATTCTATAATGTTTGTCAATTTCATTACCTCCATAGATTGTTCCTCTTCCATGGCCAAACTGATTCAAGTTCTGGCAAATGTGGCGTAAGTCTAGTGGGTCAAATAACACAATCTGTAAATCCATTGGTTGAGTAATGATTTGTCACTTATTTTTAAAATCACACCTCCCTTGAACCATTTTTGCACATTTTGACGAGTTTTATGTGATAACAAAATATCCTTGCTTACTCCTACCATGTGAACACTGATAGCACTTTCCACAATAAAAGTGATTTTCGCAACAAATTCGCTGCCCAATGAAATATTTTTCATCACATTCAGGACCAACCTTCACAACCTAGAGACAAAATAATTCATTAAGGAAAGGAAATTAATAATAAGTTGTAAAATAGAACACGACATCTATTACCTCTCCAACACACTCATGGCCAGGAATGAAAGGTAATGTGGCTATTGCCTTTGCAGCTATGAATAGATAACACGTGAACAAATTAGACTAAAAAACAAACTGATTTTTGGCGGCAAGAACAGTGATCAGTCATGATGTGTTACAATTATTGAAAGAGATGAGGCAATTTTAAAGCAATAAGACATCTCAGTTGGTAAATGCAACTTCCAAAGAAATGGAATGAACAAGAAACTGTAGATGGCATTAGGCAACCACACAATTTGCTAGTTTCCTAAAAAAGGTAAAAAATGTTAAAACAAACTATTCAGTAAAAAGAATAAGGCCTGAAGGTATTTTAACACATGAAAAACGGAACTCCGTCTTCTAACCCAGACCCGGTCTTACCCTTCCCCTACAAATGTCACAGAAAGAGATTTTACAAAAATTGCTCTCTAGACTTGTAATATATTGTAATGTTGACATGAAACAGGGTGAAAGGGGCGCATCCTGACCCACATTTCGATGTTATCTATTGAATAAACAATGAAAATATGCGAATTACATGTACAGATTCATTGAGTTTTCACCTTCGCCCCACTGGTACAATATGTTATCAGAACCACATATAGAGACTTTAAGAACTTTCACGAGCAATTCGCCGTTTCCTGGTTGTGGGACAGGAATTTCTTTGTACATATACGATGGTTTCTCCTCTTCCTTGATTAGAACTTTCATGCAATCCGGTAATTCAGACATGTCGACAGTTGGGTAAACCAAACATGAAGCACTGGTGACCAAACACTAGCACCCAACGAGAATGGACTGAAAAGTAGTGGGAGGGGAGGGTGGAGAATAATGAACTAAATGCAATTTTTTTTTTCAAGTTTGAACAAAAATCGAGAATTTGAAGTTAACTCTTTACTTTAATTCAGGTGTTTTCTTTATTCTCCCATCCATATAGGAAGAGTTGCTAGTTCTGTAGCTTTTGAGAACAAGCAGCACATCTACGCTGCCTACCCCTGTAGCTAATTCCAGGGCAGAAACGGCAAGATGGCGGACGAGTTGGAGCAGATTGAAATAGGCTTTGAAGAAAGACTAGAAGAAATCAACAACTGGCTAAGAAAGAAAGGATACGAAAAGTATAAAGAAGCTAGAAGCCTAGCAGAGGAAGAATCACGCGAAGATCCTGAAACTGATCCTTTTAAGTCAAAGTATAAAGCCAGAAAAATCTTGTCAGATTTGAAAGCTGAATTGGTACCATTGTTAGACGACCAAATCCCCAGCGAAAAAGCGAAGATCCTAACGGCGGCTCTTGATTACCAGATTGGACAGAACTACATTGAAACTGAAGAGCTGAGCACGGGTGAGGAACTCATTAAAAGTTGCATCAATACTCTCGTAGAATATCGCCTGGACCAAAGAAATTCTTCGATATACTTGCATGCTTTGAACGAGCTGGGAATTCTCTGGTCCAAAAGAGGTGACTCCGAAAAAGCATTGGGATTTCTGCAGGATGCAGAGAGGTTGTACCATAGTTACACAAAAGAAAAGGGAAGCTGCTGTCCTTATGACATCCATGAGTAAGTTGAAAAAGGGACTCGTTTTATTATTAAGGTGGTTATTAATTCCTCTATCACTCAGCTGAAAGGTCTAATCTTTTTTATAGAAAAGGGTTATTACATATTGGTATATTTACACAGGAAGTCAGGTTTGGTCTTGTGAAAATTTCGATGATAAAAAAAAAAAACAAAAACAAAAATAGAGAGGTATACTTCAATGGTATCAGTGTACCTGAGGTAACTGAGGAAAAACAGCGAGGCTGCCATGATTTATTTGATTCCAGAATTAAAACCTGAATTTTTTCATGAGCAATTTGCAGGTAGTTACCATAACAAAAGTTCTTCAATCTTTTTATTGGAGTTGTTCAGGGTAGTACATTGAGGGTTGCCATTTCATGCCCAAATTTTAGAAAAATCTAGGTGTCACATACACTTTAACAGCCTTTTAAAAATCACTAATTTAAAAGCGAAAAATTCAAATGCCTCTTCCTGTGGGCAAAGTTTCAGGGAAATCTTGAGAAGATCATGTGATGAAAGAAAAAATTCACAGGTCACATATTTCAGGAGGCAAATCATGCCTCACACTGGTTCTTAAATTCAAGAACCTTGCTCGCCTTTCTGTGAAATCAATGTGTCTCATATTAATTTTGGTGTTAATCTTGGATCACATACAACTCTTTGCCACCCTCTATGTTGTGTATATTTTTTAACAAATTTATCTTTAACAGCACATTCCAGTAGGTCCTATATAGTGTGCAGAAGACATAGTGTTCTCATAATCTATTTTTTGTAGGCTTTTTTATCCAGAAGACAACTTCCTCTCAGATGATGAACGAGAAAGGGCTTTTAGTGCAACTTTCACTCATACCTTGTATTACTTAGCACAAGTCAATGCAGCTTTGGGGCATTCTAGAAAAGGAGCAATGTATTGTCACACAACTCTGCATCGCCAACTGGAGACAAAATGGTATGACCCAGTTGATTGGGCTGTTAACTGTGCGACACTCTCTCAGTACTACATTACACAAGAAAACTATATGTTGGCAAGACATTGTCTGGGTAGGTATTCTTAGTTTTTATTTTCTAAACTGGGGTGTTAAATAAGGATTTTCAATCCTGAGAGAAGCTATAACTGCATATGCGTGAAATTATGCGTAAGTTTGTGTTTGATATTGCAATCAGCTGCTGACATTTCACTCACTTTTCAAAGTGTTCACCATTCTCAATTCAAGGCCTCTTGTCGAATTTTCTTGTCAATAAAGGCCTTGATTGTGTTCATATAATAAACAAAATAATACAAGTCATGGTTGCTTGTAGATATGGAATTTCTCTTCTCGTGTTCAGCTCAAAGAGAAATTCCATATCTTCAAATGCCCATGTATTGTTCTCTACTTTATGCTCCTGTCCCTAATGATATGTCCTACTTTGCATTTAAGATAACTGTGAGGTTTTGTTTGAGGTACAGTTTTGGCCAAAATAGGTTTTCTTAAAGATTTTCTTAATGATTTTACTTTCTTCTTTCAAGAAGAAGAATAATGTCTGCTCATCCTTTGTGTAAAGAATAAAACTGTGGAAATCAGCAGTGAATTTGAGAAAAAGGCCAAAATGATCAAATGGAAATGCATGACAAACTCATCACTTAGCACAGAAACCATCACAAGGTCTCTACTCTGAGGTCAACGTCCTTAAAAGGGGTTGAACCTATGGTTACTTCATACCCAGCAAGGTCATGTCATATCCAGCTGGGTTGTTTTGTACACAAACTATTAATGTATGTTTTCCATGTTAAGCATGTTCGGTTTCTTATTGTGGATACCAATATTACCTACAATAGAGAAGTTTTGTTAATGTGGTGTCCAATCAACCAGTGCAATATCAAGTGTTTCCAAGTTACATTTATTATCAGTGGATAAACTCAAATTGCCAAGCATAAGACAGGGAACTAAAACTGGGTGGTCTGGGAGTCACAAGGAGAATATTTTTACGAGAAACATTTATATTTTTATTCCATTCTAAATTAACATAATGCTATATTTAGTTTTTGGTAGAACAAACAAATTTATTACTGTCAATAGCAATGGGAGAAAAAATATCTCACCTACACAAGCTGTTATCCCTAGAAAAAGTAACAAGAATAAATGATAGACTTATTGATTAAAATATCACACTTGCATTGCCCAATGCAATGTGGTTACTAGTACACACCACAGAAATTTTTCTGTATCTTTAATACTTACTTGACTATACTAACTTGTGGTTTCCACCACCTGACATCTGTTCATGTGCTTGAGGTATTTTTAGTAATTCAAGGCTGCAAATAACGAAAGAGCAGTCGCCGGTCACGTTGTCCGGTCAAACATGCCTGACACTACCCTTTTTTGGCCGGACAAATTTTAACAGTTGGAATTCTTGCGATAGTGAACCAAGATTGCACAGTAATCCTTTTACAACTAAAAAACAACTGAATCCAAGTCGGTCTGGCAAGAAAAATTGCAAGTTAATAATTTTACTACTCTTTACTGCAGAAGCACCCTCACATTGAGTATGTGGAACGGTTACGCAAGAGTAGACACAACCGCAATTGTCCGTTTTACTTTACATCTGGCAAAATCATTTATAATTAAATAATACACTTTGGAAATCACCACATCAGTTCTACAACTGAACTTTAAATAAAATATGCTGTTATATGCATACTGTTATTGGCCTATTGCATTCGTGTTTACACACTCTGTGTAACATGTAATACAATGGGATCGTGTGTTGAATCATCTGGTTGGCCACTTGAGATACAATCATGTCATTTTCTGGTACATTCTGAATGCAATACAGATAAGAATATTTTGAGTGTAAATATGTTTCCCTTCATCTAAAACAGGAAGGATAATAAAAAAAATGTTGAGTGAACCGTGCAATTCAAAGGTTATTAATAACAGAAAATATCTACATGCAGACAAATCAAGTTGACCTTTTTTTGTTTTCAGTACAACTCAGAGCCCTATTTTTAAAGTTACAATTGTGAATTTTTGTTAGAGTTTAAGAGTGGTCGGATTCTCCAGGTTTTGGGCCGTTTGCTCGCTTTTTGCACTTTTCAACAAATGCTACTTGGAGTATTCTCAATGCAGCAAGATTATTCTTCGTGAGGGTGCTTTCCTATCATTCAATCAGTCAAACAATCAATCACTTTATTTAAGAGTAAATTATGGTGTCTAGCCAAAGTTAAAACCCTCTACTGACTGGGAACACATAAATAAAGTAGATAAAATAATGGAAGACATGATGATTTGCGGTCGTGACTGGACTTGATGACATCGTGGAAATTTGCGACTGCCGGGAATTGCTCAACCACTAATTTGTCTACTTTTATAATCGTTTTTTTTTTCTTTTGGAAACATGACTGTTGTCCCTTGTGATTACCAAACAGTTAAAAATTAAAATTTCTTTAAACAAGTCGGTAGATGACCGGACAAGAGGTGTGGCCACCCAAAGATTTGTCCGGACAGTACCCAATTTTGAACGGACAATTTTTGTCCGTTGACTGGCTGTTATTTGCAGCCCTGTAATTGTAAGTTGGGAGGGGTAAAAATCAGGCAAAAATTGACTAGTGGTTTGGGTAGGAACTGACTCAAACTTGGGTACGAATTGACTGCATTTGGGTATGAAACAACTGGGCATGAAATGAGCAGATACCATTGGGGAAGGGCTTATTAACTGCTAGGGATTCTGGCTGTAGCCACTGGTCAAACATGGCAAAAAAATCAAAATTGTAGACATGGAAAAAAATTAAAAAATCCACCAGCTCCCAAAATATTGCCTCATGTTACTACATGCTATGTATGGATTTTATTTCCAATACCCGAAGGAAATAGAAATGCTGCAAAACACTTTGCAGGAACCAGAATGATGGTAGTTTTATAGACCACTTTCATAAGTGGCTACCGGATTAATATTCTTTTGTTTAAATTTGAATTAGCCCTTCTGGCCTTGCTTGAGATAATGTATTCTTTTGAATTTTTTTACTGGAGAATGAGGCCAGAAGGGCTAATTTAAATTTAAACAAAAGAATATTAAATCCGGCAGCCATTTATGAAAGTGGTCTATAGATCTATATACAGCCTTGTTCCAATTCCCCTTAATCAAAGTTTATGATAGGTATACTTCTTGAAAGCATGAGCAAAGTCATGCATAACATCTTAGTGTGATATTGATTACATATATATTTAGCTAATTAGGAACTTCTCCCTACAGCATGTTCAAGTTGTGTTTTTTCTGAAGCTGAAGAAACTGCTACAGTGGAGGCTGTGAGTGACAATGACAGCCAAGAAGAACGTGAAAGAAAAGAGAGAATTCCTCAAAGGAAGGCTGACATCTCTCGTTGTTGGAGTAAATATTGTTTGGATGTGTTGAGAACATCAAGAGATCGGTGTGTACAAGAGTTGACCAGTCCTGATCAGAATGATGAAGAACAAAAAACAGAGCAAGGTTAGGAAAGTTGTTTTTGCTGCAGTAACTTAGTGAATTCCATAAATGTAAAGGTGTAGGGTAAATTCCTTATGGTATACGAACCCTGTGAAGTGGTGATGAATAGAAAGTTATCTCTTGTAGCAGGCAGTGAGCCTACTCCATGCCATTCTTATAGTGTCTACTTTAGGAAATTCCCTTAATACAACTTCCAGTGAATAATTCACTAAGTTTATATCACTGTCATTATCAAAATCATTGTATATCTTAACTAACTTACATAATACTGTAGCAAAAAGGTTTTTTTGTCAATGCTGAAGACAATTTTTTCTCGCTTAAACCTCTAGTTTTCATTTCAATGTTTTTTTCTCCAATCACTGCTGTCATTTCTAGAGAAGAAAAATTTAATTACTAAAGAAGAATGAGCAAGTAGCAAGAAAGTAGAAAGCACACTCTTAAAGGAAAAACTTGCAATTCAACTTACCGTACAACTCCTTAAACATCCATTCAAAAATTTCTCATTGGAAGTGTTGTGTATGGTACCATAAATATGACAAGAACCATTTGACACTGAGAGTGGTGTCTGCTCATACAAGGTAATTTGGTAATATCAACTAAGTTGAAACTGTAAATTGGCCATCATAAAAGAATTACCACGCTGACGTTTCGAGCATTAGCCCTTCGTGAGAACGAATGGCAAAGGGCTAACGCTCAAAACGTCAGCTTTTTAACTCTTTATGGTGGCCAATTTACAATTTCAACTTAGTTAATATTACCAAATTACCTTGTTACCCCCACTGATGCAGCAACACAGTTTCTTTAGAAACTTACCCCCTTTATTCATTTGTCTGCTCATACAGGTTTTGCTGCATACAATAATTAATGATTGTAAAATGATGGCCAATGGAAAATCTATTTCATTTATCTCTTTGTTACCAGTGACTTCAGATGATAGAGCCAGAAATGAAGAAAGCACTGAAGAAGGTGACACCAGAGAGCCCCTTAGATTTGAGTCCCTTGAAGTTACTTCCTTAGAACAGTCAGTACCAGACCACTTAATAAAGTCATATGATGAGGTAAACAGTTTTTCCATTTAACTATTCTCTCTATCCTGAGATATTTTTCAAAGAATTACTCATACTTTTTACTTCCCTCGTTCCCTCAGCTGTATTTCTCTGCCATTAATGTTGGCTTGATCCCAGCCTTCAGTTTGTAAACTGCGTGCATAGTGCAGAGCAAGAAAGCAGATCCTGTTCCAAACCTATATCCTTTTTTTGACTTTAAGTCTCCATTTTGTCCCATTTATTGCACGTTGTGTTCATAAGTTGAGTTCCTGGAATAGGCTACTATTTTGGTGAACTAGTCCAACAAAATGACCCGTAGGACAATCAAAATAGGTAGTTTAATCCTAGTGATCTTCTCTCATATAATAGTCATTTTGAAATTCCATGTCATCTTTCATCTCTGACAGGCACGCGTCCTGTTTTTGGAGGGGCAAAAATGGCTCAACATCTCCAAACAATTCTATGTGCTGGACGGTCATGTTACCAATCACGTGGAAATCATACAGGACTTGAGCCAGCTGTACAAACTGCTGTCATTCTTCGATGAAGACTTTGACAGGAGATGCAAGATGCACAAACGGCGAGTAGATATGCTCAGTGAAGTTCTGATTGAGTTGAATCCCCAGCATTACCTTCTGGTCTGTCGACAATTGATGTTTGAAATTGCCGAAGCATACAGTGATATGGCTGATCTAAAAATAGCCATCGTGGAGGAGTCAGGCGGACGTCCAACTGCACATTCGGTCAAAAAAATTAACGCATTGATAAACCAAAGTATCAAGTTTTTCAAGAGTTTTATCGACTCTATGAAGAATAAAGGTGCTTTGCCTGAAACATTTGCAGAGGACACTGTGCGCCCGGCTCTTGTGGCACATTTTTATGTTGCGCGGCTTTACTCCAAGCTGATATGTTTCGATAAACATCTCAAGGTTGATAATTTGAAGAGGAGTTTGGAAATTTACCAGTATCTGGTGAAATATTGTGACAGCCACCCTGGTGTGTCAGACACGGCATTCAAGCAGGAGATTGGTGTTTCCAGGGAAATGGCTCAACTCCTTCCTTTTAAGATGGATAAACTCTTGACGTCTGAATCATGACATTTACAGTGGGATGGTGTATGACAATGTTCATTTAAATTCAGTTCGTTATTGAGAATGAAAATTTACTAAGTACTTGCATGCTAAACACCGTACATAACTGATTGCTAATAAAATTTCAATCCTTTTTTCCAATACTGTTTCAATGAATTAAAACAAATTGGGAATCCACATAGCAGGTCCTGGTTTATTTTGTATCCCTCCTATTAAATTTCTAATCACAGATTCGTATTTGCTACCAGCCTTTTAATATCGCTAACTCTAGAATCCACAAAACGAAACTGTTTTTCTTCCATGTAAAATGATAAAGATGAAAAAGCGAGACTCGTTAGCTGGCTTTTTTCCGCTGGCTTTGTAATAACCGGAGGACGACTATGGACGCAGCCGGGGGTTATTGCATATTATTAAAAACTGGATCATTGGATAATGTAATTCGAGACTTTTTATTGGCTTAGCCATTATGGTATCTCAGTCGATATACCATAATCTAATATCTGTACATTGTAACATCCGGTTTCTTCTTACAAAATAAAGTCGAGAATATTTGTCTAATATCTTGGGGGCGTTTTTTTTTTTAATAAAACAATTATTCCACTCGCACTTGTTGGATGTGAGATGACTCATATCCAACAAGGCTACCAACAACTATCTATCATCTCATATCCAACGCGCGCTCATGGAATAATTGTTAATTATAATCCATCAGATATTTTGGTTCGCGTGCGACTGGCCTAAACGCGTCACGTGATCGAATATGCCTCTGCCAAAACTTGGGATTTTCCGAGGTTAGTATCCCAAGTGAATAGTACTTTCCGCGCTCTCTGATTGGCTAGTTGGGAGGCGAATAGCCAGTAACATGTCAAGTACGAGGGCGAGTGTTTCATTATGGGTTCCAATCACCGAGAAACAGATGAAAGGAGGCCGTAAACCGAGTGCTCTTTTTTTCGTTTCGAGGTGTTTGGAACCCGTTATGAAGCAGGAAGCCCAAGTTTTTGAGATGTCTTCTCAAATGAAACACTATAGCTAAGAAATCATAGTGACCTGTTTCTTCTTTTCGTTTCGAGGTGTTTGGAACCCGTTATGAAGCAGGAAGCCCAAGTTTTTGAGATGTCTTCTCAAATGAAACACTATAGCTAAGAAATCATAGTGACCTGTTTCTTCAAATTAAACGGTGATACATTATGCAGTGTTAACATTTTTTGCCCTTCACCTGAAGAACACGTTTACATGCATTATGAATTGTTTTTGTGCATTTGGCGTCGTCTATTAGTATAGAGAGCCGAAACCTTATGCAGGCGAAGAAGAAAGGTTAGTGGAGAAAGCTATCCCTTCGTCAACGAAGTATAGGAACAAATGGTCTCTTTCGGTTTTCAGAGAATGGCAATTTTCTCGTGTTTCGCATCTTCTTTACTTACGGCCGGTGTAGAGGGAAAATTGATATTCGAAGGGACTGATCACGGTTCTGACTCTATCACGATTATTCACCTCGAGCTTCGCTCTTGCAAAACTGTCCGCATCTTGGATCATATAATGTCCGCGGACGAATATCTGTGCATATTTTCGCGCCAAATGGAGGCTATTGTCTATAACTGTAGGGTGATTTTGCCCACGACACGTTTAGTAAAAAAAATTCGCAAGAAAATTAATGGGTAGGTTATCCTTAAAGTAAAAAAAAAGTAATGGAGCAGCGAAAGAATGCGAACATACCACGTCAAACAAAAGGAGCTTTTCATTTTTATTACTTCTTTTTGAGTCGCATTAGTATGGCAATATACTCAGAGAAGGAATTTTTATCTATTACATGAAAAGCCGGTGCTTTACTTTCGTACGAAGGTGCAAGTCATTATGGTTACTTTTAAATGCCTTCCCGTAAGCAACTACATACGAAATTCACAGCTTACGAGTGATAAATTAGAAAAAAAATTCTGCCTAAAGTAGAGGTGTGAACGCTTTGCATTACAACTCTGACGTTTGGGTTGTATTCATTAGTATGATTACAATACAAAAGCTACCTTAAGTTACGATAATTGTAGGGGGGGGGGAGGAAAACTTTATCTACGCAAAAAAAACCCTGTTTCCCAACCACAGCTTAACCTATGATTATATCATATGCTATCAGACTAGAGTCTGACGCAAAAATCCCCTGCGTTTTGGCTCCGAGTCGTTCGAAACGACATGTCACACTCACTGCTTGAACAATAATTGGCTTAACAGTACTAGTTTGTTAAATCAGGATTGCATGAGTGATAACTTTGCTTTGTATATACAAAATCTAGAAAAGAGATTCAGATTGTTGTTTTAATAGAGCAATACTGAAGAAACTAAGAAATATCCAGAGAATTGAAGAGTTTTATCGGATCCAGTCCATTGGCTCACTTCCGACCGTCATCATTGCCGTCCGGTGCTGGGCGGTTCTGCAGGTCCATTATCTCTTTAAGTGAATCACTCATGTAGTAAGGCTTCTCGGCACTGCCATCATTCATCTTCATGTCCTCCACTAAAATCAATTACGTTGGATTTAAAACATGCGCAAAGTGTTTTCTTAAATATCAAAAGAGACAGTTATTGAAAACTAGTTACGAGCTCTGTGATAAGGGTTTGAATTCTGGAGCGTCTTATATGCTCAAACCATAGTTAGTAGAAAGGGACTCCCCCCTTTACTAACTATGCTCAAACTTATACCTTGATCTTGGTCTTTTTTTTTTTTTTCTCTGGGATTTTACGGCTTTCGTCCACAAACTCAACAAAAACACCAAGATAACGACAAACTAAACCCAAATTCGATCTGGGAACAGTGGATGACGTAAACCAAGGAAAAATCACAATTTCTCCGAAACTGTTCTCGGAATTGTGATTTGTCTTAATGAATGAAGGAAAACGCCAAGTGAGTTGGCGACGACTGTTTTCACTTTATTCGGCTCAATCCTTTAAGTCTGCTCGCCGGCTTCTCCTGTCCGAACGGGCGCCTGTATCTTTCTTGTTTCATCATGCTTTTTCTCTTTCAATTTACACTTTAAAATCTGTCTCCTGTAAAGTTTTCGAGGGAACATGGTCTCTAGAGTCTAGAATACTCACAGAAGCACAGGAATATGGTGTCAATTGCCATGTCATAGACATCAAAGAACAAGATTGCTACAGCATACGCAAAAATCACCATGATCTGAAATTAAATTGAAGAAGCAATAAGAATTTTTCAAAGCAAGGTGATGGTTAAGAAGTGGCTGGAATTTCCATGGGATTTTGGTGTTTCAAATTCAGGTGAAGAAAATTCTTGTTAGTACGTCAGAGGAAGTCCATAGCTACGGTAAGTTATGAAGTTTTTAAGATTTGTCCTAAAGGCATAGTACTCGGCAGCGTTCACTGCAAAATCCACAATCCAGAGGAAGACAAATGCAGTTAGCGGTCTACTTACAATGGTTGGCACGACATCAAACTGTAGAGTATCAGGATCATCTTTGTTTAATTTATCAAACCAAGAGAAACTGCAGACCGCTGAAAAATGACAAAATATAATAAACATTGTAAGTTGCTAGTTGACGCAGCAAAACTTTGTCGCACGCAACCTGTTGCCGAAAGGAATTATCTGGTTTAAGCGAACGTTGGAAAACTAGTCGCTGCTCCATCGACATCGGCGGCTTGGAGTAGCTTACGAAGGGAAAAACTAACGCACTGGCCAGAACAGAAGGTAGGATTGCTTGTGCAAGATTAAGTGATCATGGATTCTTTATTGACTGTGTATCACTCCTTATTGCAGCGCACAACGACTGACTAGGACCAGAGCTAGGACGAAAGACAACGATTTTCTGTTGCGACAGAGTGGAATTGAATGTGCACGTGATGCTTTTGCGCAAATGATGGAAAAACGAAGATAGGTAAATGAACCGCATTTTAGTCACATTTCTTTCTTTCCTTCCCGTCACGTAATCTTGTATCACTTTCACAATAGAACCGAAGCATTTAGGACTAACAATGCCGCGCGTTTAATTTTAGTGTCCCTATTCAACCGCCATTTTCTTGGCACAAAGAACTGCTTCATTGTCTAGAAAGTGTTTTACTGAGAGTAACAGCATTTCAGTTAAGTCTGACTGCAACTTGCCTTTCTAAAAAGGGTCATCGATATCATGTAGTGCCTTGGACAATTTATTCGAGGATGATTACAATTATGGTAATCAGGCTGAAAAACTGACTCACCAACAATTCCAACCACAAACAGCTTGCCCATGAACAGAAGGAATGACGTTACACTGTTAACAGCTACCACCCTGGCAAAGAGTATCAGTTATCACATTAAGACATTCTAACGGTTCTGCGAACCACAAAAATCAGAAGGTGTATGGAGTGGTCAACATTCTAGGGAGACTTAGAAAACACATCTGTCACGAAATTACGTTACGCGACACCCCTTGTCAAGCAGCGAAAAACAATTATATCAGAGTAAATCTCGAAACTTATTAAAACTCACATGTTTTGTTAGTATACAGGTAAGTACTTGCAATTTGAGGGCGCACAGTGAAGGAATAAGCAAGATAAGTTTTACCCTTTTAACAACTTTTGAACAAGCAGTTTTTTAAAAATAAGATCTTTTCTATGACCATGATGGAAAGACGTGGCATTCGTCATATGACGTTGAATTTGCAACTGAATTGACCCCACTTGAGTCGCTATCAAAAAATACAAACAGTTCCAAGGCACCCTATGTTTCTGTTTCATAGCGAGGGAAATTGTGAAGCCTTTGATAAAAAAAAATGATCCTTTTCACCCTGGTGGAAATGAAGTTAATATTCACAAGACATGTTCGGCACTTTATCTTATTTTGAAGGGAAGGGTCTCCACAACTTGGAGGTGGCCTAATGGTTGGTGTCTTCTTCCTTACCTCAGAACATTTTCCAAAAGGAGCATGAAGGCTTCCTTTGCAGCACCACAGAAATTCTTTCCTTTGATGGCAATCTACATAAGACAATACAACGTGTAATAAAACAGTGTATGCATATCGGTCTAATCTTGACTTGATCAATTATCTTTTAAAACCATTGTGTTTATTTTCCATTTGTCCCTATTTTCATTCAAACAGTCTCAAGCAATCTCTTTAATAAGTGCCAAGCAATCTCATTAATAAATGTCAAAAAAAGTTAAGTCACAGGCTTTGAATCTCTCAGTGTAATTTTATGTAATAAGATAGTGACTACTAGTAATTCAACGTACTATGATGTAAGCATTCTTGTTGAGGAACTTGAGGCACTTTTCCAAACACCAGAAACAGCACTTGCAACAGCTGCACAAACAAAATCATTACATCAAAAAATTTCCTTTCGGAAATTTACCACTGGATTTGATGAAAAACAAGAAGAGAGAACAACAACAACAACAAAAAAGAAATAGGTGGTCTTTTCTTAATTTCGTTCCCACATCAAGAAAACACCATTGAACAAAAAAACCAAACAAGAATGATTTAAGTAAGTACCCGAGAAAAGCCCATGAGGCTTTGCTCCAGAAAGGAAGAAAATTTAGCGAGAGAAGTAAAGACATTGGAGTTTGAAGAAAATTAACTTAAAAATCAAGTGTATACTGACCACATAATGAACTTAACAATCTTGTTGTCCTGGCCAGACTCTAAGATTTGAACAAAGGTCAAGTCACACTAGTTAGCCACAGAGCAAGGTTACACTAACTGAGTGAGGAAAGCCAACGACTAATAAAATAAATTGCACGGTGATACATCATCTGCGTACCTTTAAGTTTGCGATCAATGTAATCTAACACAGCCCTGATGAACTGGACGATAGCAATGATTGCAGCTCCAAAAGCCAACGATCCAGTATGGTACCTAACAAAAATATTGTTTGAATTTAGTTTGCTTCTTGAGGAAATTCCCAGAAAAGATAAGAAGAGGGTGCCTTGTAGACTTCTTGCTTGGTGGATAGTATATATCGTCTGAACAAAAGTGCATATGATTCGGCAAATGGAGACTAATTACATGTCCAATTCCAAACTAAAAAACTTTTTCCTCTTTTATTGCTCTGGTATGTTAATTAGGCCTTACAGCTGTACATGTAGATTACAACGGGGTTAATTCTAGAAATTGGCCAAAGAGGACCTTGTGGGACCTCTTTTTTCATTTTTGGGGGCCCTTTTTTAACTAAGTCAAGAAAGGGGTAACCCAAAAATTTTGTTTGAATGTATTTGTAGAGTTACAGAAAAAGACAAGGCAACTGAGATGATAAGAGGCTATAAAGGAGCAGTCAGGGCTTCCAATGCTTTAATTTCTTCCACCAGCTTCCACTTCCCTAAAATGATATTGAACTCTATCTTGGGAAAAGCAGCATGAACATTACCTTATGGTGCGCCAGAAGGATTTAAGGATTGGGAGCGAAGGAATATCCTATAAACAAGGAAAACAATGCAAAGTCTGAAAATTCAAGAACTGCAATAAATTATCCAAGACAAGTATCTGTTAATCTGGGCTCAGATCCGTTCAGTTTCAATCTACAATAATAGTGTTTCAACTGCAACACCACAAAGTGACTTAAACTGTTAGTAGTCTATAGCAATCTGAGTGTGGTATAATTGGACACATTTTAGGGTTTAAATGGTTTAGAGCGCATTTCTATTCATTATTGTAAAAACCAAAACCAAACTTCACACAAAGGCTAATCAGAAGCAGCATGGAAAATAACTTTAGGAGCCAGGGAGACCTCAAAGTAAAAAAATGGCGGGAAAAAGCTGGGGACCAAGTCGCGATTGGTTTTAGTTTTTCATCTGATTCGTTGAGAAACTGGTGCGAGTTTTCTGGACCAATCACAGAGCGAAGAAAAGCAGACCCACTGCCATGTAATTGGATTATTTTCGATTTCAACTCTGAGGCTGAACCGAGCTGATCTGGAGACTAATGAGACAATTATAGTTAAGTGAAAACCACAATAATAAACCTGCACCTTTAATTCACCTTCTTAATTAGAAATATAGACAAATAAAAACGTTTCAGCCGATATACTTACATCCGGCTTGTGGAAGGCAAAATACCATGAAGCAAATGCACCAGCCAGTGCACACTGACCAAGGGCAATGATAAAGTTCATTATCCACAGCCAGCCAAAGAAATGGAAAACTTGCATACGAAACAGATGTCTGTAAAGAGAAACAATTAACTGGTTGCTTTAAGAGACTAGGTAGCAATAGCAATAGAGTACGGGCAATCATTCTACTTTAGCTACTTTTCTTGCACCTCACTCCATGAGTTCCGCGCGGTTCACTAACATCTATTTTTTCCGCCGATATTTTTACTCACGCGCTGCATTGCAAGACGTAGCACTTGATCGATGGCGGCCCTTCATCAAGTGGACACGGTATACTAACATGTGAATAGAATTTCTTGATCGCTTATTGGGTAGTTCTGCAGCAACTAGCCAACCACTATATACAGAACAAAAATGACGACACAGATCTGTGCGATTAAATGGTAAGTTATTGTATCCTTGCAGCGCCGGTGACCTAAGCATTGGTGATAAATTATTTTAAAGCCATGTGGCAAACCACAATTACGTACAAATCTGACGCAATGCACAAATGAAACACATGTACATTTAAACAAATGTACACATTTGACACAAAACACAAATAAACAGGAATAACTTAGTCGCGATCTGAGGTACCAAAGATGGCACGGTGATGGAACTTACACATTTTCCTTATATCCAGCCATAACACAACTTGCACTGGTGTTTGGATACTCCTTTTCAAAAGTCTAAAAACGAGAAAAACCAAAATAAACAAATAAGAAATACACTACCGAATTCCTTTCTGTTTCGCCCAGTTTAACCGGAATGATTCGTTAATTAATTCAGAAACAAGGTCTTGCGGTGCAAATCAGTTTAATTTAAGCTTACTCAGTGACGGTGTTTTGGGAGAGTGTGACTCTACCCTGATTTGTGCGTTGAGTTACATCCTTCACTTCCAGGTATCTACATTTTTTCACAGAAACTACACACTAATTCCACAATAATAAATAGTAGGAGAAGCTGTGGCCCAAATGGTTGATGTGAAACCTGGCTCAGGAGTGATGTGTTGTTCACCTTCACAGTGCCTCTATCCTGCAGTAAAGATGACTAAAGGAAAACCGGAGGAAAGACTGCAATGTAATCTGCTGTGGGCTAACAATCCATCCAGGAGAAGTAGCAATACTCCATATCCTAGTGGCTTAACTCTCTAATAACTGAAATAGGAACTGTGTATTCTTACACGGGAAAAACGTCTATTACTTTTGGCATTTCTGCTTTTCGATGAACTCGTCGTCACTAAATTTTAGACTTATTATTGAGACATGAAATCAATATTTTAAAGTGATGGAAGTTACAAGTAACTCATGCGCTAGATTGCATACTAGTCAGTACTGATCTTAATCGTTGACAGCATTTCTTACCTTTGGTTCGCAGTCAGTCCCGTTTGTTAGGTTGTATTTATCACCACCTGTGGGTACATCAATCACCTTGTACTGCGGTATTCCATTGGTCACCAAGTAACTACACATCACTTAAGGATCACACCACCAACTGCTCTAATAGCATGCTCTTCCTGAATGACACGAATCCCCTACTCAAAACTTTTTAAGTATAGCAGTATACATGTAGTGAATCAAGTAGAAATTTAAGTCACCTAATATTCAACCTAGGTTTGGAGACAGAAAGTTTATTAGTGTAGGTGCATTATAGTAAAACCAATGTTAGGAAAACACAATAACTTGTTGAGGTGATAAAATTTACGATAAAGATAAGAGGGGGGAATGGTAATAATCTTCGTTCTTTGGTGCAACACACCGTGACACCAGGTTAAAATATACTAAAGTGTGGCTGACTAGTAAGTGGCTGCAGCGCTGGCTGTAGCGCTGGCTGTGCATTCGTGCTAACTGCACAGTGCACGTGGGGCCCGTTTCTCGAAAGTCCCGGTAACTTTACGACCGGCCAGTAACTATGTTTTAAAATCAAAATTTAAAGGATAGGAAAGCAGGTTCTGGCACCCAAACCAGTCCTTTTTGTTTCTTTAGCTGATAGTTTTATTTCATCATTTTCAAAACTTTTGAAATCCCCATCTTGAATGAAAAAAGAACAACTTTACGGGCCCATCAAGTTACCGGGACTTTCGAGAAATAGACCCCTGGGTCGTAAAATAGAGCAATTTTCAATCTTGCTTTCCATTGCTCTCTGGTTGGTCAAGAAAACTTGCACCACTCTCACAACCAATCAGGTGCAAAACTAACACCAATCGCGATTTGGTTGTTGGCGTCTTCCCACGCGTTAGGCGGTGTGCTTGTTTTTATATTTTTAGTTCTGATTGGCTTTGTTCCTTTCTTGTACTCGGCCATTGTAATTACTTTGGGTTTGTTTCTATGACACGCAATCGCACAGCACTCTAAACTCACCAGTTAAGGTGAAGCAATTTACCCCCAAAGACACACACCAAAGGCCTTCCTGATTACTGTAATTAAAACGCTGGAATTTAATCAGCCACTACTTTCTTATCATTCATATGGGAAGGATACACACTAACACCCAAAAACCAGGCAAACAGAGCAAGCTGGAGCAACCATGGGATGATGGGAAAGACCAAAGACGTCTTGATTGCTGAAACAGCTCTTAAAATAAAAAGTCAAAACAAAGAAATTACAGGAGATGCACACTCGTAAAGCAAACGTAACCCTATTTGTTGCACAAAATATTAGGCAAGAGACATCAATTCAATAATAAGCATACCTGATTTGAATGTAATTTTTGTCAAAAAGATTTGGTTCCTACTGAGAAAATGTTTTTGCATATGGCCTGCATTTATTGCCCTTGACCTTTTCATTAATCACTGGGGATAATAAACTTTGACCCAGTATGAAGTTTGCATCATTCTAAACCCACCTGCAGGTCATTGAAATAAATGTAGATGTAACAGGGATAGAGGAAACAATCACAAACAGCAGCGAAATGAAACACAGTTATATCTTTACCAAAACAAGATAGGTATAACTTTAATTTTTTCAAATTTAAGGTGGACACCTAAGAAATACTTTATACTTCAAAAAAGGGTTTTGTGTGTGGAAGTAAAAACCGACCATCAAATACAGATTCAATACTCAACATACTTGCTGGATTCCTTTATCATGGAAATAGCAATCCGGATTCTTTTACACAGGACAAGAACAATCAACAAGAGGATCACCAACAGAACAGTCAAGAAAATACCTGGAAGCAAGTTACAGCTTGACATCAAATCAAAACATTCACAGAATCAAAGAGAGGAGTAATTGCAAGGGTGGAAGACAAGCCAAGTAAGGATCGAGAGAGGGGAAAAGTTTGATATTTTAATGCCTGTCATCCTTATCTCCCTCAAATCAATTATCACTTAAAAGTTTATCTCCTGAATCACTATTCTTCAATCACTCTTTCTGCTACCTTCAACATCATACTATGACTCACAATCCAACAATGAGAGGACAGTTATTAACAATACTTACAGACTTGCCAGCTTATGGTGCTTATTGATTTAGTGAAAAGAAAGGATGGCTAATTGCTTACCAATGCCCAGCCAAGTGTCTTTTGACTGAGTGTAGGTGTCCAAGTTTAAGGTAAACTTTAGCTCAAAGTCTTGACTAGTGCCAGAATCTTTTAAGAACTTGTACTTGCTGTAGCAAAAGTACATGCCTAAATGGAAAAAAATTAAAAACAATGCCATCAAAAGACCAAAATCCTTATAGCAAGAATTATAAGGTAGCTATGTGTGTGCCACATCTGAACTTTGTATAGGGACTTGCTCATCAAAGAGTCTCTGTGGCTCAGTGGTAGAGCAGCAGAGCACAAAAATGGTCTGAGGTTTCATCCCTCATGGGGACTCAGAATAATTATTTTGTTTGCCCCATGCTCATGACAAGACCAAAAAACACTTCCCTCTATGCCACACCCTGTTTGCCAAATTGTTTAACAAATGCCCCCCCCCCCCCATCTTCACTTAAGTTAGGAATCTCCACATAGACTTTATAAATACAATATAAGAATTAAGAATGACATTTACAAGTTTACTAAGCCATGCAGGCTGTTCTCAATATTTGCACCCTTAAATTTTCTTCAATGTTCATCATTTGCACTCCATGTTAATTCTCTCCATCCTCAACTAGGTATTTCCTTCCTTCTTTTTTATTGGTTTACCCTGGCTTGCTTAATCCTTTCCAGTTAACAACAATTTCTCACATAAACCCAAACTTTGATTTTATCCCTTCTCTAAAGCTTGACTTTTTAAGCAGCAAACTTTTGAGCAAATCAGGTTTTCTTTGTTAGTCATATAGAACACTTAAATGGCTTTGTTTGACTGTGTTCTTTTCATCTTTTGTACCATTGTACTCAAATGAGGTTTTTAGATGTATTTTTTAAAACAAGATACCATCTTATTGGATGGTTCAACATGTAATACAAGCAGACATTCTCCTCATTGCTTGTATTTTCCTGCCCTCATGGAGCTTGCAAAAATGTGATGCAACGCACAAAGATCTCCATTTATGACACGTCACACCATATAAATACAAACTCTGGGTAGATTAAAGCAATCTGAGTTTAAAAATATACCATAAATAATCAAGGCAAAGACAGCAATGATGCTACACCAGATGAGAGGGCCTGTTATCCATCTGTAAACATCAAAATAATATCTTCAAAACCTTTAAAATGCTACAGGTCAGAAAAAGCTATACTTGACACCAAAGTGGTAAAATTTATCTTAACTATTCTTCAAGTTCAAGTTAGTGTTATTGATTTTCAAATCGCTTTATATTTTCATGGCCAAAAAGAAGATGTGAAATTTTGAGTTTTTCTGCCCTTAGATATTCATATTAGTTTCTTTGGATAAGTTCTTGACCCAGACTAAAGAACAATAGTTTATAGAACAATTAAATCATTTTAGTTCAAAAATGAATCTAAAAAGAATGAACTGTTTAATTTGTTAGTCAGAGTGTTTTTTTCCCTACACATCTGATCAACAAGATTAAGTCCTGTTAAACAGGGCCCAATCTTGTAATATTTAACACTCCAGATATATGGTATCATCAGCTGACTCAAGTAGTACCTTGTGATGAGAATGTAGATAAATGCAAGGACTAAAACCAGTATCATGCCTCTGAAAGCAAAACATATTAACTGATAAATAATAGACATGATTAAATTATGCACATCTGATTAGCTGAAAATAGGTGCATTTTTCATGAACCAGAAGTGCAAAGTTGTAGCACGAGTGCAAGTTATTACTGTAAATAGCATGCACTATCACAATTTTGTCTGCCTTGACTTTCCGCAAAGCTTTTTTTCATGTAAATTAATAGCAATAACAAAATGATTTTGGGTGCAATTTGGTGCAAATAGGCACTTGTAAATTTTTCAAAGACCATGAAAAGCACTTGTCCTGCAAGCTTGTGCAATTTTGTCTTTAAAAGATTTACTTGCATTTATTAACACCAAATTGCACTAAAAAACCATGTTATTACCTGGATAAATATTTTTCAGGCATTTTTATCAATTGAAGCTAACTATAATAAATATCATCATTAAATAACTAACCAAACTATATGTTTTTAACAATTCTGATGACATTATTTTTATCCCAACTGATTATGATCAATAATCCAGCATAATTTAGCAATCAAGTTATCATGAGGTATTGGAAAAGGAATAACATAATTTATGACAAATTATACATTGGAAATGTGACTCACATTAAAAGCCAGTACCATACAGCTTTTATGTCCTCAAATATCTAAACAAATAATGGTAAAAAAAGAGAACAGACTCTCAATCTATGCCTAACCCAAAACAAAATCATATACTGGACAAAGCTGACAGTATCCATTATTGTTAAACAGCCAAATGCATGGCACACCAAGTTTTATTTTCATTCTTTCTTAATTCTTAAATATTCTATGTTCACATGACAAACATGTACACACCGACATTCCAAAATTTTGTGCATTCAAAAGAAATTGAAGGCCTCTGAAAAAAAGAGGAAAATGAGAGTTACAAAGGAAGCCAAGCACAGTGAAGGACAGGACAAATTATTTGAAATGTGTTGTCAAAAATCAAAACCATAGATGGATCCAAGAGTATTGATATGCAAAACAAAGTTATCAGACAAGTAACTATTAACCTTAAGTCTCTACACAGTAAGGAAATAAAGAAAACAATAACTAATCAACCATTTAAGAATTAACATATTTTGTACATCTTAACATGCATGTTAGGTTTACAGTCATCAACATGACCTTTAGAAACTGATAAAGGACCAATCAAAGGGTGAAAAAGGTGGAATTTGAAATAAAATCATTCAGCTCTAGATCATTTCTATACACTTTTCCAAAACTACTCATTATAGTTAATATGTGGATGAGAACAGAGCTGTAGAATCACCTTAGAAGAGTACTAAATTCTTGTGCATAAATAAATGAAGTCCTAAATATTGGTATTTATGAAGAAATCACCAACATAACAAGTTCTAGAAATGCTGATAATAATGCACTGTTATTATAATATAAGAAGGAAAATAATCACAGCCATAAATTGTACACTCACTCTAATCCAGCTTCAATGGCTGCCTTGGTCATATTATTTCCAGCAAGATTTGTTAGGAATGAGCTGTTGACAAGCAAGTTATTTGCCAAGGTTGGTATGCATCGATACAAAACTATAAAAAGATGCAACATCGCAAAAAATCAGTGGACAGGTATTTGAAGTAAAGCTCACTGGAGTGATGCTCCCCCAATTTCCAATTTTAACCAAAGCAGAACAAGACAACCTATGGCCCTTCAACTCTCATGAGTGACCAAGACAGAATTTCTCCCTGCAATATCAAATATAAAATCAAGTAGACAGGTAACAAGAATAAAGAAAATATATCAATAACAAGATTTGTTGATTCAACGCCAAATTCTCTGAAATAACAAAATGAGAATTGTACAGCAGAAAGTTAGGAGAATTGCTAATTGAGATCATAGGAGTAAAAGTTAATAAGTTACTGGTATTTCTCACAATCAATTGCAGTTAAAGAAAAAGTCATTGTGGAATTCAAGCCTAAAGAAACTTCAAGGTTTGGTACGTAGGACTCAAACTTATCCCTTCACCCATAACAGTTAAATAGTGCAGCCACTAACTGAGCAATGAAGCCAGATGCTGAGTGCAAGAGACATTTTAGTGGGTTCTATGTGGAAATGGAGTACAAAATTTATATATTCAATGAAGTCCCCATTGACCTGTGGAAGATAGGTGTTTTGGAATGCATAACTTATCACAACTTAAGACCTGCTGGAATATCCTAGATATATGAACTAACCAGGCTGCGAGGCCAAATAGTATGGTGCACATTTTCCTTGTACGACCAACTGATGTTTGTTACCCTGTAAAAATTATGATAATTAAGGACCAGTTTTATTACCACACCAAAACAACAGACACCAAATACACCTCATTTTCATGAATGTCATGCACCTTGCAAAAATTTACTCAAGATTATTTTTGAGTTGCTCTATGACAATCCAGATAAATTTTAATTTCCCCTGTATTGAAGGTGATCAAACACAGCACAGAAGATTCCTATCCTCAATAACAAAATAATGTCATAATCAATAAATAAAATTTACATTTAAAAATGAGGCTGAGCGATAATTTCACAAACAGAAAAATGAGTTGTGATTATAGCCAAGTTGGCTATAATCATCTCATATCCAACAAACACCGGTGGAATAATTGTTTTATTAAAAAAAAAATGCCCCCAAGATATTAGACAAATCTTCTCGACTTTATTTTGTAAGAAGAAACTGGCTGTTACAATGTACACTCAGATATTAGATTATGGTATATTGGCTCATATACCATAATGGCTAAGTCAATAAAAAGTCTTGAATTGCATTATCCAATGATCCATTTTTTGATAATAATGATTACACTACAATATCTGGAAGATCTTTATCATGATTATCTTCTCTCAAGGATCTAGGTCATCCTGCCATCCCTTGGTTAGTTTTCTATCTCATCAAAACCAATATTATTGTTTATTACTGATCAGCAATAGAGGCTGTTACCCAGTGTCTGATCCACACCTTGAGGAAAGGTGGCCACAGGGCACAATACTTGAAAAGTTTATCCCATTAGCTATGAGATAATTCAAAAGTGGTCTCTCAATATTCAAATGTGGTTAACTAGTTCTTACTAGTATAGGAGCCAGGCAGTTCATATTTCCAAAAAAAGTCATTACTCATGATAATCTACATCTAAATTAAAAAAAAAAAAAAAATCATTGGTCTAATTTTGCAATTGTAAGATACATGCCTTTTGATCTTTTTTCACTAGTCTCTAAATATAAAAAGTTACATAACGAATTGCAAAACTTAATAAATTTATAATTTTCCATGTTTTTGTAACATTACCTCAGTAACAGTCTCAACTCCTTCTTTGCAGACCATGTCACCAGCTTTCCGGTTATATCCTAGCTCATTATTTGCTGGACAAGATTCAACACAAACCTACATTGACAGACAGGATAATAAAAAATAAGAAATAATTAAGACTTAATTGACATGTAGTGATTTCCACTCAGCGAGAGGAATGAACATGCTCATTTTGTTAATTTAAAATGTATCATTCCTTGTTTAATGACTATGATATTGTTCTTGGAACAAAACAAAAAAAGTTCAAACTACTTTAAAAATAATTGCCACATTTAACATGAAGTTAAACTTAACTCTATAATTATACGAGCTTCCAGATAGATAGATACTTTCTTCTAAAACACTACAGCCACAAGCTGAATTATGTTTAGATTTACAATTTGTAAACAAGATATATAAAAATGTCAATGTAAAAGTACTTTAAATTTTGATTTCTGGGGCATAGATAGATAGATAGATAGATAGATAGATAGTTTATTAGTATATCGTACATGGCAGTCCGTAGACTGAATTGCATTACAATTACTTAGAACTAGGAATAAATACAATTGAAATTATAATAAAACCACAAATGCGAAAAACTCTATATATGAATATGTACAAACTAGTCTAAAAAAAAAAGAAATTTATGTACACATACTTGGAATAAAAGTGTTCTTAAAACGATTTGTATGTGTACGGGGCATGGCATAAGCCCTGGACTATCTTAGATTATATCTGTGTTCTCTCTTAGGAGGTAAGACAGGCACGAGTTTGTGATCCGGGCATGACGTGATAGACATATTTCACCTGTAAGCTACTTAAAGGCTAATGAACAGTAAGTTGTACAACAAGCACCTGTGGAGTGGGACAAGAAGGAACTGTAACAAATTTGGTAAAGTCTCCACCCTTTGTGGCACAAGTACTGATGTCAAAGAAGAGCAGATATTTTTTATCCCTAAAAAGAGAAAATAGAAGAAAAGTATGAGTTACAAAAAAAAATTGAAGGGTGTGCACTGAACATAACTGTTGACCAAAGCACCTAGATTAAAGGTGATTTACATTAGCCAGTGTTTAACATTGAATTTCCCCTATTTTCATACTAAGTTGTATTGTGTGAATGTCAACTGTTAATGCAAATTTGTTGAGGGAATGGTTAGCAACAGAACACCACATGAGATAATTTTTATGACAAAATTGTTCACAAGATTTAAGTCGAGGCTTCAGCTCAACTATCATGTCTCCATTTATAACATACTTCCACTTTCTGTGGTGTATTCTGGTACAACATTTATTTATATTAAACATCAACAAGGCAGGAGAGGGGGGACAAAAAATGCAGACAAAAGTAATGCAGGTCTCCTTTAAAGACTTGCCACATGGTGCTGCAACAAAATAACCCTTAAAAATCACTCAGTGTTTCAAAACATACTCTATTGATTTTCAGAAACAGAGCACCTTTACAGGAAAGGTGATTGTTCTGTGAAGTCACAAATTCACGGAAAGATATCTTCCACAGTTGCCCATCTCCCTTAATGAAAATACGAGAGCTGACAAATGGAATGAATTGTTCGAAGGTGAATTTCTGAGACATTCTCATCTCATGAACTAGTAATAAGTCACACCCTCACCCTGTACACAAAACATTTGATTCATTTACTTACACATAGCTATCTTTTCCACAAATGTTTCCTGCAAAAGAGATGCACAATGTTAAATAATCTCTAAAGGAATATTAAGTCTACTGTAAATTATAATACTTTGCGCAAAAGTTAATCTTAAAGAATCAGGCTATAAAATTTTACATGTTGACTAGTGCTTCATTGACAGTGATGATAATGATGACAACAGGTGCTCATAATAATACACTTTATATTTGATTCACCACCCATGACTTCAATTCTAAATGAAAATTTAAATCTCATTTTCTTGAGCAGTCAAATACCTTGAGAATCTTGTGGTAACAGAAGTCTATCAGGATCTCCTTCTTTGAAAGCTTTAAAGAATAAAAATGCAAAGAGAAAAATTGAAAATTTGAAAACTTTTCCTATATTAAAAAGTCAAGCCCATGATTAAGGGACAACAATGGTAAAAAGAGAAATTCTAAATGATTTAATTATTGTAAGTTATGATAGTTTGTAACCTAATCTTTTAATTGTTATGAATGCTTTAATTCTAATCCTAACAGTTTCACTGTTATGTGATGAAAAATCTTTACAACTCTAACAGTAAAACTGAAAGCTTTTCCATCCTATTCTTACCAATTATTCCCACAACAACCATGCCAACAATATATGCCACAAACAGAATACAGCAGGGAATGTCCGTGCATGACCTACAGAAAATATCAAATACAAATAGCAAATAAAGAACTTTAGACTTGATAAATAAAACTATTTCTCTTATGGTGCTTTTCAAAACTACCATGCAGGGAACCTTCTCCATACTGTAATACAGACCCTGTCCAATAACAATAACAGACACTAAATCTTAGCCCCAGAGAACCCTAAACCTTTTCCCATCCATCCCCCTGATTAGGAGATGTTTATTTGTGTAATTGCACTACAATTTCCCAAATGGAGAACTTAAACCTCATCCCTTAATCTACTGCCCAGGCTAAGAATTACAAAGGAAATGCTGCCATTAGCAATAGCCAATTAAAAAACTTCTGGTACTGAGCAGCAACCTTATTTTAATAAACTGTACTCTTACTCTTACGGTAGTTATAGTTCACTCCACCTGACACTACTGAAAGACATTAATTCCTATCTTTCACTGTGTTTTAGTTTGTCTTGTTCTCAATTTGGAAAATGTCTCAGTAAACTTAGCCTGCAGTGCGCAGGTGTCTTATTAGGGCAAGTTAACATTAAGAGGAATGCAATCATCTATTCAACCAGCCATTTTTTTAGAGTTGACAGTGCAGGGAGGGGGTGGAAAGGACTGAACTTCACTCTCCCACCCCCACCCCTTTCTTATTTTTTCACTGTTGCCCACCCCCTTGATACATATTTCTTTCTATCCCCAGCCTCCTGCTTCCATTAAAATCAAAGATGATGGTGTGACGCTTGCGACAAACGAGATCGAAACTTCAAGGGGTGTCGCTAAGTATAAACAGGACTATCTCACAGGTCGTTTCGTACTTCAAGTACCAGTAACCACAGAAAACCAAGGTTGACATTTAACGATGATTTATTGGTGATCAACGAATAGCGATCTACAAACCAAGATAGACGATACATGATCACAATCGTAAAATATGGGTCCTGCTTGTGCCAAAGGTTAGGAACCAAAACTGCGAATCGAACGAATAAACAAATGGACAAGGCAAAATACAATCGCACACTGGCTAAAGGGACGCTAAACATTAAGCTTTAAAATGCACGTGGGGACACTAAAATATCTGATTACAAACCAATAGAAAATATACAACAATGTAACCACATCCGTAACTAAAATAATCCGTAACAAAGAGATCAAATTGGACTTAGGCTAAATGAATTGTCTCTAGTATCCTTAACACATCGGCATAACTTTTGCTCAGAAAATACTGGGCATTCACTCACCAAAATTACGCCTGCTCTGGAAGCTATAATAAACTTTGATGCATGTGTGTGCTTTTCTCAGTTACTTGACACATCAAATTGAAAAGAGCACCAATGGTGATTCCTCAAGTGACTTCTGAAAAATGGACACCTTTCTTACATGGACACTACCATCTGTCCCTTGAGTTTCCACATTAGAGAGGTCCAACTACATATAATTACCACCCTAAATACCTGTCTGCGATGGGTCCCTTGAATGTAGCCTTGTTTTTCTTTCCTGTAAAAGATGGATTTAAAATGTTGGATTAAATTAAGGCAATAGTCTTTACAAGTGGAAGATAATGAATATAGTATTTACATTACCAAATATTCAGTAACTGTTCATTACAAGTACATTTACTGATTTCACATGATTTTGACAAATAGGTCTAAATATTAAAACAACATTACCACTCCCATTTATTAAAAAAAGTGAAATAAAGCATTATCCTTTACAAGATTTCTTTACATTAAAAAGTTATAGAAGATAAAGAATATGGTATTTACATTATCAAATATTCAGTATCTGTTCATTACAATTGCATTTATTGATTTCATATAGTTTTGACAACTAATTCTAAATATTAAAACCTCATTGCCATTCCCACTAATAATGAAAGTGAGATAAATCAAAGTCTATGATGTAGCCTGAGAAAAGCAGCTGTCCTTTTGCTCCCTTCGTTTCCCCGCAAAAGAAACGAAGGGAAACAAAGGGAGCGAAAGGACGGCTGCTTTTCTCAGGCTATCTATGATGACACCGATAGCAAGTAGAATTCTAATTTTCTGGATTTTACTGACAATCAATGCATCATTCCAGATATCATGGCCATTCATTTCAGTTAAATGTAGCAGTGAAAATGGTAGAATTAAATCAGCAAGAAAGAAAAAAATGTGTGTATTTAATTAAGGGGAGGAGGAGTGACATGGTAAACATGTAACTCAGTGACTATCAGAAGCTCGTCCAGATGGCATTATTGGCACAGACAAAAAATTATAATATCATTAAGGTCTCAAATATATCATTAAACCATAAAAAGTGCCCCAGTTTAAGACTGAAAAAAAAAAGTCATTTATGTTTATGAATTATAACTTGAAAGGTCATTTGACAGTGTTTTGAGTCACTTGAGAGTCACAATAGACACACACTCCATTATTATGTAGACTTCATTATTATAAGAAAACTCCCTTCGTCAAGAACCCACACAATAACGGGCCTGATCTGAACGGAAGCTTTGAACAACAACCAACTCCAAATCACAAAAATGGAAAATAACAAATGAAAACATAAAGAGCCTATCTGAATCCTGTACAGGTGTTACCAAATTTTTATTATCTTGAAGATCGTCAATCTAAACTAGCTTAAATTTCCATAAAAGCGAAAACTACAAATATCTATCTTTAGGGCTCTGAAAATACATTCGTGACCATAACTAATGACCGATTTTGAAATTCAAAATTTTGCTTTGGCTTTCAGTGGAAGTTTGAACAACATAACAGTTATCCTTTGCTCAGCAGAGTTGAGATACAGTGCTTCTGTCCACGCTTTACATTTAAATAATATATATTCCAAATAGGAGGTGCAACTCGGTTTTGGTTAATTGCTAACGTTATGAAAATATTTGCTTAAGAAGCCATCTCAAAGACACCCGCAAGAAACTATTGAAAAGACTTAGCGAGGCGTTCATATATTTTTATATTGGCAAATTCAAAGATCAAAATCTGTATTGCTGATAAAAAATTCAACTGCACATTTTTCCTTTATATGAGGATATAACTCAGGATAACGACAACATTATTCCCATAAAATGTGACAAAACATGTTGAATAAATTACGTGACCGATTACCAAACTAACATGGCGTAATGACTTGAAAACAACAGTATGCATGAACTAGTTTAAGTAAAAACTATGACCTGTTCAATATAAACACTCACTGGGGTAATGATGCAGTTATGTAGTGGCAAATTTGTGGTACAGTAAATGGCAGTGAACAAATTTAAAGCTCTAAATTTAACGCTACAAATAAAAACGTTTTCGCTGAGCGAGAGGGCAAATTTAGCTGGCGGGGTTAAATTCACAGACGCCTTACACATTTTTTTCGTTCAGCTGTAATTCACTTACACAAGACTACCGTTTGTAAAAACTTTCGATGTTTCGTGTAGCTAAAAGCTACGCGTTTGGATATGAAAAGTAATTTGCATATTCTCTTTGCACGATACGCCATGTCTGCTATAAATATTCGTTAAGTAAAACCGAAATGTACATTTCTTTTGAGTCAGAAGATTAACAGTAACAAGCCTATTACTCTTCCAAGACTCTTTGAACTAAAGCAACCCCGCCTACCAACTGCAAATGCTTACCGTCTTCTTCGTCCGCCATTTTTCCAAGTCACACTTTACGAATCAAAATGTATATAAATTATTTATATACCACTTGGAACAAAATCTCATGAGAAACTGAGCAGCTTTCTTCGCTTGGCTTTTTTTCTCGTCACGTTTTCGGATCCGACAACTGATTCAAGTCTTTCCAGAGCAATGATCCAATATACACGTATTTGCAATTTAAATCACCAGGCGTTACGAGCGTTCTTTAAGTTTTTTGCGTGACACAAGATTTCCATTTCCCTCACGCAAGATTGAGATAAGACTTTTCTAACTAACATTGAGAAACCAGTTTGAATGTTTTTGCCGTGAACACACAGAGATCACCTGACTTACTCAGCCACCCACACATTTCCCTTCTTCCACACTTTCGCTACAAACTCTATGTAAAACAAATTATTATTTTTATTATTACACTTATAATTACCGTTTTTGTCAGCTAGAAGTTTCAAGCTTTCGGCTGCAGATAAGAAACAAATTACCAATGATCATTAGATTCAATTATTGATCTAGTAAACATAAATGAAAATACGAAAATAGTTTCACCTAAAGCGCGCCTTCTACTTGGGGAATGGTAATGTGACAAAATTAATTGCTGCCTATTAACTGTATCAAGGACGACATTTAAATTTGGTCTGTTGGTTGTTCATTGTTTTCGGGTTATGAAAAGCTCCACAGAACAGCACCAGAACTATATCAGGAGATAAGCGTTTTCTCTTGATCGGAAGTAAACAATTTGTTGCTGAAAATACTTGAATTCAGCACCAGTCTTGATGATCGCTGATGCGTTGATAACAGAAACACCATTTTGCTAAAAAAATGCATTCCGTTTCCATGATTCAGTGAATATTTAATAGTGAGGCAGTGCTTTACCAATTCTTCCGCTAAATTTCGGAATTTAAATCAATGTGGTCCACAAGAATTTCCCTAAAGCAAAGTAAATTGTACAATTTTCGTCCTTAGAAGCTTTTAAGTTTACCCAAGTTGCTGTTGCTCTCATCTTGCTGAATAGGCTTTTGTGCATGCAACGAGTGTAACCATTGCTGAATCAGAATGTTTTTCAGAGAATATAAGAAGAGAGTGACATTGAACCACTTATATACTTTAAGACCACCTTAACTCGATAACAGTATAAAAACTTACCTAACGAGAATTTCTTGTTGTACATATGTAAGCATTGAACCATAAAATGACAAACCAACGCTCCAACGAGAATGCTGGAAAGAAAATCGTGAAAGGGTCTGGGAGAAATGCGTGAATTTTAAGAGTACTTACCTTCAGGATCATCTTGTACTTTATTTCCATTTCCATGGGCGGTAGACGCCATCGTCGTACAACCGATGTGTCGCTAATCACGAAGGTCAGACGCGATGTTCACTTACGCTGTGCATAAATTTCCAGGATAAATGTAATTCAACCAATCACTCAAACCTTATTGTTTCAGATGACTGGTTCGTGAGAATTATTCCGCTCCCAATATACCCCCCATTAGATCTTAGATTTGTTAAAAGCAAACACGGACGTCACACAGTCGAGGCTTTTGGACTTCGCAAAACAAACTTTCTTTCAATTTCCTCCTCGCAGTCCCACTTCAGAGGTGGTTTAGAAAGTGTCACGTTACCTGGCGTAACGGACGGACGGGGTTTAAACTAAACGCCGCCCAGTGTTTTAGGAGCCCAAACTTACGAAATTACACTTTTTGGCATATTGCCATCCTTCTCATACCAAACAAGTGTGTTTTTCGTTTGCTAGTAAATTAATATCTGTAATTTCCAAGTAACAACACAGTTGCATCAAATAGTTTGTCGTTAGAGTCCCGCTAGAGTTATTCTGAACAATGAACAGAATGTTTTCAAGGCGGGTTGTTCCAGTTGCTTGGATCACAATCGACGCTGTAATAATTTGTGATTTTTTTTTAAAACTCAAGAGCAGATTATGTAAAAATCCATCGCGGAAGTAAAGGGAGGGCATTGGGGTTTGCGGTTTTCCGGTTTTGCCTATTTTTTAGATCGGTTTTTCGGTTTTTGTGCCAAAAAACGTCGGTTTTTCGGTTTTGTTGTTCATTGCGTTTTTGCGCATTTTCCGTTTTCAGCATTTGGTTTTCGGTTTTCGTCAAAATTTTGAAAGGTATTCGGAGTTGGTATCCGGAGTTGGTATCCGATGTGCTTTTTCGGTTTTTCATATTGGGGTTCCGCGCACTCGTATACCGGTTTCTCTATCTTCGATCTGAGCAGCAGTTAAACGCCTCTGCTGATCTCGAATAGCTGCAAAGCCTATGTTGCTCCACTTGTAACCACAGCATCAGATCGATTAGGATTTTGACAACTGAGATGTACAAATTTATCGGTTTAGACGGTTTTGGATGCGGTTTTCGGTTTTGATCGAATTTTTTTGCGGTTTTGTGGTTTCTAATAGACCCCGATACCCCCTTCAAGTAATTCCTCATAAATAGGCATCTGTACAAGGGTTTCAATTATTAATTACCAGTGGTACGCTTATAAACCTTTTACCACCCTGTGTTTAGCCTGCAAGTAGGCTTTCGTGTCAGGGTTTCGCATTAAAAAACCCGTTCCAGACTCACACGCCTATAACACCATTAGCAGCCGCTTATGGAAAAATTTGTTGTAGGCCCTGCAGATTAAGTCAGTTTTTCCTTGTTATAGCCAGCCCTATATCTGGTTACCGAGGCGACCTATTGCTGCAGTCAGAAATTTGTTATCCATCATTTATCCTTGATGGATGATGATGTTAGCGACACATACTCGTTTCGTTTTCTCATTAGTTATCTAATTAGACTCGTTTCGTTGTCTGTTTAAAGGTGCAAACCAAAGCTAACAGGTCTTTGGAGGTATAGGGAACTAAGAGTCTGCTAACTAACTTCCGGAAAATGACAGACGATGGCAGCACAGTAAAAAAATTTTTATTTTTATTGCTCTTTATTTAGTCATTTCTGTTACTTTACTCGGGAGAACCTGGAAATATTGGAATTTATTATCCAATTGTGCTTCGTAGAGTACAAACAACGCGCGAGACGAGTACAAATATCACGCGATATTTGTAGTCCAGAAATATCCGCGAAATTCGCCCGTACTGAAATAACAATTTGGCGTGTTGGATAATAAATCTCTTATTAAACGTTTTGTTGTGTAGCATCGCTGAGTATTTTTACTCGTTGTTTGTATTTTGACAAGCCCGTAGGGCTCGTCAAAATACGGCACAACTCGTAAAAGTACTCAGCGATACTATCCAACCAAACGTCTAATAAGATATAATCTATATATTCTCAGGACAGTGCGGTTATAACGGACGAAAAAAAAATCAGGAGACCGCCGCATTCAGCCGGTATTGTCCAGGCCCACTGCTATAGACAGCCAACAGAGTGCTAAATGATTGCTACATATCTTGAAAAGCGGCACTTCTCGCAGTGAAAGAAAATCATACCGTACATGAATATTTATAGAAAGAAATAAAACAAATTGAGTATTTTTGTTCGTTGTATGTCACTACGATTTCCCTTACTATCAAGCTCACTTCGATTTCAGCTGACAAAAAATAGGGAAACGTGTTCTAACAGCCTAAATCATCTGACCTTGAAACATTTGGCTGGCCTCAGAAGAACACAACTTCATTCAGGGCAAAATTTCAAATTTAATCATGTATTACATGCATTTTAAAGGACCTTTGTAATGCATCGAACTTTCCATCAATAACTGTTTTTAAAAAGTTTACTGTACACTGTACATGTGTGCAGGGCCCCGGGCTATCAAATTACACAACTAATTATCGTCCCACCGACCTCCTCCTCTGCAACATGCCACCATTGATAACAAATAAGCTAGCAAGCGTCGAAAAATAAATAAATCCTCTGAAATCTTCAATGTGTAGCAAACCACTTTTGTTTGGAGGAAGACCTCTTCAAGTGCGCTGGCCCATTTCAGAAAAAAAGGCACCGAAGTCTAGCGCTAACTCTAACATGACTGCTGAGCAACAGTAATCAAGTTTCACGTCACGCACTATGAGGAAAATATCCTCGACCAAGCTTTCCCTCGCTTATTTGGCTCCAAAGGGGACTGGGGCAAGGCTAAAGGGTTCATTTCACGTTCATTTCACGTTCATTTCATGATTCGGTACTGAAGTACCAGGTCTCCTCCTCCTTTCCAAATAAAATGTCGCACTGTTCGTAAGTCCATGCTAGGATCTAGTACCTGCGAGTGGAACGAGATTTAAGGAAACATTTAGTACTACTTCAAAAGATCTGAAGGATTCTTTAAAAAAAAAAAAAAAAAAAAAAAAACAGATAGACAGAGAGACAAAGAACTATGCTGACCAATAAACAAGCGGACAGAACGAACGACACACCAACAGATACAGACATTTGAAGTTTACAAGGTAAATTAAATGCCGCAGAGTATTTCAAAAGTATCGGGAAAAAAAAGGATAACGAAAGCTCACAGCTACAACTGAACAACCTAACATTCACAAACACACACACACGGATGCTTGATGACCTTAACCAATAAGTTCATGAATACAAACTGATAACAAGGAGTCATTTCGTTTATCAAGAAAGAACTGACCTGTTCGTGACAAAGAAGTTCGACCCGTGCCTCAGCTAACGCTAATAGTTCCTCCAGTTCTTCCTCGGTTGGCGGTCCGGCATGCTCTTTATCAGCGTGGTTACCTGAGTTGCTGGCGTTGTCATTTCCCACCACCTTCTCGTATACATGCTCAATCACTTTGCGCACATGCAGCATATCACTGGCCGACAAGCGATCCCTAAGAACATTGGAAAATAACAGTTAAGTTAGCAAAGCACTGTAAATCTTTTAACGCGGGGGGCCTCCTTGGAGTTATAGAATTAGTTTCAGTAGCACCCTGGACATGTTTTACTTCTATTTGCACTCGTTGCAAGTCTGGGCTAAATTTTACCAGTGGTTTTCCATTGGTTTTTAGTTCGTTTTGATCCAAGGCTGGTAATCAAGCCTACTTAAAAGGTAAGACAACTTTGCGGTGAGGTACAATGACAATTTGTTTATCTAATCCGCGTTACCTCTTCAGTGCCTTCGACGAGCTCGATGAATGAGGTTGCAGGAAGAACGCTATCTTATTGAATTTCGGTGACAGTTTCTGCAAAAAGAACCGATTAACTTCTAACTTCATTGTTAAGCAATATCAAAGCAAAGAACGAGTGCATCTCAAGATTGCCATTGTTACGATACTGGAATGTGAAACGCGCATCATGAATTTACCGAGCAGATTGCAAGTTAACTAATTAACTTCCAATATGTTAACCGAGTCGCTTGGAATAATATGCATTGGTATTCGTGCATTCAGAGTTCAGTGCAGTTTGAGGTAAGTATAGTTTTGTGTAATAAAGTTTGATCTGTATGGCAGAGAAGCACGAGGAAACAGCTACAGATTAATGTTCCTAGCCAGTCAAGCTCATTCGATTAAAGTAAAGATTCTTATCAGGGGGAGCTCGTTCAAAAGTGAAAACTGATTACGTGTTTCGTTAAAATCACAGGAGACTGCCCACTACCAGTGACTTTAGGTTCAGACACTTTTGGGTAAGGGAAGCTGGAGGTCATTAGAGTTTCATTTTCCTCGCCGCCTTTTCAGTCGATAGCCCTTGATTTTCACAAAACAATTATTTTCCAATCATTATTGGCTTCCACTTAACGTCGTCGTTTCGATTCCCTACAATGACAGGGTGAAAAAACTGATATTCATATGTTGATTAAAGAACAGACGAGAAGTCAGTCTTTACCGACGTACACGGACAAATGAAATGGAGAGTATTGTCAGGCCTGAGTTTTCCAATCTTAATTTTTCAACTCTAAAGCTAATAAATTAATCAGTAACCTGCAGGTTAAATTTGAACTTTCAAACTGTCTACCTTGACCGTGACGTCAACAGCCCAGTTAGGGACAGTTTCAGCCAATAGATATGCTTCATTCTCTCCCGAGGCATCTGCTACCAGCAGGCGGAACAACGTCCGCCCTGTGCCACTACTCTCTGTGAAGATCAAGGGTGTGTGCTCAGGAACACTGAAGAAACCATTACCCATCATTACACGCTGGGAACGCAAACCAAATTACCAACATTACATCAAGCTAAAGTCGAGGATTATTTCACTGAACATTTACTTCCTCTATTTTAAAATGTTACCACTGTACGTTTCACTTAGCTGGTAAAACAAATTGTCGTGCATTATGAGAAGAAATGCTACTCATTCATTTGGTATTTCACCAGGGACACTTGTGTCTTAAAATTACTAGTACCAATAATCATATCTGCCCAATCAAAATAACCGTTACGACCTAGGAATTCAAAAGGGTCACCTTTTCTTTCATTGTACCAATTTTTAATGAAAGACCCGGACAAGTAGTCCATCTTAAATTCTACTCTAATATCTCGGTGGTAAATTTATTTAATTTTGCCCACATCATTCACTAGTTAACCTAAAGCAGCTACTTACAGACTCGAGGTTCAGGTTAACTTCACTGGCGCTTGCATCTCCACTTTCTGCGAAAGTAAATAAACGTGGACATTGCGCATTGTCCAAGAAGATTTGTTCGACTTATAAAAAGTTGTTTTGAAAGGACAACCGTTGAACTTAAACACTTTATTCATTTATTTATTTAAAGATTAGTACAGTGTACAGGCGAGTGAACAATAGGACACGTGGTCCCCTACTGGGTTCACCCGCCTAAACCATATAAACCAACCCCATAAAATGTAGAAAACCAACCCTTTACCCAAAACTACAATTAAATATTAATAATGTACCATAAATATCGTTCTAATAAATAGAAAGAAAGAAGAGAAAAAGGTAACAAATAGCGCACTACATTAATACTAACAAGAGCAAGCTTTTAGAACATTTACACGGCGACACTTAGGACAAATACTCTTAAAGGAACGTATATTGTCGCCATCGAAAACATCATATAATCGATTAAAGTAAAACGATTTGAGTTGGCGTTTGAAAGAATGAAGTGTATTAGCTACTTCGGAAATACCATTCCATATTACCGTAATTCTATTAAAATAATAATCTCGGAAAAGGGAAGTAGGAGCAAAATTGGTCTTCAGGCAATGGGCAGTATTTGCACGACGCGTGCGTTCCTGAACAAACGAGAAATAGTGATTAAATTCAAAGGTAAAATCAACCAGATTATTTAGGCATTTATAAAAGAAAACCAGATCCAACTATTCTAACCAATAATTAAGCGGCAGTAGCCTTAGCTCGATAAGGCGATCTCTATATGACAGATCGCTGCCTTTGCTCTTGCCCACGATGAAACGCGAGGCCCTTCTTTGAATAACCTCAACGAGAAAAAGATTACCCACGGCTGACTGGGGAGCCCAGACCTGCGAGCAAAACCATATATGTGAGCGCACTAAAGAATAATCAAGCCGCAGAAGTGCCTCGCTATTAACTAAGCCTGCGCAGTTTCTCTTCAGAAAACCAAGCATCTTAGTTTGCTTTAGCTACCACCATAACGATGTGGTCCTTCCAAGTCGTTTTGCTAGAAATTAAAATACCTAGATCTTTTTCGGCTTTAACTACCGTCAAACTAATGCCATTTAGCAAATAAGTGCGTGGCAGATCAATGCGTTTTCTAGAAATACGCAGGTTAACGCATTTAGTAGGCTGAAAGAGTAGCTCATTACTAACTGACCAAGTAGAGAGCGCATGTAAATCACATTGCAAATTCACGAAATCAGACTCCTGATAAATAACCTTATAACACTTGGAATCATCTGCGACATAGCAAGCGATGCCTTTGTCAGGCATTTCAACTACATGGTTTAGCATTATCATTTATGGCCTCGTAGTTTGTAAATTAGAATTCTGATTAAGAGTGCTTGAACCCTGATTAGGACGGTGAAATATGATATTAGAAACTCAACCCTCAAAGTTACGGACTCTACTCACACAAAACCATAATTGGATGAGCAGGACTGGACTCTACTCACAAAACCATAATTGGATGAGCAGGACTGGACTCTACTCACACAAAACCATAATTGGATGAGCAGGACTGGACTCTACTCACACAAAACCATAATTGGATGAGCAGGACTGTTTGTCAGGACACCTTACAAAATAACCTGTACTGCAGCATGTTATTACACTGGCTCGCTGGAATTAGCCACGAGGGTCGAATTGCGTTTGTTACTAACCTGGTGAATCAGCTCTGGGGAAATCTCGATCAGTTTCATCCGCTGTTCCAGTGTAAGTCTCCCTCCAGTGTTCCAATATGGCTTGCAAAAGAAGCACTCCGTAATTAACTTTGAGACAAAGAGTAAACAAAGTCAAATCAAAACCGATAAATACTGGTAACCCAACTCAGGAACACTTAGCAACTATGGCTATCTTTGTATGAGGATTATTTTGATGCCCCTTTTCATGTGCCTGAAAATCCAGGCCACTACAGAAAGAAATAATTATGCGACAGTAAAAACAGATGACAGCTTTTTAAAATAGGGGTTTGGAAATGTTGAAAGAGAGCTTTTCCTAACTCGTAAGTTAGCTTCTCAAGCTGGAGATCTGCATGTAGCTTTCTGTCATGGCCCATTTTACCCCTAAGAGTGACTGCCATCTAATTTCTCCCTTCAATATCACCCCCCCCCCTGAACTACGCATTAAGGTCATGAGAATAAAAGAAATGATCACCAACTACAGAAGCTCTTGATTGTTAAACAAATTCTCCTTGTCAGCACCTTTGGAAATGTGTACAGAACAGTATGGAGAATATGTGTGCTGATGTTAGGGTGTAAAGGGTTAACTTTCGGATGAAACACATTGCATCCAGTTACATAATCTCTTAGAAAATTTGGCAAAATGTTAGTGAAAAGATGTTCGATTAATTATTTCATGTTGCCCACCTTTTGCCCTTTTGTTTTTATTGTCTGTAAGAGAATTGTAATGTTTTCTCGGTCAGCTGTTCCTCGTATACAAAACCACATAAAACGGCTACTCACCATGCTTGATATCTGTAACATACGCTACACAAATATAACGAAATGAAAAAAAATAGTAAGATTAAAGTGGAAAAATGTACAACCCAGCATTTGAACTGTGAATAAACTTTTAATAAGAAAGATCGTGGCATTTCTAAACAGAGCTTGAGTATTATGAAAATAAATATAGTGGAAGTTCAGTCTTAACTCAGACAATAACATTGACATGATAACTGAATTGGTTTTAGTGTAACACTGATATCACTGTATGGACACAGGTTCACATCCCGTCTCATTTTCACAGCTATCTCCGCACGTGAAATTTTCGCGACCCGTTATTTTCCCGAAATAAAAGGGTACATATTTCGCGAGACATCAGTTTGGCCATGCGGTCATGACATACGAACGGAGCGAGGATCGTAAGGCCTTCCTACAGATTTTTTTGTGTGTCTAAGGGTCATGTAATTATGTACGAGTGTTTGGATGTGTGAACGTGTTGATAACAGTTGGTTTAAATTCTCTTCCTGTTTAGTCACGTATAGTTTTGTTCGCAACACTTCAAAACTTTGAATCCATTTGTGATTGAAAAGTATCGCGAAATTTTTCAGTATGTTTATTGAGGTCCTTAATTGTCCATCTAACTTCCCTCTATCAAAATTAGAGTAAATCTAGGTGTAGGAGGTATGTTGTCGGATGGTTAGTGCACTGAACGCTAGATCAAGCACGAGAGGATACATGTACACCATAACAATGCCTCTCTCTCTCTCTCTCTCTCTCTCTCCATACCATAAGATACAAAAATTAGTGCGGACAAATTGTTTGGGAAACCTAACAAAATCTTGGTCAAGTGGCAGGAGAAACAGAAGCACTAAGAGTTGCTACACGTGGAGAATGATAGAATCTCCATCAAGATCCACGAGCGATCTAATACAGCGCAGACGAAAAAAAAAACTGTCAAAAACATGTATCAAACCAGTTTACTTTGACTACAAACCTTTTCCATCCACAGTTTTTGGTTGTAATCCTGTAACATCTGTTACTGAAATCCAAGCTGCAAAACAGTCGCTCTCTTCCAGATTTATTGTGAGCATCTGAAATGAATACACCACACGCACTTTTAGTCTATAAGGGCATTATTCAACTGAGTGGAGTGCAATTTGGTCTGAAATCATACGCGTGATTTGAAATCACTAGTGTAATTTCATACCAAAATTGCACAACACGAGGTTTGATTACCACTTTATTATATCCATTTTGAAATGGCAAAATTCAGTCGCTCAAACACAGGATGTTTTAGTTTGTACAAATATTTTATTGATCCAGTACTGGGGAGGGGGGACGTATACGCGCAACACAGTTAACTAAACAATGGAAAAAGAAAAGGAAAAAATAACCAAAAACTCGAAAGAAAGTTGATGTAGTATGGCATCGGACTTGACAAGACCTAATTTTGGGATATTTTAACACTTACCCCAGTCTTGATGTCAACTGAAAACCAATTTGGTACATAAACCATCTGTGTTCTTTTCTTGATTTCTTCTTCATAATCCACCAGACCCAGACCCTCCACCTTACATGCCTTAGATTCCATAACAAATAGAAAGATACAACCCTAATACTGATTCTCAACATTATCAGATTTTTATCTTTACACATCACAAACGTTATCGTTCACAGTTCAATTAACCTACAATTACTCAATTCAACAAATAAAAGCAATTCCTGTCTGGATTTATTTTGATACCTCAATTAAAAACAATGGTCATTTGGTCGAATGCGCGTGGGTCCAGTGTAACCTTTTTATTTTGGAAGCTCACCAGAAGAAGATCGTTATAGAGAAAAAAAAAAAAAGGCCTTTTTTGGACAGGTGCTCATTCCTATTTTCCTCTTTTTTTTTAGAGAAGACTCCTTTTAAGCATGAACAACCAACTGGACCAATATCAACTGATCGTTTCTTTGGAGAAATTGTCCTTGTCAATAAAAGCAGCAAATAAGACACAACAAAGAAAACCAGGTTTTTGATGTTTTAGCTCTACATACGAGCTAATAAGGGAAGATACACTACAATCTCAATGTTCTTGAATGTCCCTTAAGTTTACACTTTATCTAACAGAGGTACAGCAAACTTGTGGAAATAGGGGACTGCTTATTAGATAAATCAGATGCACTTATCCGACAGGGGCACTTTTTAACACACATTCAAAGAAATTACTTGTCCCAACATTAGGCATAAAATAGAATAATTACAGTCAACATCAGAAAAAGTAACAGATATTCATTTAGTCAGACTAGGATCAACTGTTATATTGTGTTTGCCTCAAATGAACAGACTCTAAAATAAAGAAAGAGGAGCTTACTTTTAGCACATCCCAAACAGACACCCTTCCATCTGTGTCCTTTGTTATGACATGTCGTCTGTCTCTTAGGACATGAAATTTCCGTATGCTGGGTGCCCCTGTCACAAGACAAAACAGAAATAATAAAAAACATAGCTGGAGTAAGGCAATCTGAACAGATGCAGGGAGCAGTTTGGTTAACTTGTTTTGAAGTTTACTAGGTTTCTACACATATGAGATGTAGCAACTCATAGCAACTGAACTTCAAAGTCCTGCAACATGATAAAGTAGATTTAACCAAGACTTGGGGCATTACACTTACTCCAGAAAACTGTGCAGGGAGTTTACAAACATGGAAGTTAAATGTGAAAAACTTTGTTATGAAAAATTCTATGAAAAGTCCTCTGCAACACTAACATGTACCTGGTATTGTCTTCCTTGGCGATGAACAAAGGGGCTGAGGATCTGTGTCTCCAACATCCATGCTGTCCTGGTCATTAAGGTATGGGATCTTTACTGGCTGTAAAGGGATATTCCAAACTGTAACTCAGACATAAAGATTATTGCAATTATCAAAAGCTGTGGATCAGTTCTATTGTAAAATTTTAAAAGTACCAATGCTGTTTTCCATATTGCAGTAAGTTATGTTTGGATACTGATGCTGGTAGACTTTGCTATTTCCATGCCTCCATAACAAAACAACCACAGAGTGGTATTACATTTTAAATATTGCTGGTAAAAAAAAAAAAAGGAATTGGTTTTCAATCTTTATCATTGCTAAAGAACAGAAAAAGATTGATGGTATCTTCTAAGATCACCTACTGATTTAAAATCATTGTTTGCTTTATAATATTCTTACCCAGTTATTTATTGTAGAATTTGTAGTAGCAACCCACAGAGAGTGGGGTTCATCACAAAGCTCCAACTAAAAAAAAGGCAGTTTTAAGACTGAATGTGACTACTGGTGTAAAGTGCAGTTTTTGTAGCATTGAATAGAACTATAGGTTGCATAATGATGCTAGAAGGTAGTGTTGCAGAAGATTTGTCTCACATGCAAAACAGAAAACCCGCCACATTCCACAAATTTCCACGAGAGAAAGATGGTTAAAAAACATATTGACTACACAATAATCAACACTCAATTAATAATTAAATGGCAAAAAAAAATCATATTAACATATATTAATTACTACAACAATTATAACACAAGGCATAGTCGTGATAATTTAACCTCACTCAATCACCAACTCATCTTGACAACTTAAGTGGCTTTGCCTCCTGTAGCAGGCTGTAGCCACAAAAATATAGATATTTAAGTCCCAGTTTCAAGTCCTCCACCCTGCTACTCACTGGAATTGTTCTCAGTCACCCAGGGTTCAACTCTGTGGCTGCACTATAATAGCCCAATAGTCTACCTCCTTTCAAGCACTTTATGTTTACTTAAATATTTGTTTCTTTCTCTCTCATATCATAAAGCACTTAAAGGCTTGCAATACTGGTCTGCACTATATATGTTGTAAATTAAATTAAATTTTTTTTTTAATTTTTTTGTATGAGCATCTCAGTGTCCTAGGTGCATCATGACAGTCAAGTCATTCATGTATTTCACCTAAACATAAAGATCACTTACTTTTAACACTGGAGCATCCTCTACAAATAAAAGAGTGGAAGAATTCTCCATGTTCAGATCAGTCCACATGACATGTTTGTCTCGACCACTTGAATAGAACCCAGTAAAGTTGTCATTAGCACACAGTGCCCACACACCTTCCCCGTGAATTCTGTATGTCGTGATACATCTCTGTTGCCCTAATGACCAAAGACGTATGGTTCCATCTGAGCTTCCTGATAGACACTACCAAACAATAAAACAGTATTTATCCAAGAGCACTGAATAATCACATCATGGCTAGTTAAACAAAATAAATACATGTAAATTGATCAAACACAATGAAAAGTTTGAAAACCAATAACTTATGTACCCAAACAAATACCAGAAAGGAAACAGCAGTCCAGAGTCCATCACTTTCTGCTTAACAGGCATTAAAAAAAAAACATAAAAAAACCCATTTAACCTTCCCAACATAAGAAAAACATAGGGCATTACCAACATGAATCTTGGATATTTAAAAAAGGCACCTTGTTGCAACTTTCCCTTTCCAACCTTTCCTTACTAACCTTCCAACTATTTTCCAATTGAACATATCCTACTGACAGTACATATCATTAACCAGTTTTTCCAATCTCTTGTTCTGTTTCCAATAGGATCATCATCCCCTTTCTTATCAATACCCATTCCATTCAGATCTTTGTCGCACAAGCCAACAAGGGCTTAATTGCTTTAAAAACCATTCTCTCTACAATGTACAGTTTCTTCTGGGCATAACTGAACTCAACAACAAGTTACCTGTGTTCCTTCAGGATTGATGATGATGGCTTTCACATTATCTGTATGACCTTTTAGTTTCATGACTTTAGAACATGTACGAGGATCCCATACTCTCAAAATCTGACAACAAACAAGACATGGTAAGCCTTCCTACACAAATAGCTCTTAAAAAAGATCTATTCAAAGTATTTTAATTTGTAATTCTACTGCATAAAGCAACAACTGCAAAAGTATTTATGGTATACATTTAATTCTTATGATTATCAACCTGACTTTTCACCAGTTTTACCCTGACATAAAAACACATGTATGCACTTTATTTAGGGCTTGAATAATAAAATGAATAAAATTGTACTTCTAACTATCAAAATCACTCGCAATTATAACAAAAATCACCCCCAGTCATACTATACAATTTAAAAGGTTATGTTCAGTGGGACAAAACTCCAAAAATTAAATCATTACATCAAAGTTGTTGCTCTCTGCCTCAAACAAAAAAATCATGTACATGTAAGTATAGGTAATAACATGATTTCTAGTGCAAATTGGTGTTAATAAGCAAATGTAAATTTTTCAAAGACAACAAAATTGCGCGAGCCTGTAGGGCGAGTGCAATTTGTAGTCTTTGAAAAATTTTCAAATTGCTCATTTAGATCAAATTGCACTAGAAATCATATTATTATTTATTGATAAGGTAATCTACATAAAAAAAAAGCATCACAAAAAGTAAAAAGAGATAGAGCATAATTTTGGACTTAACATTTGTTTTACAACTTTGCACACATTACATGAAAGATGCTCTCGTTTTCACCCAATCAGAAGCGCATAATGTTTTCATGTACATTATTAATCTCCTAACACTTTACACTGTCAGAAACCTTAAAGAGTTGATCAGGTCAATAGCCCATTTCCGAATTACCCTTGGCCTCATTTTCAAAACCAGTCCTAGTGTTCATCCTTTCATATGATAATAAGTTTTCATTCACATGCAAATTAAACTCATTTTCACAAGAATGGTTGAGCACGGGGACTCATTTTGAGAATGAGGCCAAGGGTAATTCGGAAATGGGCTATTAACTTTACCTTCTCAGTAGAGCCAGAGATAAGTACAGTGCCCATGGTGTTTAATGCTAAGCTGTATATTGAGTCTTTTTGACCATTCAGTGATGAAGCTAACATGAAAAAAAAACCAAAACAACCAGTCAGTGAAAAAAAAAGAAAGGAATTCTGAAAGAAATGCAGCTTACACAGAACCAGTTGTGAATAAAAAAAAAAACTCAGATTTTAACAACCTGACTACCCCCTCCCTGTAACCATCTGAAAATAAAATACATGGAAACCTCTCCAAAGAGATCGTACTGACACTTGAACAAAGTGACTGTCAGTCTCTGGGATATTCACACTAGTGAAAATAGAATCAATGAGACATTCCCCACAACACCAATATGACTGGCCTTTGTACTACATTTTGTATTGTAGCAGAGTCATGAAGTTCTGAGTTCAAGGATTCAAATCAATCATAATTTTTAAGAATTTATCATATAAGATGGATATCACAGAAACTTCACAACATTTCTGATATCACTGCAGTTCAAAATCCAGCCAAAAAAGCAAATGAAAATATTGATATGACTACAAAAATCTACTATTATCACTCCTTTTCTGAATCACAAAATTATTTCATTTATTTGACCATGTGCATGATGCTCTTAGTTAAAATTTTCACTCATTGTTGTGAAACAAAAACACCTGTTGCATATGCCTTTGTCAATACAATCTTTCCTCAATTAACTCACTGGTAAAACACTATCCAATGATTAAACAATTTTTTATGCTTAGTAACTAGCCAAAGAGGGCCCAGTGGGCCACCTTCTTCAATTTAAGGAGGGCTTATTTAAAGAAAGGAGAACTAAAACAGAGTTTCAATGTGAGAAAACAAAGAAGAGAAAGGAAATTTAGACAGTGCAGTGACTAAAATTTTTTAGCAGCTCTTATATCAGTTTGTGGTCAATTACGTTTTCAAATACTTCATTTCAATAAAAAACTTACAACTTTTATAAAATACTTATCCCTGGGCAAATTATTTTTTATCCTCATTTTATGCATAGTCATAGGTTTTTTGTTTCTTTTTTTTTTTTAATGTGGAATTTCAGCCATACTCTGGAAGAAACCTTTCCATTTCTTTTTTATGAGTCAAAATATTTAGGAATTAATTTATATTAGGCCTTTGAAGCTCCACTCACATTACCTTGTTCTTTCTTTTTGGGTTTCTTTATTATATATTTTAATTTGTTGATTATAATCACTAGGTATATTTAATCAGCATTTGTTGTAGTTGAACAATTCCACCTCCAGTAAAGTGGGCAAAAAAGGCCAAACTATATTGAAGCACTTTTCTGATTCACTTTAATTTATAAGATAAAAATGAAATTCAACAAGAAATACAGCGTAACTTAAAATCACATTTTTTGACTACCTACAGGGTGAATGAACATCAGAGTGCAGATTACTGACACATCCTTCTCTCATGTGGTTACCTTCACCTCTCTGGCTACCTGATATTTTGATGGCCAAGCAGTAGGAACAGTAAACAAAGATATTAACTGGTCAAGTGTTAAAAATTCAACAAAAACAAGTACTTTGATGTAACTGTGTTATATATGGGAGAAAGATTACTGATATTGGCTTTTATGTACCCAACAGTACAAAGAGAAGTGACTGAGTGCTGATCAATCATAAAAAAATAAGATTAATAAGAAATTTATTTCAACAAATTTAATGGACAAAGAACAGAATGGTTGAAGAGGTAACCAAGCACTATTTCCTTCTCAAAAAACCACCTTCAGAGTGATATAATCATCTAGCTGTATCTTAATTAGACAGAATTCAAAGGAGCTAAAAAAATAGAGGTAGGACTTTCTCTGTTAACAAACTCCTGAAGTCAAACTTTTTATTTCTTGTTTGGCCCATACCAAAATAGTGGAAAGGTCCACCTAGAAAAAAAATGTTGTACTTTGTCATCTTTCAAAGAGTATATGAGCTCAGTCAAAATTACCCTTAAAATTCGGGATTCGTTTTCAAAATTTGGTTTTTTGGCAAAAAATCCAATGGGTTTACCTTATTGATTAATCTGCAAGGTGACAATTCACTTATCATTACATCATGCAAAATTCTGGCTTAGTCTAGAACTTAAATCAATATGTTACTTCAACTTAAGAGAGTCATTTACTCAAAACTTGGACAAGTACACTTGAGCAGCTTTTAAAGTTAGTTTCATACTTTATATAATTATACTTTATTCATTTTCAATTTTCATTACATGTATTTCCCAAGCTGTGAGTGTAAAGATACAGCTAAACCTGTATCCATGAATAGAACTGGAGTTAATTTTATCTTTAATTGTAAGATCAGCAAACAGAGGGCTAAAGCAAAGAATTAACCACATTGACACTTCTTAACAGAATATTTCAAGTATGATATCCAAGCACTAGGTGCCTCTTTGTGGCTAAAAACACTGATGGATTAAGCAAATCTAAAACCTCTGTTCAACCACATCAACATTCTATACAAAACACTCTCACTGCTAACTGCAGAAGTTATCCAATTGCATCTCTCCATATCTCCAAACAGAATTGCAGAGCAGTCTATCTCAATAAGAGACCAAGCTAGTTATGTACCTAGCATATCTAAAACATTGAACCTCTGCACAACCAAACAATTTGCTTTTAAGCTAAATTTAAATTAAAATTTGTATTTTCATATTATTAGGCTTTACATTACACAAGAAGCAATGTGACAACCTCTGTTAAAAAATAACCTAATTTCTAAGCATCTCCTTATAATTTACTTTAAAAAGCAAATTCAAACCCTTTCTATCTTGCTATAATCTGGAACTCTCTTCTTCCTGTCATCATTAATAAAAATACGTGCAAGCTTTAAGGTATAAATCAATAGTTCATAAATACCGATTGACTCACTTGTGACTGTATTATTTGTAGCTGTTAGAGCTGTTAAAGTGTTCACATCCCACAGAAATATTTGCCTATCAAGTCCTCCAGAGGCCACCAATTCTTTCTGACTTGCATATGCAAGTGCCTTGACATAGTCTTTGTGTGTGCGCAGGGTGGACATACAAAAACTCCGCCCTGAATCCCACACTTTAACAGTTGTGTCAGATGATGCAGATAATACTAGAGAAGAAATTAGATAAGCTCATTATAGCATAACTGCAAGATATATAAGTAAATCTACAGTTAAAGTTCCACTTTATTTGCATTAACCCATTAATGGCCGCAGCTTTTGTGGAAAACTGTGTTTTGAAGCTAGTCGAGCAGATTTCGGGTCACTGTTGTGGTTTTAAAAGTTCAAACTTACCAAAAACCCCTTGACAGCTCGAACACTCGACGGCCTTTTGATCCAAATGCAAAATGGCGGCCTGAAAATCTCAGGCACGTGCAGAAACTCCTCAATTTCAAGAATTTTCAAAAGCAAGTGAGTTAGCTCACGTTTAAAAGGTGCTTTCTTTAGCTTACGAATTTCAGGGGGGATGCCATTCCATATTTTCGCACCAACTCTAGAAAAGGAAAACAACTGATGATTTGTTCTCGCCTGTTTTATATAAAAGCTTCCAGCTACTGAGAAAGATTACTTTAAAAATTATTTGCCCCACTTTGTTAAGACAAAGAGAGGAAAAACAAATCATAGCTCTCCAACAAGACAGCAATTATTTTTTTGCTAATATTTATCAAAAAGTCATGGTATATGCAAGAAAGTGATTCTCTTACTTGTTCTACCATTGCAGCAAAGGACTATATCATTCACCCAGTCTGTGTGGTGCTCAAGAGATGCTATGTAGCAGTTCTAAAACCAAACAAATAACAAGATAGTGTTATTCAAATTGAAATAAACTTGTCATGAACTGCAGGTCAACTACAATGTAACAAAAATTATTTTGATTTTGTACCCTTGAATGAAATCAAACGCTTGCCTTGCACCACTTGTCCCTCCACCCATCAGACAATTTAGTAACCATAAAGTCTGAGCTTGATACTCTTCTGTCAAACTTTGTCAATACGCGTATACATGATGAAGTTCATTTCTGTATTCCGCCTATTACTAAAGAAATCATTGAAGCAGATCTGAAGAAAATTCCATCAAACAAAGCAATAGGATTGAATGGTATTAGCATACCATGAAGGAGGCATTGCCAGCAATATCAAGGAGCATGGCCCATGTTTACAACACAAGCATCAATCAAGGTATTTTTCCAACTACCTTTAAAGCAGCAAAGGTAATGCCACTTCACAAAAACGACTCAACAAATGAAAGAGGAAATTATCGCCCAATATCTGTTTTGCCTATTTTGTCTAAACCCTTAGAATGACATATGTAGCAACCTCTTCTCTTCGGTATCTAACTATGAACAAGTTATTTTACAAGAATCATTCTGCCTTCCACCCTTATCATTCCTGTGAAACTGCACTACTGAATATCTCTGAAAAATGGCTAAAGGCGATGGACAATAGTGAACTGGTGGGAACAGTTTTTCTGGACCTTAGTCAGGCCTTTGATCTCGTCAGTCATGATATTCTCATAGCTAAGCTTGCCAAGAATCACACTAGTCAAACAGCTATGAATTGGTCTAGGTCCTATTTATCCGAACGTAAACAAGTTTGTTCAGTCTCTGGCATGCTCTCTAGTCCTGCCTCCTTATACAGAGGAGTTCCACAGGGCTCAATTTTAGGCCCTCTCGTCTTTTCTGTTTATATCAACAATCTACCTCTTTTGCTAAGTGAAACTGAAGTGGACATCTATGCTGACGATACAACTATTTGGTTAAGTGGTGCCGATTGCAATGAGATCCAACAAACTCTAAATGTGAGTCTACATAGAGCGAATAGCTGGCTTAAACTTAATGAAATGCAACCTAATAGTAAAAAGACTAAGTACTTACTTATTGGTACTGCAAAAAAACTTTATCACAGTGAAATAACTATGTTGGAGCTTTTCTTGGACAACGTAAGACTTGAGGAATCAGCTGGAGAAAAACTTCTCGGTGTTGTGATTGATCCCTATCTTTCCTGGGACCTACACATTGATTATCTTATAAAAAGTTGAACTCTAGGATATTTCTAGAGGGCAAAAGTGTATTTAACTACTGAATGTAGAAAAATGTTATATAATGCTCTCATTAAGCCAATTCTTGAGTACTGTTGTACTGTTTGGGGTAATTGTTCGGTTGAAAACCTTCAAAGGTTGTTACAAGTACAAAAACGATGCGGGAGATTAACTTTGGACGCCACCATCAACAATAGTTCTGTTGAACTTTATAATAAATTAGGCTGGTTACCTATAGATGACATTGTACAGGTTAGAAAACTGTGTATGCTACATAAAGTTATCCAAGGTCATTGTCCTGAACATTTTAGTTCATATTTATAATATGTCAGATCTACAAATGGTTATTGTACTAGATCTGCTATCTGTTATGACGTTCCAACACCATCTCGTAAAAAAAAAAAAAATCTGGGCTTAGAACTTTCCACTCAAGTGCATGTAGGCTATGGAATAAACTAGGTAACTCATTTAGAAACATAACTTCCAACTCAAATTTTAAGATAACGTTACTGAAAAATTTTATTAAAGAAAATATCTCGATAGAGCATTTTAAGATTAGTAGGACGATTTAAGTACAATTTTAGTATTATGAATTTTTTATTAGGTGTTTTTATATTTAGTAGGATTTGTTGGGGGCCATTATGTAAACTACCGGGTAACCGGTAATAATGTATTTTACCCTCGGTAAAAAAAGTGTTTGTTTGTTTGTTTGTCCACCCCCGGGATTTATACTAACAGGTGACCCGAAGTTCCTCACAAATCCCCATACGAATCACACTACATAAATTGAACAAGGCTTATTTTGAAGATATCATTCTTTTGATAAAAGCAGCCCAGAAAATCCATCGAGTACAGATATTACTGGGCTAAAAAAAAGGAAAACATGTCGAATCTTCATCTCCCTGCTTAGGTTGAACTTAGTTGAGCTCATTTGTAAACAAGTCTTCATTTCACATTTACAAGCGATTATTTTCCACGAACAACAATTAGAAAGTAAAACTCTGAGTACTTCTACCACCTTAAATTTATGAGAAGCAGCAAGTCATAAAACCAGCGTAAATGTTAACATCGTACAAATCAAACAACACACCTTGTCTACAGTTGTGTTCCAACATCGAATGATAGAATCTCGTCCTGCAGAATACAGTCGACCAGTATGTTTGTCAAACTGAAGTGCATTTACACCTGACCTATGCAGAGATTCTTCTTCATCTCGTATCACAAATGAAATTGTGACTTTTCTCCTCGGCATGGCGTGGTTGTGTGGATGGCCATGCGAGTGACCAGAAGGCGGCCGCATCCCTGCCGCCATCTTGCACTTCTTCCTGTCACAGCATTAGGTTAGGTTCCAGTTCTCCGATTCCGATAATCCATCCGCGGAATATCCTCGTGGATCCGCGCGTGACAAACCATTCACTTCTTGGTGTCATTTCTCCTTACAAAATCGATATGATTTCAGTTAGAAAGGCCATGATAGGAAAGGAAAAATTTGATTAAACAAATATTGTCTGATTGATCGTCAAATTATCGGAACTAATTTTTATGTTCTGCGCGAGCTTCATCTGGCGACATCTAGCGCCATCTCCCACCATGTGAAAGTGACACCAAACAGAAACAAAAGACGGTTTTGTCACCAGCCCGTGACAATCATGTGACATTCCCCAAAACTTGTGTCACTTCAGTCCCGGTAACATGCCTCTCCTGAGAAGTCTTGTTCCGTTTGCATTCGCATTTTTCGTGGCAGTGACCCCATTGGAAGCGAAAAAGCGAAAATCATCCCCTCCACACATTTTGTTTATGCTCGCAGATGATCTCGGCTGGATCGACGTTGGATTTCACGGATCAAAAATCAACACTCCGATCATTGACTCGTTGGCCAAAGAAGGGGTCATTCTCGACAATTATTATGTTCAACCAGTTTGTACACCAGCCAGAGGAGCACTTATGACCGGAAGGTATCCCATTCACACAGGTACAGTGAATGCTCCGCTGCTGCTTTGATATTTCGCCTATTAACACTACCTTGTCATTCCGTGACAATCAATTCACAATCCAGTTGAGGTAAGATAACACCTCCTTAGGTACCCCTCCAAGTCTTCCTCGTTGAGCAAGTTGCAGGATCTTTTCGGAAAAGGCATTTTAATGTTTTGGATTTTTACTTACGGCGATGGGTAGGTGACAAAAGAAAAAAATTTGATTGCAGTATAGTATCGAATGAGTTGGGCCCGAGCAAGGCACCCGTAATTTTTCTTTGCTGATAGTCGGATAACATTTGAAGTGTTCACACACTCTGCCAAGGCATAGCGAAGAACATCAACGTTCTTGATAGGAAGATGATGGAATTATTCAAAGATGAGCATGAAAAATTAAACCAAGTATCACTTGAATTTTTCAGTAAATGGCTCGTTAATTATTATCAGAAAGCAAAATAAAGTATAAGGTCTGTATAAAACAAAGGTTCGCCTGATAGCGTATCGATCACATCGGAAAAATCATAAAACAGTCTTTGGCGTGGATTTTGTTTCGTAAACTGCAGTTTCAGAGCTCTGAATATCGGTATTTTAGAGTTAAAACCATAAAAAAGGGGGAAAAAACATAAACCATAATAAATGCATGCCGTGAAGAGGGATTCAGAAACTATGTCAACGACTTGACAACGTCACAGCACAGACCTAACCGAAAATGACATTAGTGATAAGTGAACTTGTGGATAAAGAGATCAGTGTTTTAGGAGTGCACGTATCTTACTGATATCTTACTGATATCTCACTTATCTAAAATATGGCATAAGGACAGAACTCTAAATCAGGTTATAAAGCGTGGTGTATGTTACTATATGTACCAATAATACAAAAGTCTGGAGACTGGCCAAAAAAGAGCTCCGGCAGCGAGAATTTGTCATTAGAGTCCTAGAGCGAATCCTGTTTTTTTAACGAAAATTTATGTCGACATTGAAGCTTTTCCTGGAAAAATTTGCCAGTGAACCAAAATGATCAAAGATGCCGAAGTGTATGGGTGGGTCAGATTTTTCCAAATCATCCATACAAAACAAAAATCCATAAAAACTCTCAACTGCGTGTTTCTCTAAGGAAATTGATACACAGCGCTATGGTTTTTGGAAAAGCGTGCGAAAGCCGAAGGAAAGCATGAACGCGCTCAACATGGATGGTCACTATGATGGAAGTCAAACATTGTTTTTCTTTTCCCCCGATTTTGGATATGAAGCACCGAGGAGAGGGTCGACGTTGTGGCCTGTAATTGTTCAATAAATTTACAAACTGAAAGAGAAGCAGATTTTTGACACCCAGAAAAATGGCAACTGCGGGGAAAATCGTTCATATTTTAGGAGTCTTGCAGACCCGTCAACACTTTTAACCAGGTGTAACGAATGGATTCGTGAAAGGAAAAGCGTCACACCTCCTAAGAACAAATCCATCGTGCTACACTTTTTTTAATTAAAATATAAAGAAAGATAAAAACAACGTTCAGATTTTCAAGATACGTTTCAAGAAGAGAATAGAGAAAGCACAGACGAAGTTCAGGAGAAATGTAGTTCGGAGTTATTTGCTCCGATAGAAAAGGGTGGCTTAAGAACAAAGAAAATAGCAGATATGAAAATATTGCCTATTTTAACGCATCGTTATCCGGCTTAACTTTAAGAACATACGGGTTTGGAAATGACACCTTATTCAAAAGTGACCGCACTTAAGAGCCATATTTATGGAGACAGCCTTATTATCACATCGCAAAGGAAAGCCGTTCAAAGATATCCTAGTCAGAGCTTATCTCTAAAGTCGTTTGCGAATAGGAGTCGTTCGGGCTAATCAATACTTTTTAACTCGTCATTCGCTTCGTGTGACGGCATCACATGCGCGAAGCTCGTCGACATCTCATGCAGCAAAATCTCTGCAAATTGGCTCTTAGTTAGACCTTTGATTCCAAGGCTGTCCTTCCTGTCATCCTACAGATTGAAAGTTGACCCTCGAAGGAGGATCGTTTTTGTCTGCTCCGTGGCTTTAGGCTTTCCGCGTGAAAGAAGTCGAAATGCCATCGACGATCCCAGTTACAAACAGAATTTTCTAAACGTAACACTCCTCGGAGTTAATTCCTACTTGTCCACGTTAGAAAAGTCGGAAGGTGTACACACAACAAAACCCGCCTCATCCTACCCCTCTTTTAATACGAAGAAGGGTTTTTATCAAAGGAGAAGCACAGCGTGTTTTAAGAACCAACTCAGTCAATGAGAATTTCTATACACACAAACGAGATTTTGAGCAAAGCTTCTGTAACAGAGGCTATTCTACGACGCTCGTTCTTAAAATCCTGAATAAAGTTCAGTTCTCCGACAGAACAGAGGCTCTTCGTAACAAAACAAAGGTGAAAGAAATTTTACCAATTGTTGCCACTCATAACCCCGCCTGGCCACACCGAATCCTCAAAAGATTCTCATGAAACACTGGCATATCATTCAACGGCAGCCTAGAATTGCACAGATCTTAAACCAGCCACTAATTGTATCATACAGGAAAAATCACTCAAGGACGTTTTAGTCCGCGCAAAACTACCGTCAATTACGCCGCAATCACAAAAACCTGTAAACAAAGAAGCATTTCATTTATTTATTTATTTATCAACAGTATTTAAGTAGAGATGCCCAGTTCAGCATATGTTGGTTTAAATGGGGCTCTGCATAAAACAAATTACAATACAATTACATATGATACAGTATAAAACAAATGTATAATATCATAACCCCGAGAATATTTACAAGTAAGTTGATTAACTAGAAGTTATTCTAGAATAAGCTTTAAGTGACTGTTTTAAGTAAAAAAGATTTTCAGAATTCCGTATTTTGGATGGTAGAGAGTTCCAAGTTTTTGCTCCATTATATCGGAAAGAAGACTGGTATTTTGCAGTTTTTTCTAGAGGTAAACGAATCAGATCTTTTTTCCTGGTATTATAATTATGGAAGTGTCTAGAGAATTTAAATTCGTGTAGCAAGTATTCTGGGGCTAGATTGTTAAGGCATTTATAGACTAACATAGAGTTTGGATAGCTTCTGCGCGACTTTAGGCTGGGCCATGAAAACGTGAAATGCAACTCGCTCTCTTTACTTTTCCTACGTTCAATGATGCTCGCAGCACGTCTCTGTAGCTTATCAAGGTAGTCATTCTTTGTGGTACTACATCCATCCCATACACAGCAACAATAGTCGAAGAGTGGTAGAATCATCGAGTTGTACAGTGTGATACAGGCCTCACGTGTAAGACTTTACGCGCTCTGCGAAGCATTCCAAGCCTGGATGATATCTTGTTCGCAATGTGATCTATATGCTCGCTCCAGGAAAGGCATGGGTCAAGAACAACTTCTGGTTACTTAATTAAAGCTGAAAACTCTTTCGAAGACATGGTCGTTGGCATTGACGGTAAAACTTGTGGTCATGCGTAGTCTCTGAGTTGTACCAATCAACATTACCTTGGTTTTTTTAAAATTGAGGAATAGGTAGTTACTTCAGTGACAACCAAGTTATAATCTGTTCAAGGTCTGCGGATAGTTTAGATTCAATGGTGTCGACTTGCTTGCAACTGAAGTATATCAGGGTGTCATCAGCATAGAGTTGAATGTTGCCGGCAGTGTTTGACTACAGTTGGTAAATCGTTTATGTAAATAATAAATAGTAACGGTCCTAGTATGGATCCTTGTGGCACACCGAAAAAAATTGACTGAGGGTCAGATCGTGTGTCATTAAAAACAATGCTCTGGGTAAGATTTGATAAATAAGCATTGAACCACTGCACTGAAGAACTGGGGAATCCAAAGGACTCCAGCTTCCAAAGTAGGTGTTCGTGATCTAAAGTGTCAAACGCTTTTGAGAAGTCAAGGAAGGCTATCCCTGTTAATAAACCCTTGTCTATGTTTTGGAGAAGGTTGTTGGTGACATCCGTAAGACATGTAGCTGTAGAGTGAAGTGGACCAAAACCAGATTGATATACAGATAAAAGCTTGTTCCGCCGGAGATATTCACAAACCATGAGATGGACAGCACGTTCAATAATTTTACTGAAGACAGGCAGGACTGAGATAGGTCGGTAGTTTGCTGCATCCATTTTGGAGCCCGACTTAAAGATTGGTGTGACAGTTGCAGATTTCCAGTCAGCAGGAATTGCGCCCTCAGCCAAGCTTCTATTCATAAGGACGGTTAGCGGTTTCGCTAGAACACCACATCCATCTTTGAGAAGGCGCGGGGGAGTGTTTTCGATGCCGGTCGATTTGTTGGTTTTTATACTCTTAAGTTCTTTATAGACAAAATCTGGCTTAATCTCTGAGAATCTGAAGTGATCATCAGTTAGTACCTTAGGAGATTCGTGGTGGACTAGGATTGATGATAAGCTCTGTCTGATCTTTAGAATCGCTGTACTGAAATAATGTGCGAAGCCTTTAGATATTTCCTCTGGGTCGAGGACAAGACCCTCGTCTGTTTCAATGCATCCGATGCTAGAACTTTTCTTGTTGGATGATATTGCGTTTTTAAGAGTTTTCCACAGGTTACTCGAGTCCTTTTTGTTTTATCTAGATTTGTCGTATCTAGATTTGTCGTATTTAGATTTTGTCGTATTTAGATTACCGAATAAGGCTTGTTGACAAATTACGTAGTTTTCTATGAATTTCCCATTCATAAGGAGAATCAGTCTTTTGTGCTTTTTTATGGTAGAAATCTTGCTCCATCATTGTTTTCCTTATTTCCCCCGAGAGCCATGGTAGTGTGTTGGCACGGACTCGTTTCGTTGCCAGAGGGGCGTGATTTTCTTTTGTTGGGTCGAGCGTAGTTTTAAAAGACTGCCATGCCTCCTCGACTGTTAAAGATGTTTCTACATTGTCCCAAGAGGCGGATTGCAAATCACTACAAAACTCTTCGCTTGAATAATTCTTAAAATTCCTGTGAACAATGTTTTTGCACCAGTTCTGGGCATTTTCGCTCGTCTAATAATAAATACAAGTGAATGATCGCTTATAGCGCAATTAAGAACTCCTGACGATACGATCTTATCTTTATCTGTAGTGTAGACCATAGTAGTGTAGACTAAGTATATAATATATTAGAGGAGCGATCAGTTATACGTGTTAGACTTTGTATAAGTTGATTTATCTGATAAAAATTGAAGAGATCGCGTAGTTTTTTGGCATCTGAAGCGAGTCTCTTTTTAGGGGACATGTCACAGTTAAAATCACCAACAACTGAAGGTACATGCTCTAATGTCTTGCCAAGAGAAGCTTTAAAATGGTTCAAATCGCTGTTAGGTGGACCGCTTCTAAGTCGTCGCAAGATAGATCTTGGCGTTGATATGCTGTTAGTTTAATTAAAGTTATAATCATAGCCGAGCCGCCGCCGTTTTGAGGGCCATGTCGATCAAATCTGACAAGATCATATCCTTCGATGTGAAGTTCTTCATCCGACCAAGATGAATTTAGCCATGTCTCGTTTAAACAAATTATGTCAAACGGGTTTTCATCAAGAAGAATTTTCAGCTCTTCTAGATGTTTAGGTAGACTTCTTATGTTGAGCTCAGCTATCTTTAGACCAGGATGATTTAAGACTGTGAAACTCCATCCAGGATTCGGTGATATATCTCCGGCTAGCAAGGACAGCGTTGCTAAAGAAGCATATTGAATGATCTTGAAGGCCATAGATAATTTTTTGGCAGTAACTCTACAAGAATCGGCCTTGGAATTCACATTTCGATGAGAGGTAAAATTCGAGATTGTAGGAGACGACAACTTCTTTTCCGCGTAAAAGTATGTGGCGGCGTTGTCCACGGATGAATTTAGTTCTTTAAGATCACCAGTAAGGGTGTAGAAAAGAAAGAAACCTAATGCCGCTCATAACAGGCGGCGTTTGAGCTGAGGACGAGGAGCTCTTCTAGTCCTTCTACACCGTGGCCTTCTGGCCGCCATCTTGAATTTTTTGGGGACGAACGGTCTGATTGGAAACGTGGTGGAGATCTCAGTAATCCTGTGAAAATGCCTTTGTGAAATTTTGCGCATTCCTGATCGGTTATATGATTAAAAAGGTTTGTTTTCAACCCAGAAGGAAATTTACACATGATGGTTTTTTTGCCTGCAACACGCTCAGTCTAGGAGCGGTCAGTAATTGGTCAGGGGCCAGTTTTGTTGGCTCAGTTGAGTTGCGGTCGGAAATGCGTCGAACCTTTCAGTTGATCGCAAAAAGCGAACGTAGAAACTGGGGACTCGTAGATTTAATTTAAACAGTAAGACTTCGATGTATTAGTAAATCGCTAGGATGCACTTGGATTATAGCCTACAAAGAAAATCTAATTTACATGGCGTTGAAAATGGCGGACTAGTGCGCGCAATTTCTTGTAGTTGACCTGGGGCCTTTTAAGGACCTTCAGGGGGTATCATTCCACATATATATTGTGGTGCTTAGAAGATGACTTGATATTATCATATGAGTGGATCATTTAAATTGACCAACACAAAGACTTCCAAAGCTGACGTTTCCAGCGTTAGCCCTTCGTCATTGCGAAAGAGCAGCTTCAAAGAAGACCAGTGTGAGAGCCAGCTGCAGATAGGAATTGTTTAGCACGAAGCCAGTTGTTGATCTTTTTTAGCTGCCAAATGTTGGGGGGGGGAGTTACCATGATTAGCTTATATTCATTAGATGATTTGCGTTTTTATCCAACTCTTCCAGGACTTCAACATGAAGTGGTTCACCCCTCAAATCCGTTTGGATTGCCATTAGATTTTCAGACCCTTCCAGGACAGCTAAAAAAAGTTGGTAAGCTACAGCCTTCCAAGATTCCGGAACAATAATTAAAAAAAGGGAATGGTTAATTTAAACTGAAATCTGTTTTAAACTGCAACCTATGTAAGAGAGGAGTCCCTTTAAACGTTGTAAAGGCTGATTAACTTAAACGAGCGCCTTAAATAACCAGACACCCATCTCGCGTTGCTTTCTGTCCATATACGTCTTTATGGTTACAGAGTTTATATATATATATATATATGTAACCAAAATAGCGAAATGAGATCATCATCTACTAAAAAGTGCTCAATAGCAGGGCTAGAGCTATGGATAATTATACCTCAAGAATTAGGTTACTTGAACTTTTACTGCAACTCTGAGTTTCATGCCTCTTGCGAAGCAATCGTCAGGCAACTGCCAGAAATAACGGTTACAATCCACCAAAATTTAAAAGACGAAACAATGTATACATGCGCGCGCAACATACTGCACGCGCTATCGTAACGTTAGGTTCTTTAACAGGAATTTCCTGACATGTCTGCAACCTGATGTCAGCTCATTTCTTTTGTTTAAACTTGCCATCTGCGGTTTACAAATGATAAAATATTTTTCCCACAAACACAAGTTGCATCTTTTAGCTACATTGGAATACGAACTAGCTTGTTTCACCTTGCGCCACTTAATATTAAACTTAGTGTCCTTATCTTTAAGACTCCATATATATTTGCTAAGTTCAGTAGCATGCCTGTAACGTTCGTTTCGGAATGAACACAAGTGGTTCCTGTAACGCATTTTAAAAGCGGTGTCACAGAGACCAATGTACGTTTCCTTTGCGGTTTCTGTGGTGACCTCTGCCTGGTAAATTATGCTTTCCATGTTACAGTTTCCATCCATGGGGCATATGTCAGGTTTTCGACAGTTGCAGCTTTTCCTAGCTCGATCATTAGCGCGTGCGAGTTTCCGGATTTCAGATTTGTTGTGGTTAGATATGACAGTTTTAATGCTGCCCATGCAGCTGTAGCTCAGTTTAAGGGTGTTCCGGTTGAAAATTTTGTGAAGAGGATTAGTTTTTGTGAAATGCTTATCAATAAGTGCAAGGAANGATATTCTTGGTTGAATAGTTCAAATTCACCTTCTCCATATTGATAGGAGATGAGTCAGACACAGTGCTCGACAATAATAGGAGCGAAATAACCAAAATAGCGGAATGAGATCATCATCTACTAAAAAGTGCTCAATAGCAGGGCTAGAGCTATGGATAATTATACCTCAAGAATTAGGTTACTTGAACTTTTACTGCAACTCTGAGTTTCATGCCTCTTGCGAAGCAATTGTCAGGCAACTGCCAGAAATAAAAGAAATTTACCAGGCAGAGGTCACCACAGGTACCGCAAAGGAAACGTACATTGGTCTCTGTGACACTGCTTTTAAAATGCGTTACAGGAACCACTTGTGTTCATTCCGAAACGAACGTTACAGGCATGCTACTGAACTTAGCAAATATGTATGGAGTCTTAAAGATAAGGACACTAAGTTTAATATTAAGTGGCGCAAGGTGAAACAAGCTAGTTCGTATTCCAATGTAGCTAAAAGATGCAACTTGTGTTTGTGGGAAAAATATTTTATCATTTGTAAACCGCAGATGGCAAGTTTAAACAAAAGAAATGAGCTGACATCAGGTTGCAGACATGTCAGGAAATTCCTGTTAAAGAACCTAACGTTACGATAGCGCGTGCAGTATGTTGCGCGCGCATGTATACATTGTTTCGTCTTTTAAATTTTGGTGGATTGTAACCGTTATTTCTGGCAGTTGCCTGACGATTGCTTCGCAAGAGGCATGAAACTCAGAGTTGCAGTAAAAGTTCAAGTAACCTAATTCTTGAGGTATAATTATATATATATATATATATACATCATCCTCTGCGCAAATAAATCTTCAAAATAGTTAGATAACCCTAAATTGATAAATGGGGTGTACTTCTTACTTTTTCCTTAAGGTTACGCAACTCACTTGGTTGGCAAGTGGCATCTTGGCTTCTACAAATGGCCTTACGTTCCAACTAACCGAGGTTTTGACTCCGCTTATGGATTTTGGGATGGTGCTGAGGATCATTATGATCACACACGTGACAAAGTGGTTGATTTTCGAAATGGAACCGAACCTGTTTTGGACCTGAATGGAAAATACGCAACATTCGAATATGTTAAGGTCTAGTAGTTGATACTTTCCACGTAACTGAGGTTTATTACGCAGCGTTTGTGACACTTAGGCAGTAATTTGCGATCAGTCAATGCAAAGACCCGTGGTGGAGGATGGTGACGCCCATAATACCAGATCTTCTCACGGTTCCTGTAGAGTATCAACTATCAGTTTGATTCTTTTATCAGAAGGGGTGCCAATCCGTCTTCGGTAACCTCCCAGCAGAGTGCGTTAGACTTCCCACGAAGTTTGCCAATTTTACTTATACGCTCTTTGTAATTCCAGCAGTTCTCCAAAGCAACTCCTTCTCTCCCCAGCATTTCCTGAATACATTCTTTACCTTGTATTTTTATCAAAAGATATTGAAATTTTAGGGCTGCGATGAACTTAGTCATATTTGCGAGTGACAATGGCCTGGGTAGTTAACAGCTGTTCTCATTTTATGATTTCATAAGAGGATAGAAGAGATTTTGGATCAACATGACCCAAAACAGCCACTGTTCCTGTACATGGCCTTCCAGAATGTTCATAATCCCATCCAGGCACCAGACCAGTATGTGGACAAATTCTCGTTTATTGATCAGAAGATGCGCCGAGTGCATGCAGGGATGGTCGCTGTCTTGGACGAAGCCGTTGGGAACATCACTAAAATGTTTAAAAAGAAAGGGTGAGTTTCCATGAAGGTTTCATGTTTTGAATCCCTAGTGAGTTTAAATGGATACCTTTAACGGTTGACGGCTAATTTTTTTCCGACTTTGACGGCTGACGATTATGATTGCACGAATGGAGGAAAATGGGCGCTTAATAATTGCGAGTATTGCACGGTAAATCTGCTGTCTTGATCACTGAATGAAGGGAGGTTGAATTAGAGCAATGAAAGGAGTCACTTGATGGATTAATAACTCTACATTGCGTAAGTTGACACGCCGGTGAGCCGGAGAGCAGAAGGCAGTCGACCTTCAAGAAGTGTTGATAGGCCTGTGTGACTCCTGACTTTAGATGAATCACTGCTTAAACTACGTCACTATCAACAGAATGTGCCGCAGCATTATACCATAGTCTGATAGTTAATTGTTAGATAGTCAATAGTTCAAAAGGGCTAAATTCTTTGATAACTTATTGATTCTGGCCAATGGTCACGCCACGCAGCGTTATTCCCGACCTTCGACCGAGACCACAGGTGGCCCAAGCATGCTGTGTGTGACTTTCGGGTGTAATGTTTATTAACGGCAATAACTAACATATTAAGATCGAATTTCAAGCGTACGTGTGAGCCGTTAAAATAAGGAAAAATTATTAAAAAAAAAATAAGAAAAAAATTAAAAAGGATAACAAAAGCGAGGAATTAAACATGTGCAGTCTCCTTACCTTTTTTCCGTACCTGCTTTGTTGCCAACGGTCGTTTTGACGCTGTTTTGGCGACTTTCTTTGTAACGCGTGTGG